TACCTTTTTATTATTAAGCCTATTTAAACTTAACCTAATATTAATAGTATTTAAATTTTTTTTAAAAAATTATATTAGTAAAGCAAGTTAAGCACTTGCTATAAAAGTAAACCTAGCAAGCCTTTTTTATAATTATTTATTTTAATCCTAACTAAGATAAGGGTATAAAAAAAATCTAGGGTATTAAAATTAACTAAAAAAATTACTTAAAAGTTCGCGGATTAATTTAAGAAAAAACTTTTATTAACTTTTTTTTAAAATAAAATATAGTTTATAATATTAACACGGTAATTTTTTTTATTGATTAACCCTTTTATTTACTTTTTTAGAAAAAGCTTAAAAATTAAAAAAAGTAATTTACTAAGCTTTTAAAAAAGGGTATTATTCGCGTTTTTACTAGCCCTTAGGGATTTTTTGTTATTTTTATTTTCAAGTTTAATAATAAATAGCGTATATATATTAATTATTAATTACTAAACTAAAAAATTATTAAAAATAGCTATCCGCTCCCCTGTATTAGGAACTTTATTAATTTTATAAGACCTATTTAATATTTTTTTAAGATTAACCTTTTTTTAAAATATTAATAGGTGTGGATGGGTAAGGTATTAGTTTAAAAAATAACTTTTAATATTATTTTTAAAAAATATAAGTTTTTAATAATATTATTTAGGCTAAGCAACGCCCTAGCCATTTTTTAAATATTAATAATTTAAGTTTTTACCCCTTATATAAAAAGAACCTGTGTTATATACCTTAATAATATTTTTATTTTATTTAACTTTATTAAAAAGTATAAAAAACACCTTTATTAAATTATAATAACTTTTAAAAATAATAAGCTATTTACTAAAGGCTTTAAGTATACCTTTATTATAAAAAAATTAAAGTTTTACAGCTATATTATTAGGTATAAATATACTTAATTTATACTAGTAAAGTTAAATATTATTTAAAATTAGCTAAAGCCTTAAAATATTTATAAATCTAATAATTTCTGGGCCTTGCCATGTATTATTAAAAATATATTAAAAACTTTATTAAAATTACTATATTACTACACAAGCTTTTTAAAAAAAATATTACTAAGTAAAAAAAAGTATTATACGGTACAATAAAATATTTAATATAAATTTATATTTATTATTTTAAAAAAGGTGTTAATTAATACTTTAATACTTAAAATTATAAAGCTATATAAACCCTTTAGGATTAAAATAAATACCTTAAAGTAGGTAATTAGCATGGTTTTAAGCTAGTAAAATAACTAAAAATATTAATATTTTATTACTTATAATAGCTATAAACTTAATACTATTAAAAAAATTATTTAAGATAAAAAAAAGCTGCTTATAATTAAAGAAGTATTATACTAATAAAATTACTATTTTAAAAATAGTATTATAACTAAAGTTATTATTAATTATAAGAGTTTTAAGTACCTTGTTATTATAAAGACTTACTTTAAGTAATTAATATAATAAATAAAAAAGTTTTAAATATATAACCTAAATATTTATTATTATTTAAGCACAAATACTATTATTTTTAATACTTTTAATTAAAAACTTAATTTTATTAAAAATAGCCCTGCTAATGCTTAAAATAATTAAAATAAAAAAATAATAAATACTTAAGTTAAGCGCATAATACTAACACTAATAGTTATATTAACTAAAAATAAAAAAAAATATTAAAAAATATAATAATAACCTACCTTAAAAATAGTTAATTACCTAATAATAATTTTTTTATAAATTAAGTATAATAAAAAAGTAAAAATTTTTATTAAGGCCCTTAACTAGGCGTAAAACTTAATATTATAAAAATTATTTTTTTATATATTAAACTAAATAGTTAAAAGGTATTATATTTATAAATATTTTTTTAAAAGGACTTTATACGCAAGATATATAAGTTTTATAATTACTTAAAATATTTAGGGTTTTTAAGTATAATTAGTAATTATGCTTAGTAGCTTATAATAAAAAAAATATTTAATATATAATTTATGCTTGCCCTGCTTATTAAATTATATAAAGGTTATAACTAGGGTTAAAGTATAAGGTGTAATTTTATATATTTAAAAAAAACATGTAACCCTTTAAATAATAAAAAATTAATTTTATTAAGGTACTACTAGTAATACTTAATAATAATAAATAAATTATTATAGCTATTAATTATATAATAAGCTAGCTAGTTACTAAAGCTATTTTTAATATTAAAAATAAAATAATAGTAAGATTTTTATATAATTTTTTTTTAATTTACTATAGGGCTATGGTAAAATTAATATTAAATAATAATTTAAACTTATTATTTAAGGTTATTACTTATTTTATATAATTATTAAAAATAAAGCACTATATTGTTATACTATATTATTTTAAAATAAATAAGTATATTAAGTAATTAAATAAAATTCTTAGGTTAATACTTATAAGAATACTACTTAAAAAGCTAATAAAATTATAGGATTAATACTTAAATTAAGTACTATTTATTATATATATTAAATTATATAATATTATTAGTATAAGTTCCTTTAAACTTTTATATAATATTTAACCACGCCTCCCTATAAATAATATATTTATAAAAATTATTATTATAAAAAATTATATTTTTAAGTTATAATATGCTGAAATTATTATTAATAAGTGCTTATTTATTATGATAGTAATTATAAAGCCCTTTATTAATAACTTACTTATTAATACCAAGACCTTTACTATAATATTTTAACCCTTAGTAATAAATATAACTTTTACCTTGCCTGTTTTTTTTTAAAAAAGTTTTTAAACCTTTCTTCAAACTTTTCTATCTTTTTTTTAAACCTTCAAGCTTTTTTTTATTAAGACTTTTTTATTATAGCTCACTGTATGTCTGCTAAGTTTAATACCTTTCTAATTAAGTATAAATAAAATACTTTAATTACCCCTTTTTTAAAAAAAATTATACTAGCTATTTAACTACTAAAAATAATAGCATAAAAAATACTTTTTTATTACTACCCTAAGTAAGTGCTTTTTTAGCTTTATTAATAAAGGCTAAAGTTAATATATTATTATATTAATAAAATTACACAAGCTTTTTAATTTATGAAAGATATCATTTTTTATTTATTAAAATATTAATTAGGCCTTTTTTATTATAGTAAATAAAAGGTTTATACAACTAAAAATTAATATTAATAATTTACTGCCTCTTTTTAATCACATGGTATTATTTATAAAAACTTAGCAAGTTATAATACTTATAATATATCTTTAAAAATAATATTGAAAGGCTGTGTTCACACCCCTAGAATAAAAAATATATAATCTTTTAGTTTGCCTGTAATTATTATATTTTTATATATAACTAAGGCTAATACTTACTATAGTTAAATGGTAATATAGTAAAGTAAATAAGTAACTTATTTAAGTAAGTTCTTTTTTTAAATAGTTCCTAGTATTAATAATTTATAGCTTTATATAATAATACAAGGGTTTTAATATTATTATTTTTATTACTAAGCTTAAATATATTTAAGTAATAAAAAATACAGTTATTATGCTATCTTGCCGTATAGCTGAAAAATAAGTATACTTAAATAAAATTCTTAAAAAAATAATATTTGCGCGACAAGGGGGGGGAAAGGCAATTTAACTTATTATATTAAAAATTAGTTTTAAGCTAAGTAATAAAAAATCTTAAGATGAGTAAATATAAGAAAAATATTAACATTATTAATAAATCAAAAAAGAAATTTAACATAGTTTTTACTACTTAGTCCCTACTTTTTTTAAAACCTTTTTTTAATATTATTAAAGGGGCTGTTATAAACTTACTTGTTATATTAAATTCTACCCTTATACTTAAAATTTTTATAAATAATAAGATTTTACCCTAGCTATTTTTAATAATAATAATAAAAAAAGCCCTAATGCTATTATATTTAGCCCAAATAATTTTAAAGCCTTTTAACTTGCTATTTACTATTACCTGCTGCTTTTTAATATTAATCCCGCTAATTTAAGTAAGAATTTAATATATTAATAAAAGCAAGTAGTCTTGCTAGGGCTTGCCCCTTCAAGTAAAAAAGTATTTTTTTTATTACTAATTCTCTAGGTTTTTTACTATAGCCCTTTTTAATATACCTTTATAAATTTTTTATTATATAAAATTAAAAAAAAATAAGTAGTTATAGCGCGGTAGCGCCTTAATTTATTATAATAAAATTTTTAGTATTTAATAAGGCTATTAAAATAGCCTTATTTATAAAAAAGCTTGCTAAGGTATTTAATATATAAAATAATAAGTTAATTATAGTATACTTTTATAATACTAGCACTATTATTAATACTATTAATTAAAATATTTTAGTTATTATATACTAGTTAGCTAATAAATACTTTTTTATATAAAATATTTATAAATAATACCTTATAAAGTTTTACCATGTGCTAAAAAAACCCTATAAATAAAATAATTAAATTACTAAAAATTATTAAATTTACTATATTTTAAAATATAATAAGTATTAAAAAAGCCCTTTAATTAATAAATTAAAAGTATAAAAGTTTTATTATTTATTATTTTTAGTAATATTTTTTATTTAAAAAATATATATAGCTTTATAATATTATTATATATTACTTAATTAAAAAATATATTAAATACTTAAAGGGCTGGTACTTAAAACAGTTTTAATTAAAACTAGCATAGTATATAATTATTAAGGTTTTCTTATAATTTACTGCTTGCTACACATGAATAATCCAGAGGTTTACTATAAGCAACGCTATTGGCTAGTCATTACTTGACAAAGCCATAGAAAGCACGGAGAGCATTGAAGAGGGCCTCAAGCCAGGCGGAGGGCAGGGCTTGGCAGATCCTCGCAAGCTCCCAGCGGTGTCAGATAAGGTTGCGGGGAAGTTCGCGTCTTCAATTGAACATCCCCATCTCTTCTCCCTTCACCTGGGCATCTGTCCCTTATCTTCTCATCCCAAACAATGACACAATTCATCCCAACCCCTCCAACGCCCTCAAAACCCGGCTCGTTCCCTCCCACACCATCTAGCACCAAGATCCCCATCGCCCCACCCCCCTGGACCCTGCGCGCCAAATCCTGGACATTCCTATACACCGATCCCCCATCGTCCTCACCAGATCCACCCCAAAACCCCAACAACACGCCCCAAATCCTGCAAGACAACCTGCCCGCAGGCTCCTACCACCCCCTCGAAACAATCCACGCGTCCGCACTCGAACGCCTCGCCAATGGATCCCCGCAATACCAAAAATCCTGGCTAAAAGCAGTCATGATCATCCGCTACGAAGAAACAGACATCGGCCCGTATGACGAACTGATTCTCGTCCCCGGGCGCGCAATGAACCCCTCCACGGGGAAGGCCGAGATGCGGATCTCCAACATCTACGTGTCCACCGACGCGAGTGTGTGGAATGGGAGGCGGAATTGGAGTACGTCCTCGTCCCTTACCCCTTCCTCTCCTACACCTCCATTCAGTTCCAGGGTGAATAAGGCTAATGGATGGGTGGTGCGAGCAGACATCCCCAAACACCGCGCAACCTTCATCTTCACGCCCCTCCCCCACAGCAACGCCACAGAACTCCGCGTGTACCATCCCCCAAACACCCCAGCGCCCCTCGATCCAAGTCGGCCCTTCTTCACGGTTCTCCTTAAGGACTCCGCTCTCCCAACCATCCCCCTCCCACGACTGGCACCAATTCCAATCGTGCAGCCGCCGCTGGCTCGATCGCGTTGGCCGCCTGGTATACAGGACGCCGTTATCGGCACGGACGATCCCGAGAACGGGCGGGAGAATCCGTGGTTGAGGATCTGGCCGTCGTTTAAGGGGCGGTGGGGGCTTGCGTATGCGGATACTCTGCGTGACGAGGAGGGGGAGGAGGGGCTGGAGTTCTATGGGGATGGGGTGGGGTTTCCGCGGGTGAGGTTTCGGGCTGTTGGGGCGTATTTTGAGGGGGTGGTGGGCTTTGGGGTTGCGGACGTTGTTGGTTAAGCAGGAACACTCTGACATGAAATTCATATGTGAGATACCCATGGATGCATCGGATGTACATTACCTATGCTATTTCGCTAATTGCCATCGCTAACCGCTACCAATGCATTTTCGTCAAATACAGCCACTAATCAAAAGCATCAATAAAACCCCGAAAGCCAGCTCTTCCGCGACGCCAACTTCCGATACTCCCTCATAGCCGGACTATCCCCCGGCCTCCCAGTCTTCAGCGCCGGACTGCCATCCGCATCATCGACATCGATCTCCGTCAACGCAACCGCCCTTACAACCTTCGGCATGCCCTCCCGCTCCGCCTCCGCCTCCGCCTTAGTCCGGATATAATAATGCTCGTCCTCCTCTTCCATAGCCACAAACCAGCGCTCACCGAGCTGCCGCCCCGCGGGCCCACTCCCACAAGCCCCCTGCAGCCTCTCCGTCGCAGGGGAATTCATAGCAAGCGCAAACAGATTCTGCGGCTCCGTGAAATCGGTAATCTGCTTCCCGCGGATCTCGACAATCATAAACGCGAGGCACAGCGCGCTGGTGAAGAAGGCGAACAGCAGAATCGGATAGAAGATGCCTTGCCACTTCTGCGTCCCACCGGACGCGTACTCGATTGCGCGCAGAGTGGCATTGATGTGCTGCTTATCCGGCGTGGCTAGGATGTTGGTGTCGGTGTGGTTCCAGAAGGGGACGTAGGGGGCGTTGGTGGAGGACATCAGCAGTGTGTTTCCGGCGAGGACGGCGAGCGCTTCGCTGATGGTGGGCAGTTTGGGGTCGAGGTCACGCGTCTTCGGCGCGAACTGCATGAGGAGTCGGGCGTTTGCGGCTGCGCCGTCGGTGATGCCTGCATTGAGTGAAAGGGTGAATGACCACTCGGACGCGATGTACATCCAGTCGTTTGCCCAGGACTCGACAGCGTCCGGGACGCGCAGGTTATACTGGAGCGGGCGGTTCTCCTCGCAGACGGTGTAGAGGTGCGATCCGCTGGCCGTGGCGTTATAGCGGGTCGAGCACTTGATGGATTGCTTCGCTTTGAGTCTGCACAGGAAGTACGGGGACTCGTAGGCTGGCTCGGTGGTGTCCGGACTAGCGCCGAGGAGGAAGATGGCTCCGTTGCTGTACGACGAGGTGACGTTCATGATCGTATTGTACGGCTTGGGCAGAGTCCCGAAGATGGGCGCGTACTGCCCTTCCTTGACGTAGTCGGGCCCGAAACCGAAGAGGTCATCGACGACGGTGCGATTGTGCCAGTCGGCGCTGTTTGGCACGTCGGCGGGGACGTTTGTCGTCCAGTTGACCGGGTTGAATGGGCCGTGGTTGGGCCATAGGGTGTACACGATCGGCGCGAGCTCGGTCTCGTTCATTCCGGCGCAGAGGACGTTGACGGCTGGCGATGGAACCGAAGCCTCGAGCTCGTACATGCCTTCTCCCGACTGATCCTCTGGCTGGATGATCTTGTTGTCTGGGTGGTTTGCTGCAGCGATAACACCACCGTGCGGCATCGCGGCAGTAACATTGTGTACGATGCGCCCGTATTTCTCCGACAGATCCGCCATGTTCACCCGATCAATCCATCTGCCTTCAACCGTTGTATTATCGTAGACGGACGCGGTAGGGTTGGGACGCGTCGCGGGATCGGTCGGGGTAGCTTGCAGGCCTTCAGCGATGCGCGCCCACTCTTTGATGAAGGACTGGTAGTTGCTGTAGGCTTGACCGGCGTGCTGCATGTTCAGGCAGGTGGTGTTTCTGTAGACGGGGTCGGCGGCGACCGCAACGGGGGTCTCGCAGTTTTCGGTGAGGTACTCGGTGTTGGCGAAGGAGGCCCAGACGTCGCCGACAATGACGCGCTCCTCGACCGAGCCCCATTTGAGCTTAGGTGTTACTGTCTTGTTAGCATTCCTCCATCAACAAGTCGGGGTAGCGTTACCCAAAGCCTCAGCAGCAGTAGTATACAACATCGCGACCAGCGTCGCAGTGAGCGTAATCGCGCCTAGAATCGTCCACCCCGAATACCGCAGCGACTCCCAATGGACAATCAGACTCCCGGGCTGCATGATCCACGTGCGCATACTCATGTCCGATATTGAAATCCCACGCGACCCCTTTGTAATCGCCCGTCGCGTAAGAACCTGCCCGAGGAACGAGACGCAGACCGTGACGTACGCCAATTCGATTGTTTTGGCGAACAGCGTGCTGAGCAGGCTAGCTGTCGAGGCGGACAGGTTTCCGTCGACCCCAATGAACGAACCATAGCGGGGCTTGACGAACGCGAGGACGAGGTAGAAACCGGATAGGAGGGTAGAATAGACGGCGAGGACGAGGATCGTCGCGGGGACCCAGGAGAGCCGACGGTGGACGATCGTCTTGTTGGTCGGGCAGCGGACGATATGCGGGGAATGTGGATGCGAATGTCGATGCGCGTTCTCGCCTAGCAGTTCTGTTTCCGAATTTGCGAATCGCGAGGAAGCGCCGTCGGGAGTTTGCGTCGTGTCGAAGCTCACGGATCGCGAGTGGCGGTGGGAGTTGGGCTGTGTTATCCCCAACCCAACAGGCTGCGGGGAGGCCTCGGCATCCGCCTCAGCGTTCGGGGCATGCTCGTATCGAATATTCGACCGATCGCTTAGATCGAATGGATTCCAGGTCGAGACGAACTCTGGGAGGGGAGGGAGGCGGTACTCGTCGCCGGCAGGAGCCATGGTGAGCTCGCGGCCAACGGGTGGGAGCGAACGGGGGTCGGATGAAACGCGGCGGCTAGACAGGGCCAGAGGGGAAGGGCGCCTGGTTAAATGTTGGATTCTGGCCGTGACGGGCCTGGTTGGTGGTTGGTGCGGTGGCACAGCCCCCATGAGGCAGGGCAGGCGATCCTTCAGCCTTGTGGATTGCTGGATTCGGTGAACTCGGTGTAGGCAGTGTTCGGTGAGGGTGGTACAGGTAGGCCAGAGTAAGACATGTTTGATAAAGACGCTGTGAAGCTCCGAGTGACGGTGACATCTGGAAAGACTGAATGAGAGGGAAAGTGAAGACAAAGAGAATCTTTTGTTGATCGGATCTCAGCCTCGTGCTATTAATAACCCAGCCAATCAGACAGCCCCACTCTTATACAAGCCTTATATGAGAGTCAGATTGTCTAGACTCTAGAATAGTCTCTCGCTGTGGATAAGAAGCTGAACAAAATGTGGTCAGAGCATGACTTTGAAGGTTGTCTATTGTCTGTTGTTCCTGCCTTTTCCATGTCTCATCACCAGCACCTCTCTTCTTCTTTCCTTGTGATTTCACCAGATTACTGTGTAGTAAGATAATCATGCAGTTTAATAGATTACAGTGCGCAGTCTTCAGCTTCCCATCCACAAACAGAAGACTGCTGTTTCTGAACCTTGTTCAATGTATATTGGATTGATTCAAGGCACTTTGGACATTGTTTCATGTCAAAACTATACAAGACCACAACCGTTCAACGCTCAGGGCAAGTCAACCTTGTGGAGGGACTACCACTTCTGATTCAGACAACGATAGTCAGATGGCAACAACGGCGATAGACAACAATCCTGAGGTGATGCAGCAAAATATCGACATCAAGGTAGAGACGATGAAAGAAACCAATGCGAAGGCAAGACCGACACAAACATCACTTCTAGTAGACACGCAATTATTACACGCGCCTCAAGCTGGCGATGATCTGATCTTAATCCCAGATATCACCTGCGTGGCACGGCCTGCCAACGTCACTCGACTTTCAATATTAGAGGCAATGAGCATCTGGGAGAATACCCACAGTACCTGGAGTAAAGTCGTTCGCCTCGGTTCACCCAGAGCAGGCAAATCAACAGCGTTAACTATGGTAGGACTACTAGATCGCCTACCATCTAATATCCTCTGACTCGCCAGCTTTCAACTCCTGGCGTTGGCGTCTGCCCACGATGCCATCGCTTAGTCCCTCAAAAAAGTAGACCAGATCTATAGCAGAAGGTGTCCGGAATGCGCGCTATTGCCCTTTAGTGCCACGTAGCCTACGATCATTTCGCATCCAAGATTGGGAAGAGGGGAAAGATATAATTGCTAGCATTTGCAGCGATACCAATTACGATTGTGGCTATATCAAGGCCCGTGATATACCGGATATACAGGCACGGTTGCCCTCTGGAAGATGGAGTCAAAGAGTAGCTTGTGCTAGAAAGGGCAGTTCTGTTTCATGCAGGGCTGTGACTGCTCTATGGAGGTAGGTTCCTCAACTCCGTGGGTTGTATCATGAGCTAGGCCACGTACAGGTGGCTGGATTTTAGGGTGCACCTTCGACCTTTCAACCCCTTCAAAAATTATATGGCTAAGACATCTCGAGCAGTAGCGGAAGATGAAAGCCACAATATTAAAGTCTGTTTCACCACCCTGAAGAAGCCCGGAGATTTCGGTCAGGCAATTGTCCGCTGTCTTCCTATGAATCTTCAATTGCCTTTTGTTTCCATCTCACTCGCGTGAGGTAGGATTTGTGAACATATCACGTCAAACTTGGAGTATTGATAAGCCAACGCTGCAGTTTACTCTTCGTCATCATAATTTCATTAAGAAATGACTGTCTGGAACAATAGTCAAGGTGTCTTTAAACTTGACCTGAAAAAGGATATGGCCCCCAGCTTCGCGTTCTCCTTGCCCTGCCCGTCGACTCAACAAATCATTGTAAAACCAACAACCCAGGAACAATTGAAACCGCGCCATCATGGTATCATCACACCCCCAGGGCTATTCTGCCTAACCCGCCTTCCCCCAAAACAGCGCCGCATCCTCCACAACCCTCCCCTCCCACCCCTCCTCCACCAACGGCCCAACAACCTCAACTCTTGTCTGCCCAGCCCCAAACACCGCGCGACACGGCAAATCAAGCGTCAGATTCTCCACATTCCCAACCCCCGTCAGCTTCCGCAACTCCTTCTCAGAAGCCAGATACACAAGCCGCCCAATATGCGCCCAGTATATGGCGCCCGCGCACATGGCGCAGGGCTCCCAGGTCGAGACGATTGTGCACGAGGCGAGGTAGTCGAATGCGTAGTTGTCTGCTGCGTTCCGCGCGAGCTCGCATTCGGCGTGGCGCACGTGCGAGAGCGAGAGGGACGTTAGCAGGACTGTTTCGTTGTCTGGGGCCAGGAGGAGCGCGGCGAAGGGGCGCTTTGAGTGCGTTGTTCGGCCGGTCGTTTGGAGGGCGAGGCACTTTTGTGAGGCGGTGTTGAGTTGGGCTGGGGTTAGGGGGAGGAGGGTTTTGTTTAGGGGTGTTGGTGGGAGCATTGTTGAGATATAGAACTGAATTTTAGTCGTGAAAGGTGAGTAAAGAACGGGATGGTGGTTGAAAAAGCGGGGTAAGGCAATCTTGCCTCTTTAAGAACTCCTACTGTAGGGTACGCGCATGCAGCTGATGTACCTAGGTAGGGCTACAGCGGCATCCGTTGATGCAGGGACGGGGCATCGGCTGTCCCCGTAGATTCAGAGCCGCAATTTACTAGGTTGCTAGATGCGTTCTTACCCCAACATCAACTTCACGACTGCTTATGGGCTAGAGAGCGTCGGTTGTATTGGACGCGTGCCTGCGTTATCAGCGAAGCGAGTCTATCTCGGCCGAGGCGGTTGCTTGAACTGTTGGAGACGCCGCGACGGCCACGATCATTCCGCGATAGGATCGGTGTCCAATGATATTGTCTCCTACTATCAGCTCTATCCCATGAGAGCAGCCAATGGAGGCTGATTTCATCGTAAACTTAGATACAGGCCGTCTCCTCTTTTTAACAGAACAATAGTTAAGCCAGCCAAATAAGCGGTGGTTATATAAACAAAAACATCAACCTCATTTTGTCTTCGTCGCGGTATAGATCAACATGAAGATCCCAAGCCCTCGCTGGCCTCAGCTCCAAGTCCCCCAAAGCGAGTCAGCTTTCATTGCAGGAAATATACGATGGACGAATAAAGACCTCGACCCCGTGCCACGAGCCCTCAGAAAGTGGACAGTAATCAGCTTCATCGGATACTGGATCTCCGATTGCTTCTCGGTTGCGAACTGGCAACTAGCAAGCAGCATCATCGCCATTGGCCTCTCATGGAAAGAGTCACTAGGGCTGGTTGCCCTCGGTTTCTTCATCCTCTCTATCGTCATCGCGATGAACGGCGCGGTTGGCGCTATATACCACGTTCCGTTTCCAGTAATCGCAAGAGCAGATTAGGGGTTCTGGGGCTCTTATATCCCAATCATCTCAAGGCTTATCCTCGCGGTCTTCTGGTTTGCGACGAACTGCGTGAATGGGGGGAATGCGGTGGTTGTCATGCTGGGCGCAATCTGGCCCAGTTTTCTCAAGATCCCCAACAGCCTCCCAGCGGGCGAAGGCATTTCAACGCAGGGCATGGTCGGCTTCCTCCTCTTCTGGCTGCTCCAGATCCCCTTCCTCCTCGTGCACCCCAACCAACTCCGCTGGCTGTTCCTCATCAAATCCATCATCGTCCCCGCCGCCTGCACCGCAATGCTCATCTGGGCGTTCGTGCAGGTGACGACCCCAAACGGCGGCGACCTCTTCACCCAATCCAGCCAGCTAACCGGACCAACATACAGCTGGGCAATGATGTCCTCCCTGACCGCGGTAATCGGCAACTACGCAACGCTGAGCGTAAACCAAGCCGATTTCTCACGCTACTCGTGCGTCAGTCCCCGCTGGCACATCCTATACGTCTTCCTCCTCCCGGCCTTCTTCACCTTCATCGCCTTCATCGGCATCGCTGTTTCCTCCGCCGGCCAGGCGAAATACCACACGGACTCGATCCCCTGGGATCCAAATGTCCTCGTGAGTTTGTGGGGAAACCGCGCGTGCCGATTCTTCGGCGCATTCTCCTTCGCGCTCGCGGCGCTGGGGTTGAATATCTCGGCGAATTCGCTCTCCGCCGCGAATGACTTCGCAGCGCTGGCGCCCCGGTATCTCACCATCCGTCGCGGACAGCTTCTATGCGCGGTTCTCGCGTGGGCCCTTGTCCCCTGGAAGATCCTTGCGTCGGCTGGCAATTTCCTCAACTTTATGTCTGCGTATGCCGTGTTTCTAGGCCCCATTGCCGCGATCATGGTCTGCGATTTCTGGGTCGTCAAAGCGCGCAAGTATGACGCCGTCGCGCTGTACCAGCCGCGTGGGATATATCGGTATACCGGCGGTTTTAACATCCATGCTGTGATTGCGTTTATATTTGGGACGACGCCGAGCCTGCCGGGCCTGATCCATTCCGTCAATTCGGATATCGAGATTGGGGTCGGGGTGCATCCGTATGAGTTTGGGTGGTTGTTGGGGTTTGTGGGGAGTTCGGCCGTTTATCTAGCGCTCAATTGGCGGTTCCCGTATCGGGATGCTAAGATCGACGAGGCTGTTTTTGCGGTTGATGCGCGGCTGGGAGATGAGACGGTTGAGGCTGAGCACGTCAAGAATGATGGGAGAAAGGGGTGACTGACAGTATATGACGAGCCCCTTCGCCCCAGGCGCTGTGTGCTGAAGTAGGCACTTATTTAAGCTCCAATATATAGGCTGCAGGTGATGATAGGCGTATCTTCAGCCAGGTACTATAATATGGCCATAATATATCGTGTACCGTCATATCATTGTAGGCTAGCCCGCAGCGCGATGGCGCGACATGCTTGACAGAGTCGGCGCGACAGGAATAGGCCAGGCTTGAAGATGAAAGAGCGGCGATAAGGGCCGAAAGGCGTGAGTTGTGGGTTCAGATTACGAGGATAGTAAGGATGAAAATGCAGTGGGATTAATAGGGAAATGATCCAGTCTCAAACAGACTTCTACATGAACAGCCCCAAGCCTGAATCTGAATGACGCGGTCTTTTGTCAAACGACGACGCTAGTTTACTCGTCGATAGAAAATATGGTCTAGTGAATAGTGATAGCGCCAGCTACAATATTATAAGATGTTTTCCAATATAGCTACCCATGTCAATTCCTGAGAGGCGAGTATTCATTGCTCCATTACAGAAAAAGCGGTACATCCCAAGCCAATATCCCAGCAATCACTTAAAGCTTCTCAAACACCTCAATCGCAGCCCTGGCCGTAGAAGTCGAACTAGCCGGGTTCTGCCCCGTAACCAGCCGCCCATCAACAACATGGAAGTCATCCCAGATGCCAGCAGATCGCTCATCTAAAGCCTAAGTCAGCACACAAGTCCTCGTACCAAACCAATAACAGTGTCACTCACACTTAGCCCCCAACCGCTCCGCCAGCTCCTGCACCATCTCGGCCCCCAACCCCCTCAGCTCCCCCATAATCCCCATCGTACTCTCCGCCTCCGTCGTGAACCCCGTAAGCTTCTTCCCCTTGATCAGCGGCTCCCCGGTCTCCGTGTCCTTCAAGTTCGCAAAGATAGCAGGTCCATGACAGACGCTCGAGACAACGCCCCCATTCGCCCAGACAGTCTCCGCGATCCCCTGCAGCGCAGACGCTGTGGGGTAATCGATGAGCGCGGCGTGTCCCGCAGAGGCAAAGAACAGTCCGTACTGCGACGCGTCAAGCTGCGCGGCTGGACGCATGTTGTCGAGTTTCTGGCGGAAGGAGCTGGTGAGGTCGTTCCAGATCGCTAGGTCCTCGCCGTTCAGGAAGTCGGGTTGCTGCGAGAGCCAGTCGGGCGTGTAGCTGCCGGTTTCGGAGGCGAGGTCGACGTCGAATCCGGCGGCTGTGAGGGCCTTGTAGGGGTGTAGGGCTTCGACGATGAAGAGGCCGGTTGTTTCGGCGCCGTTGAAGAGGGGCGCGCTGGCGGAGGTTACGGCGATGAGGGCTTTGCGGGCGGGCATTTTGGTGGTTGGTTGGTTGGTTGGTTGGTTGGTTGATAAAGAGTTGAACTTTGACTGTTGCTTGATGGCTGAAAGTCTTGGATGATGCTGATGATGATTTTGACGGAGGAATCGTCTACCTATTTATACTACAAAGACACAGAAGCCTACACATTGTCTCCGGATATCCGCTGGTACTACTAGTCAGATGTACCGGAGTCAATGACTCCAGCACTTTGATGTTGGCGAAGGATGCGGAGTCCCGGAGCTGCCCTCGTTTAGGGCTGTCGCCGGATTTGGTAATCCCTCCGGAACTCCGCATCCTCCGTCGTCCTTCTCGCAGGGTTTCTTTTTGTGTGAAGTATTGACTGAACTACCACTGGAGAACCAGTAACTAGTTCAATTACCCATATTGCGCATTGGGCTTCCAAGCGAATGAGACAGTCCTTGTGGAGCAGGCATATATTAAGCCAAGCAGGGTACCTACCTAGGTTGGCTTAGCCGCCTACCTTCATTGTGTCGGAGTCCAAAGCACTAAGATTTCATCGCTAACTAATACTATAGGTACCATCCTACTCAGTCTTAACTCTTGGGTGGACTAGGTTGCGCGCAGACTTTCCAGATGCTCGGGCAGTCTCCAAGCATCGGCCGGGGCCGTCCATTTTCTAGATATGTATGAAGTATGAACAAATCCTGGCGGCTGTCCATTTGGACATAGGTTCCAACTACATGACCACGACAAACTACAACTATCTCAAAGTTGAGCATCGACACTTTGTAAAGGTCTCTTCCACCAACCCTTGGCCGTTTCTCTTTAGCTGAGCTCCTAAGGGATAACTGCCCGGTCATCTTTCTCGGACTTCCGGAGCCCTCAGTCAGCGCCCAGCGGCCCCTAAACACCAAAGCATTCAAGTGGCGTCCAGTTCAACACGCTTGAACCAATCATCCTCATCTTGAAGACGACTATTGCGGGCTAAGCCTTGTTGCCATCAAAATTGCCTTCCCTGGTTGGATGTCACTTATTAGCAGCCCACTTGGCCCGTCTTGAATCATGCTGAGCCTCGTCAACAAAATTGTAAGCAGCTTGCCTTCTAGATCTCAAGTTCTCAACATCGATAGTCATTGTTGGGTCTGTGCGAACGGGGACTAAATCATAAAGCATACACTAAGATTATCTTCGAGCACCACTTGAAGCTCTATTGGATTAAGGAAGGTCTACTTTATATCCGCAACTTCATAGATCTTATCCCGTCCAGTTTAGCTTTTACGGACTCGAGTCCAATAAACTAACACCCTGAAGAAAGAAGGTTAAGCCCTAAACGTGCTGCTGAAGGTTCTAATAGGACCGCGATATTATCTCAGGGGCTGTCCGGCATTCTGGCCGAGTCCGACTCATCTGCTGGGAACTTTGGCATCTTCAACATTTTTTCTCTGTAGCAAAAAGTTCCTTCTTTAACTGCTTGTCCCATTACTAACTCGAGCCTGTTGTCGTCACCACGAAAGACACAGCAGGCCCGGCGACAGCGCTGTCACGATGACACGAAACCGCCCCATCTCAGACTTCAGCCTCCTCGCCCTCCCAGGTTTGATCAGCACAGCGCTCTCCAGCTTAGCAATGTGCAGGAGATGGGGCATGAGATGCCCGGTCTCGGTTTGGAGGCGGTAGTTGTCTAGGAGAAATTCTACACGAATGCTACCGTACCGATCTAATATTTAAGCTGCAATGCAGAACTTTGCTCGCAGGGTTATTTAGTCGCATAGATCGTCGCAAAGCATGGGATGGTTCTCTCATACTCCATTAGTATCGTAATCAAAGACAAGGTTACAGTCATGCCTCCGGCATTGTCTGGCGAAGAGCCCGAGTGGAGACCTGACGGCGTCTGCATATCTGGGAAGCAACGCCCTGGAGGTAGGCAGGAGGCCGTGTGCATGATTTTTCGCCATTATCGCGGTGCTCCTGAAACAATAGCAACGCTCCCTTCCCCCCTCCTCCTCAAAATACTCTGCTCTCCCAAACCCAGTCCCACCCCTCCAGCTCCCTCCCGATCCTTCCTCCAACCCTTGACCTCTCCATCCGTCGCATTGTTTGCTGACACCCTCTCAATCACCGCCGCGGTGTCCCCCTCAACAACATGCGCAACCGCCTGCCAGTACTGCCCCAAAACCGACTCCCTAGTCCACCTCAAAAAGAGCAACACCACAACCCCCAGCACCACAAAATGCACCCCTACAATCCCCACACCAACCGCAAACCCAACCCACCGCGCCGGAACAAGCGCGGTACCCGCGAACGCCGTCTCCGCGGGCTCCGTCGCATACAGCTTAAACAGGTGGTTATAGTACAGCATCTCCGCGCCCCGAGCCAAAAGCGCCTGCGTCGCGAGTGCAGGACTCCCTGTTTCGCGTAGTGTATTTTGGAAGAGCGAGACGTGCGCGAAATCCGCGTTGGGCGAGAGCTGGCCTGTGTTTGAACTTGAGAGTAATACCCCCGGGTCCGCGGCGGGTGTCGTGTCCGGTTGAGGATTCGACAGGTATGCCAGGAGGTACTTCGCGAACCACCAGTGGGTATTGAACCCTTCGTAGTTTGGATCGACGGGCCCGTAGTCGATTGTGTATTCTTCCCAGGATGACGGCGGGGAGAGGGCGAGGAGGCCGCGGTTCACGAGATTATCTGGTGCGCGCGATGCGCCGAGCTGGTGTGCACTCGACGCCGTATCGTAGATCTGCGCGTTGCGGTCCCAGGTGAGTTTTGGCTCGGTGCCGGCCCACGAGCGCTTCATGGACAAATTGAACGTCTTGGAGATGAGGTTTGTGTAGCAGGCTGAGACGCGGAGGACTTCGCTGCCGTTTGCGCCGATGATGGACCAGGGCCCGTCGGTGCGGAGGGTTGTGGTGTTTGTGTTGTCGCCGGAGTCGGAGTCTGTGTCTAGGATTGATGATGCGATGGCGTCTTTGTCTAGGATGTCGAGGATCAGGAGCATTGAGGAGGCGCGTGGGTTGTGCGTGTATAGGATTGTGAGGGTTTGGGCGGTGCTGTCGTTGAATGTGGGTTCGACGAGGGGGTCTTCGAGCTGGACGTTCCAGTTGAGGTTTAGGGCTGGTGTGCAGAGAGTTGATTCCCAGGTTGTTGTGTTTGATTCTGTCGAGTTCACTGTTAGATAGGGCAGGGCGCAGGTGAAGTCGATTGATGAAACTTGGTCTGGGCTCCGCAGCATGGGGTAGTCGTCGATGTCTACGGTCATCTGGCCGGATAGGCGGATATCGGTCGTCGAGAAGCTGGAGTTGAGACTCAATCCGGACAGTGTTGGGCTGACGCAGACCATGCGCTGGTCCATCACCGGGGCTGGGCCGTTGAAGCTGCGTAGGTCCGTTCGTTGCGTCTCGTCCTCGAACGGGAGCATAGCGCGGTAGACATGTCCTGTATCGTGGTAGTCTGACCCAATGGTAAAGGACTCGGAGCGCTCGGCAAATGTCCAGCTTGAGGCGGGCGGAATGCTCGTCCAGTCGGGTGGGACGCCAGTCAAGTAGATGTTTCTTAAGATATGGACGTCAGAGGTGCCGGTGGTGTCTGTGTAGACGCCGGTCCTGAAGTCCGAGATGAGGATCGTAGATAGAAATTGCGAGGCAAATGTTAGGAGGACCTCGAGGACAATAAGCAGCAGCACGAGGATTGCTGAGAAATTCTTCGGTCTCAGTCCTGTCGTGAAGAGCAGGCTGTTTGGCGAGATATAAGCCGCCCGGGCAATCGAGTAGAACGGTGCATGCGACAATGGGACCCCGATTCTCTCCAAGACCACACTGCCAATCATCGCAGTCGCGACGGTGGCCTGCATCGCTATCATCGTCCGGATAACAGCCGTACAGACAGTGACGAGCCTCGACGTCCAGTTTGCGTGCACGACCTGGAACCATAGCTCCCTCGGCTCTCCTCCGGACATGGCAACCATAGACTCTTTCCACATAAGTCCGAGAAGAACCAGTGGTACAAGCACTAGGATAAACCCCAAGACCAAGGTTAAGAGGCTGACGAGGCCGATGCGGCTCCACGCGTTGTTCTCGACCTTCGCTGGTTTGGCGACCATCTCTACATTGTGGCTTATAGAATGCTTGTCCGTTGCAATCCGCGAAGGGTCCAGAGAAGTGTCCTCGACCATGGGGTGGACCTTGTCGCTCTCCATGGCGCCAGCTTGCGGGGCGTTCAGATATGGGAAGATTCAAACTTACTCCTGGGGTCGTGGAGGCTGAAAGCCCCTTTTAACAGGCCGTCCCTGCAGCCAAGGCGTCCAAGCCACACCCTATTTCGCAGGGACCAATGAAGAACATCGATACTCGCATTCCTAGCCGGTAATGGACGAGCTAACCTTATCCTCGTGTTGTGCACCTGTCGCGTGGCTTATTACCTCGTATTTTCTCCACTGGATGGCCGAATACGGGAAAAGCAGTATCTGATCGCCTTGGCTTAAAGGCCCTTGCAGTGTTGCTTGAAGGACCGGGACAGCGCGGGAGTTACTTTGGATATAGAGGATTGAGAGTATCGTTCGTTCGCAATATGTACGTACGAGTTCAGGTCGAGCTCTACTGTTTCTACATTGTTACTGCCTCGATTCTCAAACCTTAGGTTTGCGCTGTCCAGGCGAGTTAGGGTATGGTATGAATAGAGACCTGTATCTATTACAGAGAGTTGCAGTTGGTGAAATGGCTATTGATTTCAGGGTAGATTCCTAGATAGGTACATGCATGAAAAGAGTACAGAAGATGGACTAAACATAGGAAATTACATGGAAGTGATAACAATTTTGTTTGACATAGATTCAAGCCAACCGCACCTTGAGTCTTCTCAGCGCTTTGTCCTTTTTTCTTTTTCTTTTCTTTTTTTTTTTGGCGTCTAGGTAGTGCTGCGTGACAACCTCAAATTGAATGGACTTGATCACAGCTGTCTCTTCGCGGTATCAACTGACATTTTGTGATCAAAGCCGCTTCACGGTGTAACGAACCCGAGCATCACGAATCCGCTCTGTATTGAAAGCCTTTCTGAGGCCATACTTGTCTCTGACGCCAGTCATCAAGCGTAGTGTAGTCAACCGCTGCTCATCTTCACAATTCCATGGCATGTTCCGAATGGATATTTCCTTTCGTTCCAGAAAATCACCAATCGTCCAGACCTCCAAGAACGAAACAGTAGTCTCCGAGGGAAGCAGCTCAACGCGGAACCCCTTCCCGGTTGACGAGGTTTGAACAACGGGGCTAACACCTTTCTCGAGCAAGAGTTTGACAACGCCGCTGTTACCAAATAAGACGGCGGTATAGAGGACGAGGTAGAACTCCAAGTTGTCTTTCGGGGGTTTCGGGGGCGCGTTTGGAACAATGCCTGCGCCGTGGTCGAGCAGGAGTGAGATGGCGTCGAGATCGTTGGCGCTGATAGCCAGTGAGAGGGGGGTTTCTTTTTGTTTGGTTACGTTTGGGTTCGCGCCGCGGTCAAGGAGCAGCTTGACAAGTTGAATGCATTGCCCCGGCTGCCATCGCCTGCTCGTAAGACGCAGCACCTTACCAAGGGGACTGTCATAGAGGCCGTCCCCAACTTGGTTGACGTCGAAGCCATCACATGTAATGATGAACTTCGCGAAGATCACGGATTTTGCCATAATTGCAGCGTTGAATCCTTCAGTCAGGAGGGCCTTGCGGTCGTATTTGTCGACGTTGCAGTGATCCAAAATCCACTGCGCCATGTCGGGCTTGCTCAAGGCTGCGGCGTCTTTGAACGCGGTGTACAACGCTGATTTTCCACATTCCTCTGACGCGGCCTCGGCGAACATGAGAAAGACACCAAGAATTGATGTATTTCCTTTGCGAATGATAGCTTCGTGATTCCATCCAGAATAGTCCGGGTCCAAGTCCCTCAAGCGACCGGGCGTCATGAAACGGAGCAACTCATTGGCAATCTCAATGCTTCCTGTTGTCAGTGCGGTGTTGAACAGGTCAATTCCAAATAGGTCTGTCCGAAATACGTCTCGCTTGGTACAGTTTGCAAGCACACCGGCAAACTCTGTAACATTCTGGCGCCTCAGGGCATGGAACGCAAGAAGCGTTCGCAGCGTCACGTCAGCTGGCTCATCCTGAGATATTTTAAGCCACGGATGCATATGAGCACGAGTACGAGGAGCTAGATTGGTCTCGGTATCGACGAGCGCGCGGGAAACAAGGAGTGCATTGATGCCTTCCCTGCGCCAGTCACTATGTGCAATAGCTTCCACAAGCTTCAGCGCGGTAGCCTCTCGATCGTCAGGTTGGACGAGTTTCAGCATCTCCTGCATGGTGCCTCTGTAAATGGTTGCCGGGTAAGCGAGCCCGGTACGAAGTTCATCCAGGACTCGTGTTTTCATCTCGACTGAGAAGTGCCGCCATACGGTTTTGTAGAAATCTGGCTCATTGACGAGACGGGAGCAGATGAGTTTGGTGGTTTCGTTTTTGAAGGCATCTGTAAAGTAGAAACATCTGTTAGTTGGGCCGTGACTAGGTGGCAAACATGAAAGCAAACTTACAGCAAACCTGACGAAGGGCAAGGGCATCTTTGGTATCAGAAGACTCCACGAAGTGCCAGATTATCTCGTTGAAAATCTCGCGCGGAAAGCTGGCGCCGACTGGAGCCTGGCCTTCAGACATCGTGCTGGAGATAATGGTTTGAGCCACCTAGCAAACAATGCAAAAGTAGATGGGTTAAGGGAAACGATGGAGGGTATTAAGGATGAAGAAGGATGAGGAGGGATGCTGAAGAGAGATAGTTGGAAGTGGAAGTATGGAGGAAAGGAGAGATATATATAATAACCCCCGACGGGTTCGGGAGCTTCATAGTTTGAAGCCGGTGAAGTCCAGTCGAACTGGTGAATGCCAGCGTAACATGGCCCTCCTGAACTCCTGTTCTGAGCCTCTTGGGGTGGATGACACATCATTCCCTCCTTAGGTCTGGAAGGACGAGCAACTTGCCCGGAGAGAAAGTACAGCTCTAGGCCAGCGAGTAGGTGACTCGGTATCAGAGCAACATCCGCCTTCGAAATGCCCGGTGAAGAACATGATGTCAAGCCTGAGGCCTTAGCTCTAAGTGGATGATGATGGCCAAGCCAAGGAAAAGAGGCACTGGCACAGGTATGAATACAAGACGGTTGGTTGGACGGAGGTGATCGAATAGGGAGGACATTTGCAGAGGGGGGGCTTGGGCTTTAGCAATTGATGTCCATTGAACGGATGCTTATAGAGGCCTTTTGAGGTTGATTGCTTGTTTACAGACGTTCAGCTAATATGTACAATGCTCTTTGTTTCCTTGCGTTTTCGCCGGGTCTGTTCCTCTTGTATCTGGCTACAGAAAGTGCCATAGCACACGACTCGCCTCAGTGCTTGGAGATCTGTACTCCGACTCAGTGATCTCCGCGACTCAGCTCCTGGGCATTTTCGTGTACATAAGTTTCTCAAAGCACTAAAGAAGGTATTTAAGGTATTTAGGGCGGCGTCTGGTTTTTCTAGGGGCCAATTACTTGCCCTGAACCAATGATCCATAACCTCTCTTTGGTTTGGCTAGCTCTTACCAAAGATAAGATGCCCCAATTCTCCCTGTTTACTATATTGAGTCGTCTTAAGGGTTTCCAGTGCTTTTGTCGATCATTGTGTATATCGGTCTCCGGCCACTGTTCTCTGCTATAAGTTCTGTGTCTTCATACGGGAAGCGCCCAGACATTGTGATTGACTACCTCCAGGAGTGCATCCTCACTCTCAGAAGATCTATCTCTAGTTCTCAACGGGTATCTTGAAATCTTCTCTACAAGCCCTACTTGTGATAAAACGAGCCACGTGACGCGTCCAGAACCACATGATTCGTCATCGCAGGTCTTGGCAGGGCGCACGTGCGCATTTCGTCCTGAAAAACGAGGCAGCACCAGAACGAATTCTCCTGAATCTGAAACTTCACCAACCACAGCAGTCCAAACCCATCAATTAATATAACCCAATCTGCAGGGATCTCGAACTACCCGTGCAGTATACCCCGTAAGCCCAGGGCCGCAATCAAGCCCAAACCGCTAGCCTCTAGGGATTACGTACCCCCATCCGGCGACTCGTCGCCCTACGCCATCTCCACCTCGGAAATACAACCACCTCCAGAACCTCAATCGCAACAATACCATCGGGATACCATGGGCAGCCAATCGTCCGGAGATCTCGCCACTGCCCTCTCCCAGCCGCGACGACACATCGTCAAAGCCTGCGAGGGCTGCCGCCAGCAAAAGATCAAATGTAACGGACAGTCGCCGTGCGAGCGCTGCGCCCGGCTATCGCTGCCCTGTACAGTCCGGACTGTGGCACGACAGCGCCGGCAGAAGATCCAGCAGAGACGGCTGCGTGAGGATGACTTCGATATCATCCGGACGGCGATGCGGCCGGTGCGGATCACAGACCGCGTGACGGGGCGCTCAGCGGTGTATGGGCCGACGTCGACGGTCGCGCTGCTGCATCTGCTTGCGGCCAAGGCGAACCGCGACGACTTTTCTATTTCCATCGAGGTCAGTAGCAGCTGCCTCCTGGCTACCGAGTCCGACTTCCTGTCGATGACGCCGCTGAAACTGAACGCGTTGGCATATCAGCCGTATACGATCTCGCCTACGCTTGGCCTGTCTCTCGCTCCGCCGCTATGTCTTACGACCATCCCGAACCAGCTGCTGCAGTTCTTTCTCAATCGGTATGTTGGCACGGCGTGGTCGATTCTCCCGATGCAGTCGCCTGCCCAGCTGGGCGCGCTTTTTGCCTCGGCTTGCGCGGCCTTCAGCCATAATACGCCCCCGCCGACGTTATATCCCATCTTGCTTTATCAGCTGGCGATGGGCTCGTTGGCAACCGCGCAGGAAGAGCTGTCGGATATGCTGGTCCAGGAAAGCGATATGTTTCTCTCGGCTGGATCGAACCTCGCAGATACCCTGGACCTCCAGATGAATATCCTCATGATAAGTAACCCAGCCGCCTGGTTGGCATTAGCTAACCTTGAGTATACATCCAGTACTACCGAGAAATCGGCAACTTCGACAGAGCATACGCGCTCCTAGGCCCGACGGCCAGCAAAATCTACGCAGCGGGCTTCCACCTCGAGCCGCGCGCCCCGGAAGTCGAAAAGCTGATTCGGATTCTCGTCGGGGTGGAGGGGTTCGTTCTCAACCGTCAACACCTTCTCTAAATAAATGAGAGTCCGCTGACAAGACTCGCCCTAGGTTCATCTGCATCTCCCTCGGCCGACCCCCAATCCTAAGCCCCGGCATCGACGTCTCACACGACAACGAGTCGACCGACTCGAAATACTTCACGGGCCTCTTCGCCATCGTCTGCCCCTCCCTCCGCGCGCAGAATAATCCCAGCACCAGCTTCGACGAGCTCTGGCACTCCATCTGGACGACGCAGGCGAAGCTCAAGGCGTACTGGGAGGAGTATGAGGCGCTCCTGCGCATGGAGCAGACGGAGCCGCATCGCCCGTGGGATACGGAAGATACAATGCGGTTGAATGTTGTTTGTGAGTTGTCCTCACAACTCCGTGGGACGCAAGCTGATGACATTGGGTGAAGTATATGAATATACCGTCCTCACGAATATGAAGCCGCTGCTTTTGTATATGGGGCACCAGAACTCCGCGCTGAATCGAGCTGCGTCGCCGGCGTCGCAGGCTTCGAGTTCTGGAGGTGGAATGGGTATGGGTATGGGCATGGGGACGGGCATGCGGCAGGCGCTCACAATGACGCCCTCGACCTCGAATCCCCGCCAACCCCCAAGCAGGACGACAAATGAAAACGCGAAACTGGTATCCGCGAGCGAGTGTATCCTGGCATCCGCGAAGAAAATCATCTCGACGATCTCGGAGCTCCGGCAGGGTTGTTCGGGCGCGAAGGTGAGCACCTCCCTCACACCCTTTCGATGGAAAACACAGCTTAAAAAACGGACTAATATGCGCAGGATCTCCCCATGCACTCCTTCTTCCTCGAAGCAGCCTGCACTTCGCTAATTGCATACGGCGCCTGGCATAATAACGTCTCTGCCGTCTGGGAGAGCATTGAGTTGGGCGTGCGGTGTATGGAGGAATTGCAGTATCAGCGTGTTGCGGCGCAGAGGCTTGCGGCTGTCAGGACGGCGATTGATCAGGCGGGGCTGAGGAGGGTAGAGACTAGGTTACACCTAGGTAGTGCGTAGAAAGACGTCGAAAGGCTTTGAATAGACCATGTCGAGATCCCAGCTAAATCCTTGACTCCCTGTGGCCTGAAGCCCAGTCCGTCCCGGACTGGCTAGGTGGGTATAGATGTAGGAGCGAAAACAGGGTTCGGTTCGATCTCAGATCTGGAGCTTCTAGCTGCCCTGTAGATGGATGTGCATAGTGTTTCGAAACCTGGTAGATAAGCCCACGCCGCTGTATGTCCTTTGTGCTCGGACTCGTGATGCTGCTCAGTGCCTGCTGAGAGGAGACCTGGCATGGATATTGCCATCATTGCGCATAGAAAAATATTCAGATTGCGACTTGGTTCAGTACGTGGCATTCTTTCTCCAAGGCGTAATTGCTGCCTTGGTGCCTGGATGCCTTAGATCGGAGGCGACAATAATGAATGATGTCATAAGTATAGCCCTACGTCAGCGGCTCTCGCCTTCCCTCTGGGGAAACAGGGCCTGGATCGATCCACCACTTTCTGTGGTCGTCCCTGGATGACGTCGTTGCTTTCCTCTGCCCCTGACGAACCGTATCAGAACCAAGGACTCAGTGCAGGGAAAAGTTATAAAGTCTCTCCTCTTCCCCGGCAAAGTCTCAACTCACAACTCAACTCAACTCAACTCAGATAAACACAACCACAAGCAAAACAACTTCAACCAAACCAACTCGCTCTTCTCTTTAACAAAACCACAATGGAGACCGCCAAGGTACGCGCCCCTCCTCCTCCCTCCTCTCCTCTTCTCCCTTTCGTCATGATACTGACTACCGCCAGAACATCGTCAACTACGTCAGCGAGACCGTCCAGCAGGCCGGCGCCACCGCCTCCAAGGAGGTCAACAAGGACGTGGCCAAGGACAGCAACGTCGATGTTAGCACCCGTGCCACTGCCGCCAAGGACGCCCTCTTCGACAAGAAGGACGAGAAGGTCCACGAGGCTCAGGCTGATGTCCACAAGGGTATGTCCACCTAACTGACCGGAATGGAAGATAACTGACGAGGTGTACAGAGGCTGCTCAGCACTAGATCCGATCATCGGCAATGATCCCGATACTCTATTGCGGAGGGATCAATAGGGGTTCGCCGATGATGTGACTTTGATGAAGGGACTTCGGGTTCGATCCAACAGCGCGTCTTTGTATTTCTTATGACTCACGATGAATGATACCTACGCTTAATTCGATTTGTGATCGTGTTTTTAGTTCCATGTAGCTGTCAATGAAGAACCACTCGCGACGAAGCCATCTTTTCACTGCATATCGTGATCACCATCTCGTGTAGAAACGCTGAGGTCTCTCTGCCTTCAAAAGTCATCTCATGGGCCTCCGCTGCCTTCGGGCGTTGCGAATGACACCCGGAATCGAGCGCGCAATGAACTTTCTTCGAAGAGACAATTTCTAATACTACAACCTCAGGTCTAAGTGCAGGAAGGTGTCGACGACAATGGTTCCAAGTGTACAATGAATCTTTGTAAATGATCATACTGCTCCCTTGTCCGTGGCTGCCCTATAGCACCAACAAGTTGGCCCGCTGGAATATATCTACTACTTCTGGAAAGCCGCAGGTCAAGTAAAGGGAATTAGTAAATTAGGTTGTCGTGGCATGTACCATCTATATCTGAGAGTAACCTCGGTCATATAACGAAGCACGGGATCTATCCATACAAAACCATGAAAACAAATAACAAAGGCAGGAACAACCTACGCCTTGACCAACCTAAATCCAAACCTCGCAACCCTTAGCGCAACGAAAATCGCCGCCGAAACAAGACAGCTGACGCCACCAAAGATCCAAACCCCATTCCAGTTGAGATCACCAACATCATCACCCAGAATATCACCCGCCCCAGGCCCACCCGCAAGCACCCCAAACGCCATCATCCCAAAGCCCATCCCAATCCTCGTCCCAATCTTACTCTTATCCTCCGTAAGGGCAACAAACAGCAGCGGCGGAAGCCCAATCAGCGCACCGCTAAAAAACCCACCAAAGACAGCGATAACAATGATCCCCGCCTCATTAACAACGGCCATCATACACAGGATCAAAATGCCGACCATCATGCAGAACGGGCCGATCAGATTAAACGGCCCGAATCTATCAGCCATCGCCGTCGGAATCGTGCGTCCGAATACAGAGGCCGCGTTGAGGATCGGGACCAGGTAGAACGCCATGTCGGTCGATGTGAGATGGCGCGCGGACGCAACGTACGAGATGTAGAAGAGCAGTGTGAATAGGCCCATGAATGCGATGAGGCCGGCGACCACGAGCGTCATGAACGATAGATCCGTGAATGCGGTCCAGTCGACGAGCGCGCGCGCCTTGGGCGGTTTGACGCGCTGCTTCATGATCGCGATGGGCAGGAGGAGGGTGGCTAGGGCGATGAAGCCGATGACTCGGACTGCCCAGCCGAAACCAAGTGGCTCGAGCAGCCGATTCAATACGATGGGGTAGATGATTCCGCCGAGCGAGGAGCCCGAAACAGCGAGACCGAGCGCGGCACCAAGTTTAGACGAGAAATACGTCGGCAGGATCGAGACGCACGGCACGAATAGACACCCCGCCCCAATTCCGACGCAGAACCCCTGCGCCAGCAGAACCTGCCAGTACGCCTTGCACAGACTGAGCATCATCGTGCCGAAGACGATCCCGAATGCGCCGACCACGAGTAAAACGCGCAGATAGCCGCGGTCGTAGATCGGGCCCGTGACGAACCCGACGAGCAGCAGCATGAATGCTTGGACTGAGCCGATCCAGGAGATGGCGGAGGAGGAGCGGTGGAAGAGAGCACCCGATTCGTAGTATGTTTGGAAGACGCCGAAGGTGTTGAGCATGCCCCAGGTGTTGAAGAAGAGCATGAAGCCTGCGGCGACGTGCAGCCAGGCGATTAGGCCGCCGTTGGGTGGGGGTGATGGAGGGGCAGGGGCATCTTTGGGGAGTTGGTCTGTGGAGGTTTTTGGTGTTGTTTGCGTGTCTTCCTGGTCGTTTTGGTTAGGGCTGTGTGGGTGCATTTCGTGCGTGGCCTGTGTCTGCTGTCGGTCGCTCATTGTGCTGCAGTTTGTTGCGGAGAGGCGTTTGATTGGAATTGGAACTAGTGCTGTGAGACGCGGATACAGACAGATAGGGGCCGCTATTTATATGAGTTGCTGCTCTCTTTATTTGCTTTTCATCTTCGCTTGCAGGCCTCGGACTTGGACCTGGACTCATCCCTTTTGGGCTATTTTCGGGGGTTATATCCGAGGCACTATGCCCATTTCAGTAATTCCGAAGGCTCGGGGTCGGGCATGGATCACCCTGCGTCAGCCCAGAAGGAATAAGATCTTCACTTGGCTCAAATCAACAGCCTGTTAGAATGGCATTTGTCCTGATAATCTTACTTGGCGCGTTGTTGGTCTACTAGAAAAGCCTATTTGGCCTCGGAGATACTGTCTAGATCCCGAATTTCCCGAGCGCACTCATATGGAATAAGAGAAACAGAATCTACCAGTAGATAGTAGGCAGCATAGCCCATTCTCGTCCTTTGCAGAAGTATCCCTCTCAAGTCCCTTTGATAGGACCGCAGTATCAGTCATCAGAATAAGGCACTATGTGTGATAATGCTATCTGCATGGTGCACACAGCGCAAATGGATGTTGAAAATATACAAACAAGGCAATGCGACGCGATCTACAAGAAATCATTGTCAACATCATACGATTTTTGCACGCGATACATGATCTTGCAAGGGCTATCAATCAACATCGCCATCCTTAGCTGCAAGGTGGTATCACCCTCTTCCTCATATAGCCTCCACAGTCAAACCCCTCTTGATGTAATCGCATCTATTCAAATTCATAGTCAACCACTTCCCCACCACACAAGACTAGGAGATCGTATATCTTGCCGCTACAAACAAAGTCGCATGACTACGAGCCTGGGCTTCCTTAAGGCACAAAGAAGGTCCTTGTGCTTGCGCTTACTTGGCGTAACTATGAAAAAATCAGGAGCGTCCCCCTGCGATCATGATAGCCCATAGTCTAGTCCCATAAGTAGTTAATGACTAGCCAATAGCGTTGCTTATAGTAAACCTCTGGATTATCTATGTGTAGCAAGCGGTAAGTTATAAAAAAATCTTAATTATCACGTGCTGCGCTAGTTTTAATTAAAATAAGCATGTTTTAAGCACTAGCCCTTTAAGTATTTAATATATTTTTTAATTAAGTAATACATGGCTATACTATAAAGCTATATATATATTTTAAATAGGAAATATTACTAAAAATAAAAATAATAAAACTTTTATACTTTTAATTTATTAATTAAAGGGCTTTTTTAAGGCTTGTTATATTTTAAAAAATAGTAAACTTAGTTATTTTTAATAGTTTAGTTATTTTATTTATAAGGTTTTTTTTTTAATATATAATAAAACTTTATAAGGTATTACCTATAAATATTTTATATAAAAAAATATTTATTAGCTAACTAGTATATAATAATTAAAATTTTTTAACTAGTAATATTAATAATAGCACTAGTATTATTAAAATATATTATAATTAACTTATTATTTTATACTTTAAGTACCTTAGTAAGCTTTTTTATAAATAAGGCTATTTTAATAGCCTTATTAAATATTAAAAATTTTATTATAATAAATAAAGGTGCTATAACTACTTATTTTTTTAAATTTTATATAATAAAAAACTTATAAAGGTATATAATAAAGCCCTTAATAAACTTTTTATTAAAATAATTTTAATAAAATATATTAAAATAAATAATTATTTTTTTATATAGGTCTTAGTAAGTACTAAATTATTTTAATTAATTATAATATAATAAACCACGTGCTTAGCAGTTACTATATTATTAATAATTAANAAATAATTTTAATAAAATATATTAAAATAAATAATTATTTCTTTTATATAAGTTTTAAAAAGTACTAAATTACTTTAATTAATTATAATATAATAAACCACGTGCTTGGCGGCTGCCATGTTATTAATAATTAAAATTTTTTATTAATATTATAAAAATTAAATTAAATATATAAGGTTAACACGGGTTTTTTTAAGCTAGCTAAGAAATTTAATTAATTAGGTAAAGGTATAAGTACTAAAGGTATTAAAAATTAAAAATATATTAAAATTTATAGTATTTAATTAATTAACTTTTTATATAATTTTAATATACCCTTTTATTATTAGTATTTTTACTAGCCTAGCCTTAGTAAGGCTAAAACACTAAGTTATTTATTTTATATATATAATTTAAAAAAAGTAAATTATCTTGTTTTTATAATCGCGGGATATTATTAATTTAAAAAATTTAATTAATTTATTATTAACTTTAAGTTTATAAATTTTTTATAAAAGGCTAATAATAATATTTATATTAGCCTTTATTTTACTAGTAATAATACTATTATTTATATAAGTAATAATTAGCGCGTAGGGTAACTTTTAAATATATATATAAAGTTTTTTAATAAGTAGCTTAAAACCCTTGGCGTGTAGTAATTAGTTAAATTTTTAATTTTATAAATATATAAAGTTATAAAGGCTAAATAAAACTTTTTATATTTTATATATAAAGTTATTACTAATTTTATAACCACGTGACTATTATATATAAACCTTTTAATTAGTTATTTTTATATTAAAATAAGTATTAATAATATTAAATTAACACTAGCTAAGCCTTTAAACAGCTATAGCTATTAATATATATTTAATTATTATATTAGCTATAATTAAATAAAAGCTTTTATTATAATTTAATTTAGTAACTTAGTAATTATTATATATAATAATTTAAGCCTTAAATAATAATATAAAGCTATTTTTATTACTTTTAAGTATAAATACTTACTTATTAAAAATAATTTTAGCCTTTTTTAGCTATTTAACAAGCTTTTATATATTTATAATAACTACCATGCTAATATAAATTAATATAACTTTTTTTTATTAATTAAAAAATTTAAATTACCATACTTTTTTATAAAATTTTAATACTTTAATATTATTAATATATAATTTAGTTTTAGCTAATATTTAGAATTTCCTAGTAAGTAAATATTAAACTATTTTTTAAGTATTTTAATAACTTTAGTATTAGCATGTTTAGTTACTTTAGTTAATAGGCTATAGTTAATATAAGGTTTAAGGTATTTAATTAATAAAATAACTATTATATTAAAAATATTAATATTTATATTTATTTTATGTGGGATGGCCTTTATTATTAAAATTTTTAATTAATTAGAAAATTAGCCTAATATCTTATAGTTTAACGCCCTTAAATTTTAATTAATTAGTATATTTAGTATTATATTAATATTTATATTAAATATACGTGGTTTAAAGCAGTTTATCTTAAAAATTTATTTATATATATTTTAAATATTATTTAGCGCTAATTTTAATAAATTAAGGTTATTTTAAAGCTTTTAAAGGCGCGAAGTAAGTAAGGCTTAAGTTATTAATAAAAGTAATATAATTTATATTTAAAATTAATTAATAAGATTTATTAATAATAATGTATAAGCTAGTGTTATTATAGTATTAATATTTTTTATTAAAAATTAAGGTGGTATTACTAAATTAAGGTTATTATAATAATTTAATAAGGTTAGGCTTAGCATGCTAGTGCTATTATTATTATTATTAATTAATTATTTTAATAGGATTTTTATATTTTTAGTATGTAAGTATTATATTAATGCTAGAATAAAGTTAACCTAGTATTTTAATATTAATAAGGTAAGTAACTTTAATTTAATATTATTACATGGTACTAAAGTTAGTTAATATTATAAAGTTAGGAATATAATTTAAATTTAGCTAGTAATTAATATTTTAGGCGCCTAAATTATTAAAATTAGCTTAAAAATAAGTATATTATTAAGTTTAGTGTTATATATAATAGTCCCTAGTATTAATTTATTAGGTTAAAATAAAGCACTTTTTATAAATATAATACTAAGTAAGTAATTATTTTTATAAAACTTTAATTTATTAAATAAAATATACTTTAAATAGTAAACCTGCTTCCCTAGGACCTATACTTAAAAGATTTTATTATTATTTTTTTTATATTTAACTAAATAATTAATTAAAGCTTTTATAGTAAGCTTATAAAATTATTTATAGTTTTTAATTAATATATAAATATATAATTTATAGCTATAAGCGTGGAAGTTATTAAAATAAGATATTAAGTTATTAATTTAGTAATATTTATACTAAAGCTATAGGGGTAACTTATTATAAGAATTTTTAATAATAAATAGTTAATTTAAGGTTTTAATAGCGGTCTTAATTATTTTAGGCCATATTTTTTTTAGTAAATTAATATTAATTCTTATGGCACGGGCTATTATATTAATATATTAAGTATAATATTTTAAAATCTTATTAAACTTTAAAGTTTTTAGTAAAAAAAATTAAAATATTAAACTTTTTAGCTTAGCCCAGGCCTTATACTTAAAAAACTTTTTACTATTATTTATTTTAATAATATAAATATATTATCCCGTGAGGCGCTTATAGCATTTTTAATATAATATTAGTTATTAAAATACTTTTTTTTTAACATAGTATACCGCGGCTAATCAGGTAGCGTTATTAATAATTATAAAATAATAATTAAAACTATTAATTTTAGTTAGTTAAATAAGTTATATATTTATATATTATAATTTTTTTAAATTTACTTCCCGCGGGACGGGCTAAAATAATATTTTATAAAATTTAGCCTTAAAATAAGTAAAATAGTTTAATTAATTAATAATATTTATATTAAGGCCTTCCGCCTAGGTTATAATATAAAGTTTAAAAATATTTATATAGCTAAGGCGCTTGTAAAGTAAATTTATATTAATTATAGCTAATTAAAAATATTATTTAAATATAAACTTTAAAAGAAAATACCATGGCATGTGTAAGCTTACCTTATAATAATTTTATTTAGGCTAATAAAAGTATTATTTTTTTATAATACTATATGTTAAGTGTTTTTTTTAACTTTTTAATAAATAATAAGTAAATTAAAGCCTTAAGTATATAATATTTATAAACCCTATTTTTTTATATACTTTATTTATATTTTTTATAATAATAATTAGTGTTTTATAACCTTTAACATGTTTAATTATTTTATTAAATATTTTATATAAGTATTTTAAGTGGTTCGGGCTGTATTTTATATAATTTTTAAAGTTAAAATACTTAAAAAAATAAACTTAGCTAATTTTATATTTATAAGTTACTTTATTAATTTAGTAATTATAATAAAAGTAAGTATAACTAAGAGTTTAAGGCTAATTTTAAGCTTTAATTTATTATATTTAAAGTTATAATTATTAAATTTATTATTATTATATAAAGCTATAGCTTATAACTTTATACTAGTTTTATTTAAATATAGCGCTTATATTTTAAAAAGCTTAATTTAGCTATTAAATTAAAGTTAAGGGTTTAAATAATAATAATTTTTTTAAAAGTAGCCGCCATGTTTATAGTATTTATAAAAATAAATTTTATTATTTTTTTACTTTATTTAATTAACTTATTTATTTTTATTTATATTATTTAAAGGGCTAGTAAGCGCTTTAGTATAAGGTTTTTTATAATAAATTTATTTTTTTTATTTTTTTAAGGGCGGGGCCGTGGTAATAAGCAAAATAATTATTTTAGTTTTAGTTATAGTATTTTTATATAATTATTTTAGGTTATTTTTACTATAGTTTTTTAAGATTTTATTAATTAAAAATAATTATTAAAGTATAACCTATATTTTAAGATTACTATAAATTTTTTAAAAAACTAATAGTATAGTAATACTAGGTTTAATAATAATATATAGGTTTTTAATAATATTTTATATAATTATAAATATTATAATAAACTTAAAAATAATAAAGAACTAGTTTTTATATATATTAATAATATTAAGCACTATTTTAGTAATTTAAGGTATATTTTATTTAATAATAATTTAGTAAATTATATTATATATTTTATTAATATACTTTATTAAATATAAAAATTTTATAACTTTAATATAAATTTTATAGCTAACTTAGCTTAAAAGCTAATTAATAATAAGTATTAAATAATTTTTTTATTATTTTTAATATAGCCTATTTTTAAAAGCCCTAGTAAGTAAAAAATTAATTAATTAAAAAAGGTATAAGGCTTATAAATATTTTTTTATTTAATTAAATTACTTATTATAATTAATTTAGCCTGTAAGTTTAATTTTAAGTAAATATATAATAATAAAAATTATAGCCTTAAGCAGGTAGTACTTATAATATATTTATTTAAATAAAAAATTAAAGGGATTTATTAATTAAGTTACTTGCTAAAATATTTTTATAATAAAATTAAGTATTTTTATAATAAAAATAACTTATTAAGGCTTAGTTATATTAAATATTAAGTTTTAATTAATTAAAAAATTATAGTTTTATTAATTTATAAATAATAAGTATTAAAAATTATATTTTAAAAAAATAAAAAAAAATATATAATAGTACTTATTACAAGCTTTAAAGTTTATAAAAATACTTAAAAAAGTTTTAAAAAATATTTTAAAGTAATTAAAAAAGTTTAAGGGCTTATAACCTAATAACTAGCTAATAATATTACTTATAGTAAACCTTTAAATTATTTATATATAGCAAGTAATAAGTTATAAAAAAACCTTAACCATCACATGCTGCGCTAGTCCTAATTAGGATAGGCGCGTCCCGGGCGCCGGCCCTCCGGGCGTCCAACAGTAGTTTATGCATTGAATAGCTCCGGTCACCGTATACCTATTGCCAACGAGTGTGAAGGTGTTGGCGATCAGGGCGGAATCTCGCCAAGATCCTTGCGCTTGCGCTTACATGGTGTAAATATAAAAAAGTGAGAGAGTCACCCCTGCAATCGTGATCCTGTCAGCTTATTTCCCCGACACCCGACTATTCACCGCGTGTGCTACTGTCTCCTATTACGCACAGCCATCTCGGCAAGGGGCTGAGGATTATGAGGGATTTCATGCATTAGGCGAGAAAGTCATACCACTTTTCGTCCATGCTGATAGCGTATCTCAGTCCTGGCATCGGAATTTGATAGCGCGGATGTGCAAGCCTAAATGGAGTCTACAGACCAGTAATGCGAACGGACTTCAATCTGTGCAACTACTGAGCCGCGAAGAATCTCCCCGCAGGCTGGCAGTTAGATCTCTACCATATATAAAGTACCTAATATTTTTGTTGCCTCCGAGGGCTATGCTTACCCCAGATCAGCCGGCCGAGCACTATCCATGTTGAACGCGTGGTTAACGGCGTATATATGACTGGGACATACGCATTCATCTACTCTGGTCTCCAAGGAGTCCACGAGAGACAATACCTTCTGATTCTCCGCGCGGACCGAGACCTGGGGCTCTTGGCCAACGGCTTTGATATTCCTCAGAGCTACGCGTAAGCCCACTCCGGTCCCAAAGGAGTGCACCAGAGACAATGGCTTTCGATTCTCCGCTCGCGACCGCCAAGACCCAAGCCCCCGATACCTTGGGTTATCTCTCCTGAATGATTACCAGGGTCTGTTTAGGATGTTGGTCCTAACGCTGCAGCCTGGCTACCAGGGGTACGTTACCCCTTGAGCATATCTCGGGATCATCGTATTTATAGTGTCTAAAGTCCCGACTGCCCCGCCCACATGTCTTCTGTTTCGCACTTCATTCCACCGGAAGGCTGTTAGGGCTAGATCCCCATCGTCTCTCTGCCTCCAGCTCACAGAGTCCGGTCACTTTGCTGAACCCACGCCAATTGTTTCTCAACCGACGAACCTCGATTCAAGCCTGCAACACAATGAACCCAGAACCAGAATACCCAGCACGCGCCCAACTGCGCCAGCTCGTGGCCCTGCATCCGCTCCCGTCGCTCACCCCCGAGCTCATCGCCAAAACATCCATCAAAGAGGATGATGCCACGAGCAAAGCCAGAGCTACCATATCCCTCCTCAACACAGCCCTGGAGACCAGCAACCCCCAGCTCCTTGCGAGCTGCTTCTTCCCGGGGCAGGCATTCTGGAAGGACCAGCTGGCGCTCACGTACCATCTGCGCACGTTTACGGACCGAGATGTGATTGTGGCGGCATTGCTGGAGACCAGCGCCTTGAGAAGAATTTCTGACGGGAGAATGGAGATGCAGGGTGCTGCTAAATTCGTTGCGGTTTCGCCCACTCTGGTGGGTTCCTTCTCTCTATATCAGACCATTTGGAGTCCACGATTCTGACTACGGGGATGCTCAACAGCAATTCATAGACTGCGCCATTGTATTCCAGACAAACTCTCCCGCTGCTTCGTGCAGGGGCCGCTTGCTCTTCCTGCCTGTCTTGGCCGGGACAACCGTCGAGTGGAAGATTTGGGTGCTGAATACTCGTCTTGGAAATCTTGATATCCAGCCCGAGGACGAGGCGTTGCTCAGCGAGCCGAGAAGACACCTGGACTTGGGCAGTCTAGACAAGTTCGAGACAGACGTCTTCATCATCGGTGGTGGGAATGCGTGAGTTGCCTTTCCTCTCACCCAATTGTTATCTATTATACCTATTGTCATCACCACTGACCCTCACATAGAGCCGCCGCCCTCTCAGCCAGACTAAAAGCCCTAGGCGTCGAGAGCGTCATGGCCGAGCGCAACGCGCACGCCGGCGACAACTGGGCACGGCGCTACGACTGTCTTCACTTCCATCTCCCCACGGCGCTATGCGATATGCCGTATATGCGTGAGTCAGCCCATTCAACGAAGAGACCAGCATGCTAAACATGTCAGCATATGACCCCGACCTACGCGGCGCACACTACCTCTCCCGCGATGAACTGGTCGCCCATCTCCGCCGGTATATCACCACCCTCGGGCTGAACTATCTCACCTCCGTCCAGATTCTATCAACGCACTACTCCCCGTTAACTTCGCGGTGGACAGTCCGCTTCCGGACTCAGATGGGTGAATGCACGGCCACAGCAAAGCATCTTGTTCTCGCGACGGGGATCGGCTCGCAGAGGCCGAATGTGCCTGTGCTCGCGGACAGGGATGTTTATACGGGAATTGCAATGCATTCGGTCGAGTATACGAGTGCGCGGGCGTTGGTCGAGCGCGGAGTAAAGGTACATCCACCCCCACCTGGCTCCTCTCCTGCCTTCCCTATGCATGATATACCATACTCACCCGTTCGCTGCCTACAGTCAGTCCTAATCCTCGGCTCCGCAAACACAGCCATCGACATCCTATCCGACTGCAACGCCCACTCCCTAAAACCAACCCTCCACGTCCGCTCCCCCACCTACATCCTCCCCGCATCCTACCTCGCCCACCCCGCCGGTCTAGGCTTCTATAACGTCGACGTCGCGGCAGCAGACACCCGCTTCCTCACCCTGCCCACCATCATCGATGCGCAGTTCACGCAGGCCCGGCTGCGGCACCTTGCGTCGCAGGGCGCTGAGCGCACGCGGTACAATGCCCTTGCTGCGACTGGGTTTCCGGTGTTGGATAGTAAAAGCGAGGGGGTTTTGTTGGGGCACCATTTCATCGAGCGCGCGGGGGGCCATTATATTGATACCGGGGGTGCGGATGTTATTGTGAACGGCGGGGTAAGGATGCGGGTTGGCGCTGAGGCTGTGGCGTTCACGGAGACCGGAGTGAGGTTCTCGGATGGAAGCGTGGAGGAGGCTGATGCTGTGGTGTTTTGCACGGGGTTTGCGGATACGGATGTTCGGGATGGGGCGGAGGCGATTCTGGGTGGCAGGAAAGACAAGGAGGATTCAACCCAAACCAGGGGCCAAACTCATGTGGACGGCGTGGAGGATGCGTGCCATGCAGATGGCGACCAGCTTGATGCATCGGACATTGCGGCCCGGCTTGACGCAACATGGGGTGTTGACAGCGAGGGCGAGATCCGCGGGATGTGGAAGCGGCATGTGGCGATGGACAACTTCTGGGTCATGGGCGGCCACACGCAGCAGCATCGCTGGTTCTCGCGCATCCTGGCGCTGCAGATCAGGGCCGCGATTGGGGGGGTCCTCCCGCCGGCGTATAGGGGTACGCCGGGGCTGAAGGCGATCATGGGGGCGAATAATGAATACCTGAACTGATCTGTTGGTAGTTATAGGCGTATATGTGGGCAATTATGACTCGGTGTTTACATGGCAACGTAGCTATTGACTCTTATGCCAATGGACCAATCCTTTCATGGGGAGGTGGTACAGCTGCTGCAGTTCGGGTAAGCTTAGAAGATCCCCCTCGGTGTGAAAGGCAGTACAGCCGTATTCCAGGCGCACAGGTAGCGCATGCGCCTCTATTTATACCGAGTTGAGGGCCTTTCCAAGACTGCCGAGTCACCTGCAGTTTCACCAGACCCTACACCTCTCCCACGACAATAGCCATGACCAAGACCAAGACCAAGCCAAAACACGGATTAAAGCCACGCCACGCGTACATCGCACTGTTTAACACTTTCGCCCACGCATCGGTATCCCGGACAGCGGGGGCCCAGAATCTCAGTGCATGATCTTGGCTACAGATGCCCAGCTTTGCCGAGCAATTGGACCCGGCTCGACGACTCGGCGACGCTGGGGAGCTGACATCCATGGATGGTGGTTCAATCTGTGGAAAGCTCTGCAGATCAAGTCTGGGGAGTAGATGTTTCGCGTGAAGTTTCCTTAAGTATGCTCGTTATCGTTCCTGACGATCAAGCAGGGAATCAAGGGGTGTCCTGAAAGTCACATGACACCAGGCCAGCACGAAGCGCTGCGCCCGGGCCTGCAATCCCACACCTCCTCACACTCAACACAGGGAAACAGAGTGCAGGATGAAACCATCACAGCCCCGTCTTGTTCTGGCGCCGCCGCTCCCTAATGGAGCGGAAAAAGATAAGAACTTCCTGGAGTCAAGCTTTTTCCAGATCCCGAATCAGCATCTCCCCACTCCAGAACAAGTAAGGGCCTTATCCACCGATCTTTCGACCAGCCCCCAACCAAAGCCCGTCATCTTCACAGATCCTGATATCTTCGTCAAGTTTGGCCGTTATGTCTCTGTTGGGGAAGCCCAGTGCCTCTGGATGGTAAGACAAGCCCTTGGCGACAAAGTGCCTGTCCCCGAGGTTTTCGGATGGCGGGTCGATGACGAGGGCTATGTGTTTATCTACATGGAGCTGATTCAAGGCGAAACACTGCTGGATCGATGGGAGCATTTGACAAGCTTGGATAAGGAGGGATTACGAGATCATTTGTCTCAAATTCTCGCCGATTTGCGTCAGCTCAAGCAGAACTGCGACCAGTATATTGGTAAGTCAAACGGCTTCGCAACGAGTCGCTGGTTGGTCATCTACTAACGCTGGGTAGGATCACTAAACCGGGATAAACTTCCTGACTACGTCTTTCAGTCCCTACGACAAGCCGGTCCGTTCCCCAGCATCAGGGAGTTCAATGACTGGTTCTCCTCCCTGCCACAGGCCCGGCTTGCTGGATCTCAAAGATACACCGACCCTTATAGGCATCTTTTGCCGGACGATGGAGATATCAAATTTACCCATGGAGATCTTCATCGGGGTAATATCATGGTATCTTCGACATCTCCGCCCCGGATCCTTGCTATTGTGGATTGGGGACAGGCAGGCTGGTACCCGGACTACTGGGAATATTGTAAAGCTCTCTATACATGTTGGTACGAGGACGAGTGGCGTCAGGACTGGATTGACAGGGTTTTGGAGCCCCGGTTTGAGGAATCGCAGGTCTTTTCCGAATATACCATGGCGATTGGTGCTGTCTGAGAAGGGCGGCGACCATGGTCCATGGGTAGGTTATTCAGCTACCTTGTCATCAAACCACAGGGAAATAAAAGAGTAACGCAGAGACTATAGTCATCTGGACCAACTCCACCGAACGAAGCCTTTAATTTCCATCGCTGGTCTTGCATTCGATGTCCCAGCGGCTCTGTTCCAGCCAGCCCAGATGACAGAACCATGGACAGCCCTAACGGCGTCCTACAGTCTGGAGCCCGATTTCATGAGTCGGCGGATCACGCTTTGACTGGACAATCTAATCGCTTCTTCCCCAATGTACCCCTTGGCAACAAGGTGCCAGATGAATTCCATAGGCCATTCTTGACACCTCTTGTCCCTGGTCTAGCAACGGCGAGAATAAGGATCGCAGAACATCCTACCGAGGGGAAGGTATAACTTACACCATTAACAGAATCTCCCCATTCACAAAGTTGAAGCGTTGACCTTCTTCTCGCAATTCTTACAGAATACCATAGTACCTTTCGGGCTGTACCTAGTTACCAGGGCATGGCGCGGCCGACCACCACGAACGGGCATACTGCAAATCTTGGCCGGTAGAAACAGGGCAAAAGCTACCATATCTGATGGAAGCAAGACTTGTGATAGAGTTCGTAATGAAGGGCATATCTACTGCGTGAGTCAAGAAACTCTAGGTTTCAAGTTGGCACTTCACAAAAATTGCACTGCAAGAAGATAGAGTCTATGCGTTGGAAAAGCAAGCCTTTCCTGCTACGGTATAGTATACCATCTGCTCCTACCAAGGTACGTCCTTCCCATCGTACTGATTCGGCCCGGGCGCGTTCTCCCATCCCGGGACATGGATATTCAGGAACCGCCCATTGAGATCACGCCCACCACTCCTAATATATCTGACGACTTCCTTTGCACCAACCTCAACAGGCAAGTCTGCGTAGCTGCCGCCGAGCTCCGTCTTCAGCCACTTCATAAACGCTTCAGCAAAACATACTCTTGCTACATGAGGCAACACTTACGCCTGGACTAATGGCAAACACCGAGAACCCTTCATCAGCGTATTGCAATGCGTACTGTATGGTTAACATGTTCATGGCCGCTTTGGACACTTTGTACGCATGTGTCGGGCTCATCTGGTACTTGGGAGCTTGTGCTATCGAGCCGACGGTGCTGGAACTGGAGGGAAAGGTATCTCAATCTCAGCATTTGCTCATGAAGAACACTTTATCTGAGGTGAATTGATTAAAGTTGGGGGCGTACATGTTGGAAATCATCTTGTGCTCGCCCTTCCGCAGCAAAGGCAAGAATGCCCGCGTGACGTAGTGGGTTAAGGTGACATTAACATGGAATGTCTCGGTGAGGTCGTCCCTAAACACCTGTACTTAGCCCAGCTACGGTGGATATGAAGATAGAGTGAGAACTCACGCCATCTCAACCTTTCCATCCGTCACTGGCTGCGTTCCGGCATTGTTGACGAGAACATCCAACCCCTTACCCTGTAGGCGATCTTCAACCAGTTTTACCGCAGCACTGAGGCTCTCGGGATCATTGGGATCCAACTGGACTGGTACAACGCGGCCGGATGTAGATACGGCAAGATCCTTCAGACTGCCAGGGTTATGCTGGCGCGTTGTAGCGAATATGATGCTGGCTTCGGACTCAGGCAATGCAGCCAGTTCCGTGGCTATGGCTAGCCCGAGGCCACGCGAGGCGCCGGTTATGAGATAGGAGGTCATCTTGACGGGCTCGACGTAGAGCACAACAACGAGGTAACAGGAACTGATTGAAACAATGGCTCTGAAAGGACTCTTGTATTTTCTTGCAATACGGGCAGCAGGAACGGAGATAGCTCGGACATACCGAGAAGGCCGATTGGGCTACGCTGGAGCCTGGGAATGTCCTGTTCAGACCGACTTACTCAGCTACAGATGCCCCTGTTGGGTTTGACTACGTACTCACTTGGTATACTCTTGGTCTCATTGCAACTCACCGGCAGGTGGCCACGGGGTTGACCATACCTGTGCTGCCCATCTACGCTACCGAAGCCCGCCAAATTGAAGGATCATGGAGGAAGAAACAGAATGTCATATCTGGCTGGTGCCTCAAATTGAACCCATTGTGCTGTTTGGTGCCCCTTACTCGAGCAACGGCGGAGCGAATTCACTTAGATTGGAAAATGTGGATATGTTGTTTCGCTACCCTAGACTCGGAGCAAGGTATGGCAGTGTGATCTGGTTGCTTAACGGTCAACGAGCGCTTGGGATTGTCTGGTTCCAAAGGCTCAATGAGTTCACGGTGGAGTGACATGGAGAGTTATTCACAAAGGAAGTACATGTGCGTCAGTTTTGGGGTTGCACGACGACAGAGAAGACCAAGAGTAGCCAGCTGAAAGCATGCTTTTGGCCCTTTCAGACTGAATTGATCACTCAGGTCTAGTGACACTTGTGACAAGGAATTAGAGTGGGCGAAACAAGACAAGAAGAAATCTTTGTTAGGGTTCGTACAAGGGAGGATAAGGACATGTCATACTCAACTGTGTCAGCCTTTGGGTGCTTCTGACATTGATCATGAATAAGGTTCTTTGTATTCTTTCAACTTTCAGATTGATGGCCTGGTGAGAGTTCACAGTAACGGGGCCTTTGTCTGCTTTGAATGCCCTTGTTTATAGAACGTTGTAGAGAAACAGGCAGGTGACATGACACACTCCAAAGCCGATTTGAATCTGAAATGAACGACATAAAGCGCCGTAGCCTTTCAATCCAATGGCAAAGAGGCATTATTCTAGAAAGTCTCAAAGACAATCAGTCAAGATAAATAGCCGACGAGTTGCCCTCCAAACACTTCCATTCCATCCTCAACCACCATCATCACCACTGTTCTAGCCCAGCTAGCCTTCCATCCACCACACACCACATTCCACTTTCAACCCAGTCTCCTGACCATATCCACCATGTCGTCCCGAGACTCCCACGTTTCCCGCTCGTCCCGGCACTCGTCCTCTTCAGGTCGATCCCGTCACGGAGACGCAGACTCGACTGTGTCCTCATCCACCATCAGGCACTCCGCCGCCCCCGGCGGATCCAGGCTCTATGAGTCCGAGGGCTCGGTGATCGGCTCGGAGGTCTCGCGCTCGTCGCGACGCTCCAGCACCGCCGGTCATTCCACTTCCGATCGAGACTCCCACGTCTCATCGTCCAGGCACTCGTCTTCCGGTCGTTCTCGACACGGCGACGCAGAGTCGACGGTGTCCTCATCCCGACACTCAGTGTCTGGCCGATCTAGTCACGGTGACGCAGGTTCGACTGTGTCCTCATCCCGTCACTCATCGTCCGGTCGTTCTCGGCACGGCGACGCAGACTCGACCGTGTCCTCGTCCAGGCACTCTAGTGTCTCCGGCTCGTCGCGACACTCTAGGTCCAGCGAGTCAACCGTCTCCTCATACCGACACTCCGCTGCCCCCGGCGGCTCCCGCCTCTACGAGTCCGAGGGCTCGGTCATCGGCTCTGACGTCTCGCGCTCCTCACGTCGCTCCAGCACCGCCGGCCACGGCCACGGCCATAGTTCCCGAGACGGCGGCCTCGCCGCTCGGCTCCGGGATATGACGATCCACGAGGAGCCGCGATCGGGAGACTCAACTGTTTCCTCGTCGCGCCACTCCACTGTCTCGGGTATGTCGCGACATTCCACGCGCTCAGGCGCCTCAGACTACTCGCGGGCCTCGGACCGCACGGTCACCAGTGCTCGCCAACGGACGTACCGGGAGGACTTCACGTTCCTCATTGGCCGCACCCGGCAGTACCGCAAGGAGAACCCGTTCCACTACTACGTGATCCTGCACGGGAACAACACTAAGACTTGCGAGCATTGGTTCGTGGACATTGAGAAGCCAACCAGGCTCAAGACCGTCAATGGGCACACGGTCGGCCTTGACCATTTCCATATGCATGAGGATTCGCCTAGGTGTACGGATCACTGCAAGGACTTGACCAAGGTCTACGTGGGGACTATCAAGGCTAGAGATCGGCCTCGCTGGGACAAAATGTGGGAGTTGTATGATCCGACGAAGTACCAATATGATCTTCTGGCTCCGTATGCGTGGTCGACTATGGTGTGTGAAGAGCTGCTTGAGGAGTACGCTGTTGTCAATGCTTTGATGGAGTTGGGTGGTGATTTCATGCATCCTACCAGTGGTCAGCCTTGCTATGTAGAGCATGTTCCTTATGTGTGAGTGCATATGCTCTGCATGCTGCTGTTTGTTCCATGTTGGAGGGTATGAGGGATCTGGTTATGTTTGTGCTTTCTGCTTTTGTCATTCAACACTTAGTCATTCTTGGTTTTGTTCTCTGCTTGCTTTGAACATTGTCATTCTCTAGCTATAAAATCCAACTACTGTCATTCTTTTCAATCATTGTATTTTCCCAGACATAGATAGCGCATTGCTTCCATCAAACCGTTTTGACGTAATTATTACTAACCCACCTAGACAAGCTGCTAGTGGATGTGAGAGTGATATGGCCGCTCTTTTTACTTTCCATCCGAAGCCCCAAAGGTAGGTAGAAACTCCACCATACCGAAGTCTCCGCATAATTTCCGTTTCTTGGAGGTTACTGCAATGGCATTGCCGCTTTCGAAGCTCAGTCCCCATACAACACAATAACATTCAAGTACTACGTACATGGTAACTAATTGCTAAGGTAACCCTCAGCTGTAGAATGACCCTAAAACTCTGGGCTTTGATCATAAATCAAGTTGGATCCACTGCCAACTGTCAGCACACTCCAACCTTGCTTACGACCTGCAGCATTAAGTCCGTCCAGCCATGCACTAGCAGCACTACCAAGCAGCGCAATTAGTAATGTAAGCGCCGGTGGGATACCACGGTATATAAAGTACCTCATTTGGGTTCCGAGTTCTCACTAACGCAGTCTTAGCCACTGAACATACTATATCCGCCCGTACGCAGAGATCTAGCTTAAGCATCTTAACAATGCCCGACATCAAGCTCTTCTTCACCCCAGGCGCCTGCTCCCTAGCACCGCACATCCTCCTCCACGAAACCAACCTAGACTTCACACCCCTCCTCATCAAGCCAAACGGTCTGGAAGTCGACTTCCCGTCAGACTACAAGGCGTTGAACCCCAAGATGCGTGTACCGGTGATCGTTGTCGATGGTGAGGTCGTCACTGAAGTCCCCGCCATCTGCACGCTCATCTCGCAACTATCGCCGAACAACAAGATCATGGGCGCGACGCCGCTCGAGACGGTTAGAATCTACGAGTGGTTGAATTATCTTTCTGGGACTGTGCATGCGGCGGGGTTTGGGCTTTTGTTCAGGCCGTGGCGGTGGACGGTTTCGGGGGATGAGGAGGTTCATGTAGGGATTAAGGAGAAGGCGAGGGAGAATATACGGGCGGCCTTTGAGTTGATTGAGGGGCGGTTGACCGAGGAGAGTACGTTTGCTCTTGGTGATGAACTCACTGCTGTTGATGCGTTTTTGTATCCGTTGTATCGATGGGCTGTGGTTTCTGCGTTCGATCTGGTGCCGTACCCTAAGCTGGGGAGTTTGATTCGAAGACTGGAAGGGAGAGAAAGTGTGAGGATTGTGCTTGAGAAAGAGGGATTGGAGAGGGTCACTGAGCTTTGATCCCCCACCTGCCGTTTATATCGGATGGATATCCCGAGGATGATTGCTAACTCAAAGACACCGGACCCTACGGCATTGTGGATGAGGTTGAATAACAAAGGAATATATACTATACTTGATTGTCAAAGTACTCCAACTGTTGGAGAGGCCTCGAGAGCCGAGAAGAACTGTGTTTTGGGGAGGAAGTTGTTGGAGGAGGTCATCCTGCGTCACTCGACGATTGATGATGGAATCCATTCTAAAGCAATTCCAAGGGGGTTTCTTTAGTGGCAAAGAGACCATGAATAGGATGGATGGGATTGTTCCCTTTGTCCTAGGAAGGATTTTGACAATGGTAGTCTTCTTTCACACTGTCCGATAGTCAATCAGCGCAGACATAATCAGGTCTTTCAGGCAGTGACAAAGTAAAACAGTTTACCCTTAACGATATATTCTATAATACGAATCGTGAAATTGTAACAAAGAAGGTCCAAAAGGCAAAGGGGCGTGCTCAATGCCTTTGTGCGTTTTAAAAAGGATCTTTTCCTTCCATACAGGGATATCCAAGTACCCATTTCATAGAAATATTGATCCTTTGACACAGTCAATAGAAATGCAACTTTCCATATTCTGGTACAGTGCAAACAGTCAACATAAATAGGCCCTAACTCCCTTCTCAACAGAACTTCAACATCCGTGATCCTTCTAACCAAGTTCTCGCGAGATAACTCGACTTACCGAACCAAAGCTCCGCACATACATACTTCACCATGTCTTTCTTCGTCCAGAAACGACGCGCATACACGCACGCTATCATGGAAAACGCCACAGAACCCAAGTGGTACACTGAGTTCCGGGCAAAGCTGAACTCGGACCCCAACACCGCCGAAGACCACACACTGTACATCGGCCAGCCGGCCAATACCCCCCGGGGCATAAACCCAACGACGCAGTACACCGTCATCCTCCACGGCAAGAACAGCAAGTCATGCCACTCGTGGTATCTGGATCACCCCACTGGAAATGCACATGATCTTCACCTCGGACCATTTGCCCTCGTGCATACGGTCCACCCCGCCCCGGCCGAGGGATCCAGCTGCCCCTGTGCGCAGCTCCAGACTGTGCGGGTTGGACAGGTGGACGCTGTAGACTACGAGAAGTTTGTGGCGATTATCGCGTCGCTGGATCCGTCGCTTGCTAGCCACGCGTTTGTTTCGGATGTGCTTCAATTCGGCCGCGCGGCTGACATTCTGTATAACCACCAAGTTATCTGTGCCTTCAAGGCGCTGTTTGGAGTTGGCCCGTCACCTAAGTAAATGGAACTGGCTGGGGTTGGCCCGCCCAAAGCTCTATCGCTGGGCATCTGTCATCCAGCTTTTCTTCCTTGTGCCAGCCGCCAGAGGTTGTGCAAACGTGCTTACGGTACTAACTCGGTCCGCATTCCTTTCCCACTATGTCGCTCGTTAGATATTGAATACATTTTCCCATTTTGCATTTATTTGCGCTACTCAACAAGTCTTGTTAGTCTTAAGATTAGATAGTTCCCTCGCTACGAGAAGAGTGTAGTACACAGTCTTGTTAGTCTTAAGATTAGATAGTTCCCCCGCCACGAGAAAGAGTGTAGTACACCAAGAATTTGGACTCCATTGCAGGCCAACTAATGTCACAGCTGTTCATGCTGCAACCGGCGCGTTGCACTTATCTGCCACCAGTACCATCATCCATTATCATTGCTTTATACCACGAACCTTGGGGGTACACGGTCAGGACAAAACGGCACAGTAGCAAGGAGCAATATTTGCTGTAGGACTCGGAACGAAGATTTATACAAAGCAGTCCAATCGCAAACGGACTACCATAGCCGAATAAGACTCTGTAACCACAAGACTGGCGTCCAAACCTGGGCTATATGCCATACCCGTCTGATATCCGATATTCATCACGGTAGGTACTGCCCGCCACAACCCACACACTCATTCCATCCAGCTTCTTATCTCTACAGCTTCGCCAACGCCTGTGTCCGGCACTTCACCGCCTCCCCATAGCTATCAGACGAGAAGGTAACCGTGCTCCCCCTAGGGAAGAAAAAAACATCGCCAGCCTTGACAGTCGCCGCGTTACCAGCTTCGTCGCGAAAATTGAACTCCCCTGGACGATATACTAGTTAATATATTCGCGAAAGATGACGACGAACGGGATGCACTTAGTCTACCTTCAACAACAACACCAAACTCATCATACTCATATGTTGGGGGTGTAGCTTCGGGCCCCTTCTCCATGCGGAACCAGGCGCCCACGATGGGGTCGCGGGTGCTTTTGTCTTCGGTGCCTAGCAGGTCGGCTGGGAGAACGGATGAGAAAGGCGATCTAAAATACAGAGGGGGTACAGCTTACTGAAGAAGACGTTGGAAACCTCTGGGAGCGCTGGGAGCTTGAAGCGCTCGGTCTTGTCTTTGATTTGAAAGGGCATTGTTTGTTGGCAGGAGTGAGATGAAATGGGTCTAGGATGTACCTAGCTCAAGACACTATTGAAGACGCGCTGCTGGGATATAAAATATAAGGGTACATAGTCAGCGGCCAATCGCGTTGCATCGATAAGCGCACTTTTTGCCCACTTGGGGTAAGGCCGGACTACCAGGGCACGGCACAGATTACGCAGTGCTGGATGTGCCCTTGGCTTGTTAGAGCCGGAATGCGGAACAGGTACGCCATTGCCCTTTGTGAACTTCGTGAATGGAAAGAAAAATCTGAAGTTGAGCCCTTGTCTTTAGCCAAGGATAGTCTCTAACCTCTCTTCCACCATGACCTCAACCCACTGGACAAACTCGTAGGTCTTTGAACTCCCCACTGCCGCCTGGACATCACTCCTCGCCCAGACCTTCTCTAGAATCTCGGATGCCCGTGAAATCGCCGGTAGACCAACATATCGCCGAACCTCCTGGAGTCTGGAGCGAACAAAGCTACGCCAATGTTCCTGCACGTCCTCCTGGCTTGAAGACAGTAGCAATTCAGCTGACAATGTCTCCCATGCTGACTGATCCTTATTGCCCTGAAATAAACCGCCCAAAGGGCGGATAGATTGCAAGGTGCTCCCGGCTATAATAAGCGGTATGGTCAGAAGGCAGTTCACGCCGGAACTCTGGGGGACGGCAGCAATAATGTTCAGGATTGACACGGCCATTGCTAAGACTTGCGCTGCTGGCGCCAGCCCATGTGTGGGGGAAGGAGTTAAGAGATCTGGGAAATTCCTATAGAGCTCTACTAAGGCGCTGAGTCGGTAGATCTGAGCAATGCGCCGTAGATGCGTTACCGTCGTCACTGGATCGGCAGGGTCATCTATCAAGTCCTCAGGGGGGACCTGATATAGAACGAGTGCTGATTCAGTCTCTCGTGCGGAGCGGAGAAGGCCTGCCTGTAGCTGTCCCGTTGCATCTTCTCGAGATGTTACCTTTGACAGCTGGCTCAGCAACAAACGTTGTCTTGCGAGCGTGCCAACCCTTGCGAGATACACAAACAATGGCGTGCTGATGCCAGTCCACGGGTTGGGGCGAATTCTGTCGGACGGCTTCTGGTGGCAAAGAAAGTCTAGGTAGCTCATCTCATCCAAGGACTGATTGACAACAAACGAGGACATAGCTTCCCAGTATGTCATTATGCCGGTCATTGTATCTCGCAGCCCATCCGATTGCCCATGACTAGCTGTCGTAATCCACTGTTTGAAGAGAGCCCGTGCTCCGTGGATGTGCGTTGTTCCAAGATACGATGGGTTGTGCCAGCTCTCGAAATTTCTCAGCTCGTGTCGTGGTTGAAATTATAATAAAAGAAAACATACCTCGGTCATGCCTAGAAGGATGCTCCCCAGCAGCGCCTCTGTGGGCCCAGATGAACCCGACCGATCTGCCCCCGTGCTATTCCTTAGTTTCGGAATGGTCGATCGTAACAATGACTGTGCTTTAGCCCGATGGTCCAAGGCGGAGGTGGCCATAGTACTCTTTAGGCCAGTTAGGTGCGCAGCAGACATTGATAGAACGCAGTGGTAGACTAGGGGCGACGAGGCCATCAGGCTGCCAATCTCTGCTCGGAAGAAGTTGCGCTCTGAATCGACGCATGAGTTTATTCGACAGACTTGGACGAAGTAATGCCGAGATATGCCTGTGTCCTCGTCCTCCAGCGCCATGGGTATGTGCAAAGGAGCTGAATGGTTCACCCATCCTGTCCAGTCAATGCTGTTCGGCGAGTCGCCTGGTAGTTGAATATCGGGAAGAGCACTCGAGAGATCCAGATTGGGATTCTGGTACACTCCATGCGTCGAAAAGACATTCGCGGATCCAGTGCCAAACAGGATACTGGGATCCAACGACGATGAAGAACCGATAGGCGTTGGAAAGCCTCGAGAGGAGGGGTCATCAATAGCAGTGCAAGGTGTAGTATATGCCAATAACTCCCTGGATGAGCTCGATCGGTTCCTTGTCCGTGGTTCATCGCCTCGAAACTCATATTTTGAAGACCATTTCAAAGGGCGCCTGTAGCCGGGGCACGCGAAGCCTCTCCTCGTACACTGGTTGCAGTTTGGGTGAGTTTCGTCGCATTTGATCCTCTGTCCAGAGTCAGCTCGTCCGGTAGGCAAGGGCGACCAAGCGCGTTACCCTCTGCTTGCAACGTGAACAGCCAGCTAAGGCATACTGTGAGATACAAGAACCCGGCTTTTGATAGAGTCGACCACTTACTGCGCGTTTTAAGGCGATTCTTGGGTATTTGTCGTTGATCGGACATTGCTGGCTGTATGGCTACAAAACATGGAGAAGCAGGCTTCCCCGCGTGAAATTACGTAGAAAGGATGTGGCCGGCGCTCGCTTTATAGGGCGATCTTATCTACATCCAGATAAGGGTTGGTTGGGGTAAACATAATAAGAACTCTGCCTAGTTTAGATATTGGATGGGGAACTATCGATGATATAAGAATGACCTATAAAAGCTCTTTTATGTGTTGGTTTGTCAAGGTCTCAATCCTGACATACCCGCCATGGAAGTGATGATAACAATCTAGATGTGAAGGTGAATATCAGGACCCCGATACTGCTTCCTCCCCTGCCACACCCAGTATATCCCACTGAATATCAACACCGCCCCGAAGATCAGACTCGAGTAGTTCATGTTCTTCGCAGTCACCGGCTGGTATGGCGGAAACACCATGAAGATACTCGTGTAGCTTAGATAAATCACCGAAACAACATTTACATGTACCCCTATAGCACCGAGTCTCCAAGGGCCGTAGGCAAGTGTGACCTGGGCGGAAGAAAGACGGCGCCAGAGCATCAAGGACACCGGTACCAGGTAGGAGATATTGAGCCCTAGGACGGCAAGCGACGTGATCGCGTTGAGTGCCGTGGTTGAGCCAATATTCACCACGCCTAGCAGAGCTAAGACGGCGCTTGTTGCGAGTATGGCTGCGGTCGGCATTTGGGTCCTGTCATTCAATTTCGAGAGTTGTTTGTGCAAAGGCAATGCTAATATATGAGTCAATATTCCGCAAAACCAGGGTTCATGGCTAGCAATCTGCGGGTGAGGCATACCCTTATCCCTCGCGAGCGACCAAACCATCCTTGACGCGGACGCAATCAACGCAATCGTGGCCAACACCGCAGTCAATATCACAATCGCCATCATGGCACTGCTCGCTTCTCGCGAACCCGTCACGCTGCGGAAGATTTCGATGATCGGGTACCCCGTGGTAGTATTCAGCGCTGCGTCCATGTCGCCCATACAGAACAGAATGGCGATGAGGAAGGCAAAGCCCAAGACGCCATTGAGGATGACCGAACCCAACATGCAGAATGGGACTTCTTTTGCTGGATTGGACATCTCTTCGCCGAGGTGGATGGCGCCGTCGTAGCCTGTTAATACATAGCAGCTAGAGAGCATGCCGATAGACCATGCAAGTCCACTGCTCGACCAACCGGAATTATTCAGGAACGTTGTGAAGACGAATTCCGCGGAGTGCTTGACAGGCGAGCATACCCAGAGCACGGTGAAGATTGCGATGAAGGCACAGACATGAATGACGAGGGCCATTGTCTCCACCAATGAGAGGAGTCGACTACCCCAGATGTTGATCACTGTGCCCAGCGCAACAAAGGCCCAGTATATCAGTGTTCCCTGCCACCGGGCCATGCCGTATGTCTCGTCGTTGAGGACCACGACGCCCTGGAGCATCGTCGCTGCGAAGAAGGGGGCGCTTGCGGCAAAAGCGATCCATCCGAACGTGCCTATAGTTATTGCGTGGCAAGAGTGAGGAACATGTTTATGGATTTCAGATACTACCAACGTACCTATCCACCCAATCGCCCAGCTAAGCATGTTCTTGAGCCTTTTCGGAGCCAGAATCGCTGTGAAATGGTACTGGCCTCCAGCGGTCGGGTACCTGAGCCGTCAGCTTTCTGGTCGATACAGGGTAATCCGGTGACTGACATGGATGCAAGCTCACTCAGAGATGCCGCAGTTGCGAGACCTCCCACAACCGCCACTTTCAGATAGTCAGTTTCCTGTCCATCGCGTAGAGGCTTTGTGGCATACAGAGGTACCCGTAAACTAAGGAGACAGGCCCGCCACTGACAAGAGCAGAGACCATCGTACTATACCATTCGGTTATGTACTGATGAGTGGAATGAGTGCATGTGAGCCTACCTGGACAGCGCCTCCCACGTTGCCATGAGCACCACCGTCATGGAAAGGATTGTAAGCCGCGAGAAGCCTTTCTACAGTCGAATCGATGAGGTGAGTTATCTGTTCGGAAGCTGAGGCCCAGGATATTCGATAGTACCTTTACTTCCAATGTCTCCCCTTCATAGTTGCTTTTGTTGTCCATTTCAGCGGGATCCACATCGTTATACTTTTTGCTATTGGTCGCCATTATTGACACCTTTGAATTGTTGAATGTGACTGAAAGATGTACTTGGTGGCAATGAAAATCGGAAAAGTATGTTGAGAGACGCTCCAGGGAGAAATCTATCCCCAGGTAGTTGGCCAGGTGGGATTGCATCTGTTTATGCCTCTGCTCGGACCGCTCATTCTCCAAAGTCCATGGCAGCTCTTATCTTGGAAGACGGGGTAGTTTCCGCCCATATCGCACCAAGTGCGGACGAATTAGGTCCCCTATAGATACAAGGACTTCATGGCGATAAGTTTCAGGGGTGGCAAGAACTAGGGGCATTTTGTACAGTGGAAGGACAAAGCTGAATAGGGCTCTGCTACACGAGCGGAAAGGAAACTAAGACAACTTGGATATATCCCAGGACCCATAGATCATACCATCATATGAAGCCCCCAGGGCTCAATCTTCTTTTTCCCGCTTCCACTGGCGTTAGGTATCTTGTGTGGATTACAGCATCGATGGTTATCAAGGAAAGCATATCAAACTATCAGTGTGCCAAAACGACAGCTAATCGCATCAACTTGCGGAGAGCGGGGAGATAGATGGATACCCCACGGACAACGTAGATACGAGAAGGGGGGTTCGAGGTCGAGGCACGAGTCACAGTCCCACATGTCCTTCAAAGCCATCCCAAATTCGGGGAAAAGGTGCGTCGAGGAAACCAATGCGATTGGTCCAGGCAGATCTCCAAAGCTGCATTGTCCAATGAGATCAACTAGCGATGTCTATCAGATTGACAGCTCGGAATACAACCTTCGTTCCGAGGGTACGCTGGCTCAATGATGGAGATATAAGAATACGACACATAATTCCGGAGGCATATGCGTATCAATCAACGATATCAGATCCTACACAGCAAACCATCACAATGCCACGCACAAAAGAAGGCTACCTCTGGACCCCAACCTCCACAACCTCGGGCCTGACAACGAACTCCGTCCAGCAAAGCACCCCAGCCTCGAAGCTAAAACCACACTACGATGCCATCGTCATCGGCGCCGGATTTGCAGGCCTGATCGCAGCGCGGGATCTATCACAGAGACACAACTTGAACATTCTACTTCTCGAAGCGCGTGACCGCATCGGCGGGCGAACTTGGACCGCGAATGTCCTGGGTGAGGAGGTCGAGATGGGTGGGACTTGGGTGCATTGGGAGCAACCTCACCTGTATACCGAGTTGCATCGATACGGGCTTCATCGTCATCTGAAGACTTCGGCGGGGACGCTTGCGCCGGAACGGCAGGCGTTCACCCCATCTTCCGGGAAGGTTGAAGAGTTGTCGGGGTCTGATGGGGCTGCGCTGGAAAATGTTGCTCGACGGGTGTTTTCAATTGATGGGCTGGATAGTAGGGCGCTCATGCCGTATCCGCATGACCCCCTTCGGGAGCCTGCGCCCTGGAAGAGATATGACCATCTCACTGTCAAGGATCGGCTTGATTCACTGACGGATATTCCGCAGCGGGCGAAAGACCTGTTCGAATCGAATGTGAATACGTTCGGCAGTGCGCCCGGAAAAGAGACGGGCTTTGTGGAAGCACTTCGTTGGTATGCGCTCGGCGGTCATAGTATGGCGCTAATGTTCGAGAAGGCGGGAATTTATAAGTTGGGCAACGGGGGTATGACATCGTTTGCGAAGGCAATCTTCGACGAGTATTCTGGTGATAGGCTGTTCGAGACAGCTGTCAAGAAGATCAACCAACGGCGGGGCGGGGTTCAGGTCACAACGACTGCTGGGAGGACATTTACAGCAAAGACTGTGGTCTCGACTCTTCCGCTGTATGTTTTCCTCATTCATATTTGACAATAGTACTCACACCGTTAGGAACTGCCTCGGGGACATCGAATTCACCCCGCCCCTCTCGCCTCTCCGCCAAGCAGCTGTGGCAGACGGGCACATCAACAAAGGGGCAAAGATCCATTTCAAACTCTCTGAAACACTTCCGGGGTGGTTCTGGACATCCAACAATTCGAAGTCCAGTTTCGTCTTTGCTTTCTCAGATCACAATGGCACGCAGCAATCGGGTCCATCCGGGACATGGTGTATCGGGTTCGGATACAACGGGAAGCTCACTGAAAAGAAGGACTCCGAGCACATCATCAGCGAAATGAAAAAGAACATCAATCCGGATGTCAATGTGGAAGCGTATGCGACGCACGACTGGATGAATGACCCCTATGCAAAGGGTGTCTGGGCATGCTGGGGTCCGAGTAGTGCGAGCCGGTATCTGCAGGAATTGCAACAAAGCCATGGGAGGATTGTCTTTGCCAGTGCAGATTGGGCGGATGGATGGAGGGGCTTCGTTGATGGAGCCATTGAGCAGGGCCAGGCTGCTGTTGGCAAGGCGCTGGAGATACTGAAGGATGGGAAAACCTCGGCGAAGCTGTAGCCTTAGATACGGTAGGAGATATTTTGAAACCGTCACAATTTGCATTCAGCATTCAAGCTGCCCTTTCGGAGTCCTCCTCATCCTTACCCGATGAGACCCCTACAATAGCTGCGGTATAGGTACTTCCAATACTAACGACTAAAAGACAATACACAAGGATGGTTGTCACTATAGTACTTGAGCTATATTGGAGCTATCTAATGTAAGGTTGAGGACAATAACATTATCGGCACTTGCCATTGCTCTAGGTTCTACACATGGTAATGTACTACGCTATTTATGTGGAAAGGTAAGATCCATTCATGTTTGAATGTGATTTATTGCGGTAAGGAAAGAAATATTGAAATTCTGAAGACGAATTGATAATAAACGAGCGACAAAATTGTATGAGAGTGGAGGTTGAGTAACCTAATCCCTAAGCAGTATCAGGGTTTGCCCCAAAAAAGAACACGAGCGCGTCAACTCCAGAGCCCTGGATGTAAACAAGTTCCCCTTTGTGACTCTGACAGGAAATTCAAAGTTTTCAAGGTAAAGGATAAGCTGAAGACAGCCCCAACACGCAGAAAGCCAACTCGACATCCTTCCACCGCAACAGCTCCTCCTTCCGCGCGGTCTCAAGCGCCCAGTAGACCAGAGGACCGCTACGAACGCCCTTGTCCAGCTTCGCCATAATCGCCGCAAACTTCACATAGTGCTCGGCCTTTAGCACGCCAACCTCAACCACTTCGTGCAGCTTGCACCGCTTCTCCCGGTTCTTGGTAGGGTGAGACTCGTGGGTTGGTGAGGAGTTTTCTTCTGGGGTTATGCTTCGTCCGGTCCCGTACCACCACTGGCACGCTTTGCTTTTCTTGCCTTGTAGGATCACCGTGTGCCCGCCGTACACTCGGTCTTTCATCTTGAACTCTGCGGTTGGGAGGCCGATGTACAGCGTGTAGTCTTCGGGTTCGTTGCAGGGGAGCTTTTCGAGGAGACGGGTGTACCACTTGGGGGTTTCGGTTTCTGCCAGCTTCTTTTCATCATTGGTATTTTTGACGGGCTTCTTTTCATCCTTGGGCTTCTCGACGGGTTTCCTCTGTTGTTCAAAAAGCAGGGGGGTTGTGGAGGAATGAGGTGAGTCCTTGGACTCGGTGGCGGTTGGTTTCTTGTTGTAAGGCGACATGGTGGATGACTTGATGGATGGTTCAAGGAGGGTAATCAAGGTGAGGATTGAGAATTGGAGGTTCGCTGGGAAAAGACACTGAGTTGGTATTGTGGAGGGAAGTTCGAGGTACTTATGATGACTTTGGAGAAGTGTCGGAGTAATGGCTTTATCAAGTGCCTCAAAGAGTGAAAGGGCACTGTCGATGAAAGGGATACAATTATTCACCATGTAATATTCACCGGGTTTGTAAATGGTGAAAGAAGAATCCTGTCCATAGCCTCCTAGAGTTCAATATCGAACAAGACCAGCATTATTGCTCCTGAACTCTGTTATTCAGAGTAGACCTTCAGAGGCATTCTACAATTCCACTGTTCTGAAGACCCAATTAATGTTTGTAAATAGGGGTCATTCCCTTTACAGGACGACATTGGCTAGTACTGTCAGCGGCTGTATGTGCCGCGGGCCTAAGCTGACTTTTGCCCATATAGAACCAGAGCCATTCGAGATGCCCTATTCACCCTCGAATCACAAGCATAAGAGATGACTTGGGCGCGGTTGCTTGTACAGAAATTAGGATGTTAACCGTGAGCCCATATCGGAAACTTGGCGATGTCTTCCCATCATGCACCATGAGGACAATGATATTGCGAGGCTGTCGGAACGATAAAGGGTTAATTCTGAGAGTGGTTATGGTACCGTTGGGTGAAGAAGGCCACTGACAGTCCAGAGGTCTGGTGGGCATCGCTCCTGCCCATGGAGGTCAACTGGTAAGCCGCAGCGTTTCTGCGTCTAGAAAGTCTATAAAATCGCACATACACACTGACAACAGCTGACCCAACGTCGTGCCTCGAGGTGGGGATCCTGATATTGTGTACTGTCACTCCCTACTCACGATATTTGCTTCCGCCGTTCCACCAGCTGAAGCCACAGCTCTTCAATCTCCCTCCATCGGTAATCCCGCCGTACAAATTTGGACCCCTGCCAATGCGAATAAACCCTGTTTGCCAGTTCCCATGCTTCATTGTCACAGTTGCCAGTACTATCCGCATGGGCACGAAGATGTCGAAGCAGATGTACGAGCGCATCCCATTCGATGTACACCTGGAACAGCCAGAGCCACTGCGCATCCTTATGCGACCGGAGTTCTTCAGCGTCTTTTAGAATCCCCATCCAGGCCTGCTGTCTTTGCACTCGTTCCTTCCGTGAAAGAGTCTCCTTCGCACTCGTCTGTTCAAGCACCGTCAGCTTGAGCTTGTCGAGAATAAGTCTGATGGACCTGGCGATGACCCTATCAAGCGGTATGCCCTCGTCACAATGAACCAGGTACTGCTTCTGGATCCGACTCTGGAAACACTCGATTGCCTGAGCCTTTTGTTCTGATGACAGAGCTGTGTATTCATTCTCCCTTGCGAACTTCGCCGAGAACACCATCTGTCGCGCGAAATAACTCCCTTCGAAACGGACCAGGCTAAATAACATCTCCGTTCGGCCTTCTTTAGCGCCTTGAAGGCGAGTCATAGCCGGATGGAGATTCGCGTCTGCGATGTTTGATGGCAGGCGTGTGTTCACAGCTGACTCCATGATACATGGTTCTGAGCCCCTCTCCTCGGCGACCCGGGTGTCAAGCGTGAAGATCTGCCACCATAGTCGACGACGAATTTCACAATCAAAGGGCGTGAACCCCTGTGCCTCTGGATCCTGATTTAGACCCATCTTCAGCGCCATGCCGGTGGCAAGGCCGGTGAGTGAGTAGACGTCGGGACCGTCTGGGTCGTTTCGAGCGGTGATCTGTAAGTCTGGTCAGGAACGTTCAATTACCATGAGGCAGGATACATACGAGGTAGAGCGCCAGACTTTGTAAAACTATCATGTCGGTCGAGTGTAGAAGGTCGAGGCGCGATAGGAGGTTCTCGATGACCGTTCGATATCTGGACGAGTTAGCATTCAACAGCCTGTACTGCTCTTGAAGGACGTTCTACCGCTTCAGTAAAGCCGCTCTGCCTTCATCCAACTCCTCCTTGCAGACAGACGGCGTGATAGCAGCAACGGCCGCGTAGTAAATCGCGAAAAGCAGGCATTCCAATGCTGGTTCTACCTTGTCACGACCTCGGATCGTTTGTGTGATAAGTTTCTGCACACTCGGAACATGGAAGAGTTTCAGCACAGGGTCCACGACGTCGAGGTATATCTGCCACAGCACCGCCATCGTCTGCGGTGGTGGGCGGTATACATTCAGGTTTATCGGGCCCCGGGCCTTGACCAGCGTCATCGGCCCCGTTCGGCCTGCCGAAGGGTGGGACGATGTGATGCCAGCATGAGTCTGGGGGGACACTTGGCTTTGCGTTGATGGCGTCGATGCTGGCCCATGTTCCGTCGAGTCTGACTGCACAGGTTCCCCAAGTTCAGCGAGGCGCTTCTCCAGAGCCAGCACCTTTGATTTCAGGGCCGTAAAGTCACGAGCATAGGGTTCATCATCAATATCCCGCCGAGACGCCGGATATTTGCAATTGATGCGAACTTTGACACAATACGCGCATGGGTGCGAGCGATCGCATTTGATTTTTCTCCGTCGGCATTCAAGGCAGGAGCGGCCGGGTGTAATCAAACGACGAGGCATGTTTTGATAGAAAATCAACGTAATCAGCGATTTGTAAAGGGGGATGGGAGACGGAGAGAGCGGAGGCTGAAGGATTTGGGGTCAATGAGCGAGAAGGACCCGGGCACTGTGATTGGCTGCAGCGGAGAATGCGGAGGGGGCCGAGGGACATTATTCAGATCGGATTCCTAAGCAATCTCGCAGGACTTGTATATAAAAGGGTTATTCTCATGCTGAAGTCCAAGTCATACACCTGTCCAGTTCAACCAGCTGCAACATGACTTCTCCGTTCAAGAACATCGCTATTGTCGGAGTATGTCTTTAGGCACCCTATCACTATGGTACTCCTATACTAACACCCACACAGGCCAGTGGCTCCATCGGCCAAATCCTCCTCGCAGCCCTTGTGGAAGCCAGCGACTTCAACATCACCGTCCTAACCCGCATCTCCAGCACCGCTACCTTCCCACCAGGCGTAACCATCCGCAAATCCGACTTCTCCGCCGTGGACCTCCGCGAAGCCCTAACCGGTCAAGATGCCGTGGTTTCAGCAGTTGGTGCCACTGCTTTCGCCGACCAGAAGACCATCATTGATGCTGCTATCGACGCTGGAGTGTCGAGGTTCATCCCGTCCGAGTTCTCGGCCGATAGTCAGAACGATGCTGTTCTGGCCTTGCTTCCACTGTTTGCGCAGAAGAGGGAGGTCATTGAGTACCTGAAGGCGAAGGAGAAGGAGATTACCTGGACGGGTATTGCGTCTTCGGGCTTGTTTGACTGGGTATTCGCTACCTTTACTATCAACCTATCAATTTTCAAAGAGAAACACTGACAGTGTCGATTATAGGGCATTGCGAATGGCTTCCTGGGCTACGACATCGCAACCCGCACCGCAACGATCTGGGACTCGGGTGACAAGAAGTTCACATTTACGAACGAGAAGCAGCTTGGACGGGCCCTTGTTTCCTTGCTAAGACAGCCCGAACCGACGGCCAATCAATACCTCTACATCTCGTCGGTTGAAGCTACGCAGAATGAGATTCTGGCGGCACTAGAGAACGCAACGGCGTCGAAGTGGAATGTTCAGCGGACCACGACCAGTGTGGAAGTTGGAGATGCCACGGCCAAGTTACAGACCGGCGACTTCAGTGGCGCGCTTACCCTTGTTCGCGCTACGGTTTATGGTGATATCCCCGGTCTTGGGAGCAATTACGCACAGGATAGGGCTCTGGCGAATGATTTGTTGGGTCTGCGGGCGGAGAGTGTCGAGGAGACTATCCAGAGGGTTGTTCTTGCGTTTGAGGAGCATTGACTATCCGGTGTTAAATGTGTGGTTGGAAGGTGACTTACCTATCATACTTGTCAATATCATGATAGAGGGATGCATGAATTTGCCGCTCGAAATTTTACCTCAACAGATGTCTTGCTCTGAAAGGTCCATGGCATTATATTTTAGTCTGAAGAACATACGGTCGGACTGAAGCCAGCACTTATATATTGGTGGTGTGCTTTGTTATCTCCTTATGCCTTATTTCCACCAAAGCTAGGGAGTCCTACAGGCTGATATATACCGAAAATACCCCTGCCCGAGCGAGCAGTTTGTCCAATGCGAACTCATCTCCTGCTCTTCGACTGCATCGTCAAAAATATAACCCCATTCCAAAAGCCCCGTAACGACCCCAGTCCGGCAACAGCAAGCATAAGGCCGTACGGCTCCTGCCCCGGATGCCGGAACGCGTAGATGCGGTCGATGGTCGGCGTGACCCATGTCGCCAGGAGCGCAACGAAGAAGAGGATCGGCATGGGGAGGAACTTGCGTAGGGAGACCGCGGAGTGCTGGCGGATTAGTGGGGCTGGACGCTTGTTAGCTACATAAGGCGGAACTAGACAGATAGTGGAGTTTATACCGTCAGGCGTTTTTGTGTTATTTAGGATTGCACCGATGATGCTGTCGTTGCTTGGTAGGGCTGCTGAGGATAAGACGAGGCAGTCGTCTCGAGTTAACAGCCACTCGTGCCTGAGTCTGAAGAGCTCGCGGACGATGATGATGTAGAGCGCAAATATCATCGCTATTAGCAACCTGGGCAGGATATTAGCCCATTGTCTTTTCCTGTCGTGCGGCATTGTACCATATCGGTGCGTAATAGAGTATGATCTGGTAGAGCACCCATTCTGGAGATACGGAGCACCAAATCTAGGTAGGCTGCTTGTTACTTCGCCCATTAGGGCATCCTTCTGAGCAGCGGTACTCACTGTGACGCTCCCATACAACGGCCCCCTTGTATCATTCCGGACGAAGAGAAAGACGAAAGCAGGTATAAATGTGATTGTCGTGATAGCTGCCAGATATCTCTTCTCCAGTCTGCGCAAAGCCTCGGGCTCATATTGCCAGAAGACCACCAGGAACACGTCCCATGTCATAGCGAGTTTCCAGAGCACGTCTGCCACGGGAAATCTGCAACGTCATCAGCGTCTTTATCGTTGGTCAGACGTTGAGCTACATACATCTGCAACGAGAACGCCTGGAACCGGCACAGTCCTGACTCATTCCCCGCTTCCGGGCCGCTGGCTGATATCATCGTCGCGACGAAGTCGAAGATATTGTAGAGGGCGCTGAGCAGCATGATGCGATGCGTTGGGCTGCGGAAGGTCGGCGAGTAGCAGAACGTCGCGATGATGGTTGTCACGCCCAGTACCGACAAGGCTGAAGCTATTCGACCAGCCATGGATATCTCGTGGAGCTCGTGGTTGGATAGCTGCATTGTGGGCGTGCGTTCTGGGACGGGTCTAGTAGTCGCTGAGAGGGTATTGCGATTGAACTGTCATATTTCTAGGGTTGAAACTGGTTGAAGATAGGGGCTGATGGTCGCGGTGAAAACATTTCTCCTTGGACGATGAGTTCATGATGGTGCCGTGGATGAAGAAAAGCAAAGGGTGGGGGATATAACAACGCATTGTGCCATCTGGAGCACCATTACGCCATCTGCCACCACGGCAACATCTTCAGGAACCGCCACAGCTTCGGTTCTGCTTTTTCTATCTCCTTCGGGCATATCTTCCTTCTCGGTTTCCATTACGGAAGAGTAAGTAGCGCTCACCCACGTGTTACCTTCAAGTCCAGTTGGGCAGAGACATGATGCACATGATGTCGTGCACCGCATCGTGTGCCCAAGCTTGTTTCCCTGTCGTGCTCCTGTGTAACAGGACGATACGGTTCAATGTGGCGACAGATAGCATGCTATGCGATTCGACGGCAGATATAAACCGCAAGATCGGCAGCCCGACCCTTTGAGGAATGAAAATCGAGCAAAGGCCCATCAAATATCCAAGCGGCAGCCGCGGATGGACTGCTCCTCGATCCCGGCAATGAGGCCGCCGCGATCTTGGGGCGCTGTTCGTATCGGACCTGGTGGGGGTAGCACAACGATCAGGCCGGTGCTTTATATGCAGGGGTTGGATCGCATATCAGATCTTGATGCCCAACACTTTCAGCCTCAGAGAAGCAGGATTTCAATACTGCTTTGGAATGCAGGTGGCGTATACCCGCCAGATTCTACCGTACTCGGGCTATCACCGCACCGCATTGCTAACTCGGCGCAGTCATCAGGGGCCTCCTCGCTTGTGCAGTCTTCTCCAGCGAGATGGTCTAGGCATGACATCAGACTGAAGGATAAAAGAAAAGCAGATGTGTCGAGTTGGGACAGGATGAGACGCATTTGCTGCCCCACGTGCTCTTGATGGTTCCTGGTAGTTGGCCTGGGTAGGACACGTTTTGAGCTTGGATGGATAAGGAGCATTAACCCATGGTAGCTCTCATGACATGAAGGGGTAGTTTCATTGTCCTCCTTTTAGGTCCTGCCTCAATCCAGAGAAAGAGGTAAGGCAGCCATTACATGACCCAATGGTCCTTGTCGTCTATAAAGAAAATAAATCTACTCCAAATACCCCATTGAAAGTGTCCCGTTGCAGAGTTGTTTTTACAAGCTATTAATCTAACCAAATCATCGTCAGCTGGAGCTTCGCATCTTCAACCTCGCCAATATAAAGACACACCGGTACCTTAGCATTCCTATGGATATCCCTAGCTTTAGTTCTTCTACTGGACATAGCAACCCTGGTATGTGCTATAGAGCATAACGTGAGTACATCCTCTTTATTTATGAAGATAGCCTGGAAAGGTAGCAGCTAACAGACCATCTTACCGACCAGGCCATACCACACCCCCATACATCAACATATGGAAAGAACCTAACTGCAAAAGCAAAACAGCCCGGCTTTAGCTTGATCAAATGTCCTACAGCTCCAAGATGCCGAGTAGCTAGAAGCTATGAAATGACCTCTTGCCGTTTGAGCAGCTGGATCTCTCACTAGTCCTGCCCTTGTTTACGGAAATACGAGGGGTCCTGAGAAATCTCGGAGAGGTCACACTTGCGAGACATTCAGGGCGGCGTATTTAGTCCGGGCGTTGGCAGGGGGAGGACTCCATTGTGTGCTACGACTAAGAGTTTGTTCACGGGTGTAAGGATTTGGCTGTCTAAGGAATGATTGGGTTGTGCTGGTAGCCTCGTTCCTACAGCATGTGCTCCTTTGCAGATGATTTATGGGTTGGTATAAGAAGTAATAAAATTGGACGTAGGATAGCCCAATCAAGACAAGAGATATTTCCGGGGAGCGATCTTCGGGTCGATTCCAAAGATAGATTGTCCATCCAGTCTCCTTTGAACCAAATATAGATACGCCAAAGAAATTGTTCTTCTTGCTGCACAAAGGAATTCCACATGTTTCATTCATTTTCCAAGCCCAACACTCTCTTTGTCGTCCAGCTTTAGCTCGACTTATTTTAGGCCTTACGACAAGGGCCGGTATAGATGGGTCCTTGTTGCAGGGATACATATGCACCCTCCCATGCGGCAGCTTTTCCTCTCAACAAAAAAACCCTTGTACTCAGCATCCTTGCAACGATGTTTCATGATAGCTGTTCCTCCATTTTGCTACTGCTATGCCTAGCAGGTCAACTGGTAGCCCGCCCATTGGGTGATCCTATCGTGAGTATACCACACCTCATGGAGTATAGAAAGCAACTTAGGCTAATCAAGCAATACATGAATGCAGTGGGCACACTCAACCCAATTCATCACCCTATACACAAACGACCAATGCACCGGGCAGGGCCACCGCTCCAAACTTCCGGATGACACCAATTCCGCAGCCCAAGTTGCTTCCTCCATCCCTTGGCGGAGCTTTACCCTATCGCAGCCATTGCTCCCGACGCAGCAGCTCGACTTCTCAGTTAACGCGGCGCTTCGGGATAAAGGCGACTGGGCGGAAAGCCATCTCTCTGCGGACCGTTGCAAGGATTTTGTCTTGGGCGTTGTTAGTCCGCATGGCGGGACCGGGTCAGTGGGCTGTATCAGGCCTGGGACTTTTTCGTGTTATAGGGTTTGGAATAATCCGGGGCTTCCGCTTACGAAAGGGGAAATGGATGCTGTCAAGCTGGTGTCGACGGACGGGGTGGATTAGGTGTTTGGGGTTGTTGGTATGCTTGGTTGGATGGTAGGCATGCTGTTCGAGGTGGAGGATCAGATCGATGGGTCAAAGCTCTTGCGCTTTGTTTGTGCGTGGTTAGGCTTTGTTACATCAGTTCCTAGAATAGCATGTTCGCTTTGTCCACATAAGGAGGTGGATTCAATCAATAAATGGTGTCTTTGTTGCATGTCTTTCACATATCTTACTACATCTCATGCCCTATTATGCCAGGCCCGGGCGTAGCCAGGTACTAAGGATTCATTGGAATCATGAACAAAAATATTTCGTGAATCGATATTTTATATTCTATCCTCCTCCATCAATTAAAGCGCAAAGGCACAATTAAATAACCTGACCACGTTCACTGTAGATTCCAAACCACCCGCAACCATCAACATAAATGCAGAATCACCCCGACCTGAGTATTGGAATGCCCTCCCCAGCAGTCAGTTCTACTGTGCTGGATTTAATGTTGCCCCGGAACAGCTTGATATCTCAGTCAGTCTGGCTCTATACCACTCTATTGTGAAGGAGCACATGAACGGAACGTACCCATTGGCCTAACAAGGCCCATGACTTGGACTAGCCCGGAAATGCAATTAAGAAACAGGCTATCATGGTATCATGGTCTGGGGCAATCGTACCCCGTCACATAACAATGCACTCCATTGGTTTGAGCTCTTCCCAGTGGCTTAGCACGAATATCAGGATTGGCGGCCTATCTGCCTTTTTGATCCGAGTTGAAAGCAGTCTGTTGCAGGTGCCTTTGTCTACGACACGCAGTGTGATACTAGCAGATCACGCTAGATTTGTGTCTCATGATTCATCTTGTCCTTTGTTTGTATATCCCATGATATGTTCAAACCCTGAACAAGCTCTCTCATATTATTCGTGGCTGACATACAAACACGCCATATACCCATGCCATCCCATCAGCTGTGCGAACCCCATTTCTACCCCTTTTCCACATACGCTCTGCAACGATGTCCCAATTCACACGAGGCTGGGCCTCGCTATTGCTACTGCTACTCGCTGTCTTAAGCCCTCTGGCATCCAGTTCCCCCGCGCCTGGTGCTGTTCCCAATCCAGGTGTAAGCCTCCAGTTCCTTATCCCTCCACATCCAACCATAGAGCACCATTCTAACAAGTCCAACCATGCCAGGACCCCATAACCCTAACCCTCTACCACGACAAAAACTGCAAATTCCCACGCGGGAAGATCCCCCTCTCCGGCGCAAACTACGACACCAACAAGATCGCTCCTGCGCTGGGCATGACATTTAGTCTCTCGCGCGCCCTGGCGCCGCAGGAACAGCTTGACTTCTCGTCGACCGACGCGATTAATTACTGGCAGGTCAATGAGGAGTATAAGGCGACGAGCTGCTATCTCTTCCAGTATCGGTTTACGGCGGACGACGGGATTAAGGCGGGGGAGTGTGTGCAGCGGAATTATTTTACTTGTGTGAGGCTGTGGAATAATGTGGGGATTGAGGTTGATTGATAGTTTGTTAGAGTAGTATGATTTGACTTGGTGTAGAGTTCAGGAAATAGATGAACTAACTAGATAGTTAACCCAGAGTAATATCTTTAATTCTTCACACCATCCAAATACTCCCGTAAATGGCGCCGACTGTCCTCAAGCACATCATATCCGAAATTATGATCCCGGAACTCCTTCATCGAAGACGGCACCTCCACGCCCGGCGGCATATACTGCTTTGCCCGCTCGCGCACCTCAAAGACCCGGTCCTGTCCTGCGTCCGAGAGGACCTGCATCGCTGAGACGCGTCGGAGGCGCACCTGTTCGAAGATTGCCAGACGGGCGCGGATCTCGTCGAGTGAAGGGTTATCTGCGATGTCGGTGAATATCTCGCCGAGTGCGGCGCCGTCTTCGATTGCTTGGGCGCCGCCTTGGCCTTGGTCTGTGGATGCTGCTGGTTAGGTGTATGTTTGAGCGCTGGGGAGGTCGATTCACTCACGGGGTAGCATGGGATGGGCTGCGTCGCCGATGAGGACCAGCCGACCTTTGCTTAGGGTTTTGATAGGCTCGCGGTAGAGGAGGGGCCAGCGTTTGATGTTAGTGGCTTTTCTGATTATTGTTAGTGATGTACTTGGGCTGGACTGTTCCACTACCTGATAATCTTGATTATGTTAGGGTGGAAGTCGGAGTATTGCGATATCACATCCTCCACCGAGGCTGACCGGTCCCAGTCTAACGCATCGTATGGTATTAGCATGGTTCGGAAATGCAGAGGTAACCAACCTTCTCGCTCATCATCAGTCCGCCGATCCTGATGCACAGCAACGAAGTTCTGGAGCGTATTACTGTGGATGGTCAGCCTGCTAGCCACCCGGTACGTATTGGAACCTACTCAGCACACGGATACCACACAATCCGCCTCATATCCTCGTCGGTAGCAAGGAACCTGGTCATGCCGTCCCTCACGCTGAGGGCATCTTCAAGCAAAGGCGCGATCTCAGGATCCCCCGTCAGCTCATTGCTAGGCGTCAGCCACCGGAAAACAGCCCAGCCCGTGGCAATCGAGGAGAGGGAATGGCCAAGGACATGGCGGACGGCGTCTCCGTGAACCCCATCCGCTCCCACGATCAGATCAGCATGGTGAGTGGACCCGTCGCCCAGCGTGATGTATCCGTTTTCCACGTCGTAGTCGACGACCTCTGCGCGCAGGGTGAGCTCGACCGGCTTCCCTGGCTTTTCAGTGCCGGTCGCTACTCTGCGTAGTTCGTTGTGCAGATCGACCCGGTGGGCTAGCAGCCAGGGGCCTCCGTATATGGGCGTAAAGTCGGGATAGGTTACCGAGGACTCGACGTCGAGGGTGCGACCAGATGCTTTCATGTGGTTGCGCGCGCTGACCATGCCCGAGCGTTCGAAGTCGAATCCCCACTGTGAAAGAATTTGTGAGGCGTTGGGGCAGACGTTGATGGCGGCCCCGACTTCGCTGAGGAGACTGGATCGTTCGAATATCTGGTTATACAATATGGTTAGTCGGTGCTTGCTTGGAGGGGGTCTTGAGGTCGAACTTGGACATCGTGGCCCTTACGACGCAGGGCGATTCCCGCCGTAAGTCCGCCAATTCCGGCTCCGACGATAATGACCTTCATGTCTATGCTGTCGAGAAGATAGGCTATAGAGTTGAATGTTGAGATGACTCCTGTTCTAGCTGGTCACTTCCTTTGCAACGCCGAGTGGTCGTCGGGCTGAAGGCATTGGGCTCAAGTTACACGGGATTGGGGCAGCTGAAGTAGAGAAACCAGGGGCTCCTTGCTTCTGAATCACCCCATCCCTTGCTTCGGACTCGTCCCTTATCCCTGTGGCTGGGCCATTCGTTCTGGGCGAGTAAGATGTCGAGCACCTGGTAGATAATCCTATCTAGTTGCCGGTAAGCCAAGCGGAACATCACCACAAATTCCGAGCTTGAAAGTAATCCGAGTATTTATAATGACCTCCATGGAATTGCTCTTTCCATAACAATAATGTATATGGTCCACTACTAAGGCGAATGACGCATATCCCTTGGATTTGTAATCACCCCGCACCGCAGGCTGCTTATAGCCAGCATCAATTGCCGACCTCAACCATCTCAAGTTCATCAAATCAGATACCTAACAACATGCCTCACGCCATTGCGAAAGTCGGGGATCAGGTCATCGCGGAGACAGACACATGGGAGACGGTGGAGGGGAACATCTACGTGCGCACTTTCAACTCCGCTCTGCTGCATAATGCTGACATCGGACCAGTTTCCCGTCTCATCTATAAAAGACAAGAGCGTGTTGCAGCCATCTAACCATTCGACCTTCTGTCCGTGGAAGGGTTATGCCTCGTATTGGAGTATTGAGGTTGATGGTACGACTCCAACCCCAAGATCCGACGGATCCATGATATGCCAGATGCTGATGAACCAACAGGCAAAACCATCGAGAATGCAGTTTGGTACTACAGTGAGCCTTACGAGGCAGCCAGCAATATCAAGGATCATATTGCCTTTTGTGAGTGTACTTCGTCGAGACTCCTTGCATGCTAACAGTAGACAGATAAGAACAAAGTCGACGTCGTGGAGGAAGAGTAGGTAGTCTAGCTGTCAAACCACGCTCCTGTCAAGGTTTAACTTCCCACGTAGCGTTCCTTGAAAGCCGAGATTGGTTAGCTATGAAAGACTGGGCTTAGAAGTCTCAATCTGCAGCGTCAGGATCCTCAAGTAATAGGTGTCTCGAGATGACGAGGGGTCTCCTTCGGGCCCTGCTTTCTCCAGGCCCGTGATTGGTGCAGTATCATGTTTGCCCTGACGCTGTCTGGTGCCTATCTGCTGGGCTTTGAGCAGCTCAGTCGGCGTACTGTCGCGTCCGGTTCTTGTGAATCACCAGGGTGTCAACATCCAGCATCTAGAGCCGAGCAGCGGCGGTGAGATCCCCTTCATACGGAGTAGACTTAGCAGTCAGCGGAGATCCTCTAATGGTCAAGTGGACAGACAGACCAATGATCTGCGCGGTCGGCCCTTTCTCTATAAGTTTGCATCGACCTCTCGTCTCTCCCACCTGTTCTTGCAATCACGGCGTTCCCCTTGCTCGCGCCCCTTACTGCGCCGACCGTTCAATGGCTGAAGAAGACACGACGCTCTTCATATTGCGGGAGGGGGACTCCAATGTCGTGATGTCTTCAGTTGCCCCAGGGCATTTCCGATGTGCGAACGGCTAATTCTCAGCTGCTCCTGCCAATTCGGAGTTATAAACACTCCGGTCGATCATCGGACCAGAAAAAGGCAAGTTCTGTGGTTCATATTGCTTTTGCGAAGACGAGCTCCTGTCGTATCACCCATGGACACTGTCGCCAAGCGAGCATCCTCGCCAGGGGTAGAGTGAGAATAAGACGGTGCAAGTCCTCAGCCCAGGGGTTACCATCGATAAGGTCCAGTCGCATCAGCACTTCAGTATGGAGGAGACGGAGACCAAGGCCGAGAAAAGGCACGGCAAGGCCATTCCCAAGGCAGCCCTACCATGCTGGATCCCTGCTAACTGCCCGTCTCAACAGGCTCGTCCGCAAAATCGACCAGCGCCTGCTCCCCCCAACGGCAATCATCAATCTGCTCTGCTTCCTGGACCGGTCGAACATCGGGAATGCACGCATCCTGAACTCGTCCACGGGCGACACCCTCATGGACTCCAACCACATCTCCAACCACCAGTACACCATCGCCCTGATGGTCTTCCTGGTGGCCTACTCCGTCTTCGAGGCACCCAGTAACCTCGCCCTCAAGGTCCTCCATCCGCACCGATGGCTGGGCTTCCTTGTCGTGGCGTTTGGAGCCCTGTGTCTTGGTATAGGCTTCAGCCATAATTTCGCTGGGCTTGCGGCGCTACGCTTCTTCCTTGGTGCGGCTGAAGCTGGTGTTTTTCCTGGTATGCCGCTTGTCTTTTGACTGACGTGTTTCTGACTCCAGTGCGAAGGCATGATCTTTTACTTTACCTTCTGGTATAAACCCAGCGAGCGCGCGATTCGCATTGCCGTTTTCCTGTGTAGCGCTGCTCTCGCGAATGCGTTTGGCGGGTGGGTGCCTTGATATCTTCCAGAGAACATCTGCTGATTATCCAGTGCGATTGCATACGGTGTCGGGCATCTGAATGGCCGGCAGGGATTGGAGGGCTGGCGATGGCTCTTCATCATCGAGGGAGTGCCGACCGGTGAGTTGTCCATTCTCGTTCTGGCCGATAACTGATCCCGCAGTTGCTGTTGGCCTCCTTGTCTTCTTCTTCCTTCCAAGCTACCCCGAGACGGCATCTTGGCTCACAGTCGAAGAGAAAGAGCTACAAGCACGCAGGCTGGGAGCCTCGCGGTCGTCCGGGTAAGACTGACCCATATGTCTTTATTGAGAAACCGCTCACATCTCAGACGAGACAAGCTCAACTGGAAAGACGCAAAGGCCACTTTGCGCTCGGTTCGCCTTCTCATGCACTACTTGACCTACCTGACCGTCGCGACGGGCGTGGCCTCCCTGTCCTACTTCGCGCCAACCATCATCCAGGGACTCGGCCACAGTGACCTGCAAGCTCAACTCTTTACAGTCCCACCGTACGCAATCGCATACCCCATTACGCTCCTCCTCGCCTGGCTCTCAGACCGTCTCCAGTCGCGCGGTATCATCGCAGCTGGATCCTGCGCTATGGCATCCATCGCGTTCATCGTTCAGGGTACCCAGCCAACATCCCATAAATCTCGATATTCTTCCCAGTAGCCCAAACTAACATTAACTATTCGCAGCCTCTCTCCCCGCAGACGCATTCACAGCCCGCTACGCCTTCCTCGTCATCGCCACGATCGGCGTCTACGGCGGCCTCCCCTCGTTCAATGCGTGGATTGGCGATAACGTCCGCAATACGACGGCAAGTTCAATCAGCATTGCTCTGAACATTGCGTTCTCGGGACCTGGCCAGATCATCGGGGTGTGGATATATAGGGCCCAGGATGCACCGGCTTACCGGTTGGGGCATGGGGTCAATGCGGCTATGAGTGCTGTCTCGGCGATTCTGGCACTGGCTTTGACGGTGTATTATCGGAGGGCGAATGCGAGGCGTAAGGGGGGTGGTGAGGTGTTGTGGGTTAGTTAGTCGTCTGGTTTACGGTGCTGTTTGAATTCCCTTGCTGTGTCTGATGGTGAGAACAGATGGGCGAAGGCAGAGCGCGTAGCTACTATGATCTGTTCCCACCATTTACTCGAAATCCTTTGCTGCAAAGATAGAACAATCATCCTCTGATCAGCGCCTTGAATCCTAGAGCTTATCCATGGCCTCCGCTTTGGGCGGCCAAGAAGGCCTAGCCACGTCTACGTGCATGAAAGGGTTATGCAGGGTATCCTAGGTAGACTTGGAGAGCACCCCGGTCTTAGCAGAGAGGAGCTAGAGATATCACAATACGTCCACTTAGCCCGGCTGCAGTAGATAAATCCAGTCAAATAAAGCCAGAGCCAGGCGAGAACGGGATTATTTCGAGGAGTGGTGTATGATGGATCTTCCCTGTGGACATCGGAGCCTACCCGACCCATGTCCACGGAACCAAGCGACGGCACTGAATAGAATATTTTTGTATATAGTAACCAGTTTAAGCAAAAGCATCCAAATTTGCGAATGCAAGGGCTGTTATCCCTTGTTGCGACATGGGATTGAGCCAGCATCACGCTTCATCCCCATCGATCTAACGAACCTCCGTACTAACAGTCGGCCCCTTCTCACTCTCATCCCCATTCCTCGTCTGCACCGTAACAAGCTCATGCACCTTCTCGGTTGCCGCGGCACCCCCAACAATCGCGCGGTCGCCATCGAAGAACTTCGCAATCTCCTCGAGCGGCGTGCGCCGCGTCTCGATATAGAACTTCCACACCACAAACAGCTCGAAGAGCAGCCAGACGCAGTACACGATGTAGTACTTCCACTCGATGTGCAGCAGCGCGATCGGGTTGACGTACTGGTTGAAGAGCAGACTGAGCGCGACGCAGAAGAACATCAGCGTCAGGCCCTTGGCGCGCAGGCGGTACGGCAGGATCTCGGATGAGTAGGAGACCAGCAGGCCGCTGAAGCCGATGTTGTAGAAGATGTAGTAGAGGAATATGAATGCGATCACGGCGTTGCCGGCGTGGTCGTCGGCGCCGCCGGGCCCGTGGGGGAAGCGGGCGAGCCCGATGGTTGTGGAGACGAAGCAGGCGATCATGCCGACGACGGAGGTGAGGAAGAGCTTGCGGCGGCCGATTTTGTCGACGAAGAAGCAGATTCCCGTTGCGGAGACGACGTTGAGGGCGTTGAGGCCGAGGTTGATGCTGAGGACTTTGTGCGTGTCTTCTATGCCGATGAGGGCGAGGACCTGCTGATGTTGGCGCCGATCGTAGTTGGGTAGGAAGGAAGACGTACCTTGGGGAGGAAGTATGAGACAATGCCGTTGCCAGACCACTGCGAGAAGAAACCGATCGTAATCAGGATGATCGAGCGGTGTCGGTTGCCGGGGGTCGACCATAGCTCAGACCATCCGTTGCCCTCAAGCTGCTTCTCGAGCGCGAGCGTTTGCTGGATCTCGTCGAATTCGATATTCACCAGTTCGTCGTCTTCGTCGCCTTGCGCGTGGACGTACGCCAGGATCTTCTTGGCTTCCGCGAGCTTGCCCTTGGAAATCAGCCAGCGAGGTGATTCAGGGACCATCCTGTGACTGTCTTAGCTGGAGTATCTCAAAGTCATGACGGTGGGACGCACCAGATAAAGATCAGCTGGCAGATAGATGGCACGCCTTGCAACAGGCAGGGGACACGCCAGGACCAGTCGCTGCCATGGATTTTGCTTGTCCCTGTGGATGTTAATGCAACGTCTTTGCGAATCAACTGAACACATACCAAGCGCGACGGCAGCACCGATCAAACTTCCCACATACCACAGTGAGTTGTAGATCGTACTGTACACGGCTCGATGTTGCGGGTGCACGAGCTCAGTAACAAGAAGAGGCGAGCATTCCTGTCAACCAGTCAACACCTGCTCGCCCACCAAAGCAGTGCACGAACCTGCGCGATTCCCAGTCCAAATCCGAGGATTATCCGGCCAACAACGAACAGTGCAATCTTATATCCGATCGAGACCATGACGACGCCGAAAAGCATAATCACACAGCCGATAACAACTCCGAAGCGGCGACCACAAATGTCCGCCACGTACGGGACGACAGGGATGGCGAGAATCGACCCGATCGACATGGACGCAGCCAGCAGACCAAGGGTTGCGCCTTCGGGGTGGTTGTATGCTGAACTTGTTAGAGCTTGCGTGGGTCTGTGCGCGGTCTACTCACATTCATTCCATTCATCGAGTGCTTCAAGTCCATTCATCAGGGAGCCATCATAGCCTGCAGCAGTTAATGCCGGTTCTCTCAGGAGACTGGTATGTACAAACCGTTCGTGGCAGAGGTAATCATTGCCGCCCACAGCGTGAGATAGACGAAGCGCATGCCCTTCATCTTCCACCAGGTCACCTTGGGCCACTCGCGCCCGGCGAGGGTGAACGTGTCTTTGCCCATATCGTAGAGTATTGGTCGCCTAAAATTCCAACAAGCTCCACAGAAGGTGATGGGGAGGGTTCGCGTGGAGTCAGGTGCGGTTCGCTCCGAGGAGGAACAGGGGAGAAGATATAGACGACCCCAACTCACGCGATCATGACACACCGGCTAAATCAGAGACCAAGAGTCTGACAATGCAGAGCCTAAGCTTGCGGTCGATGCTAGGGGCGTCTGCGTGCAACTCTAGCCGAGCACGATGCGACATGTCGACGGCATTGATTGGGGCGGGTCTAGAATCGAGCAGGGGGCGCGGCATGAGTGTCAGAGCCTAATCGAATCCGGGGATGCGTCTATTCATCCATTTTCCCGGAGGGCGGGGGCGTGCGTTGCCCAGTCTCCGTGATATTTTGAGAAAGCCTCACATACCCCGGACGGTCTCCATGCCCAGGCGGCCCATGTGCTCGCTAATATCGGGGCCGGTGGTCATTGGTGGGATCCAGGCGCCCTCGAGGAGGTCGAGCCGTACGTGGTCTAGATTCGAGACAAGGCGTCTTGAGACAAGACGGCAAGGATCAGCTGCGCTCTTAAGCATCGTAAGATATCGCTTGGTGGCACTCGGGCAGAGAACTGTCCATCCCGTGGCGGAAGAGGGTGCATGGTGCCGAAATGGCCACAGAGGCTCTGGATAAGCCCGGCAAACAGCCTGATTGCGGCTGAGTCGGCTGGATCTTCTGCTCAACAGCCGGCCAGAGGTCGAAGGAATCTGGAACTGAACTAATGGTTGCCGTCGGAGATGGTGATCGATTCTGGGATGGAGGACCAGGAATGGACTTGGCGATCAATCGCTTCTTCCTCACCAGTGCCGAGGATCATTGCCTACCTACCCAAGGGGTTGAACGCTAAAGCAGTCCTATTAATTATTGTCTATCCCATAATGTACATGACCTAGTCTACCATTACAACCACCCCTTAGGACCACCCCACTTGCCACTAACCATGGACTCGTAGTACACCCACGGGAAGAAGTGCTTCTTGAGGTAGTAGAACTCCTTTCTAGGCGTACCCTGGTCGATGCCGAACCACTCGCCGAAGGTTTCCTTGGGAACACCGCCATACTTGAACTCGGCGAGCAGGACCTTGCCGTACTCGGTGGTCAGGGGGCAAGAGGTGTACCCGTCGTACGTGGCGTCGGGCTCCTTGCCGTCCATTGCACGGAGCATGTTCTGGACCAGAACCGGAGCCTCGGCTGTGACGGCCGCGGCGGTCTTGGAGGTCGGGAGGCTGGAGGCGTCGCCGGCGGACCAGACGTTGGCGAATTTCTTGTGGCGGGTGGTGCCGTCGTCGACGTCGACGTAGCCGGCTTCGTTGGCGAGGGCGCTGTTCTTGATAAACGCGTGGGGACCCATCTTGGGGACGACGTGGAGGAGGTCGAACTCCCGAGTAACGCTTGATTCACCGTTGGGGCGGGCAAAGGTGGCCTTCTTGCCGTCGATGGCGATCAGGTCGTGCTGGAAGAGACCCTCAACCCCGCGCTCCTTGCGCAGCTCCTCGAGCTTGGCGTTATACTTGGGGACACCGAACATGGAGGGCGTTCCGGTGGCGAAGGCGATCTTAATGGCCGAGCCGGCGGGGTTGCTGGGGTCGTAGAGACCAGCCTTCTTCCAGTAGTCCAGGGCAAGCCACATGATCTTCTGGGGCGCACCGGCACACTTAATCACACCAGCGGGCTGGGTGAAGATAGCGGAGCCCTTTTGGAGCTTCTCAATCGTGGGGAAAACCTTGGAGCAGGTGTCGTAGGAGTAGATGGTGGAGACATTGGAGTCCGGGGCTGCCAGCGCCTCGGACAGACCCTTCACGCTGCCAAAGTTGAGAGTAATACCAGGAGCGACAACAAGGTGATCATAGTTAAGCTTGTTACTGTTTCCGAGCGTAATAAAGTTCTCCTCCGGAGAAAAGGTGCCAACACTCTCGTTGTAGAACTTCAGCTTGGGGTCGATCAGGCCAGCGAGCGGCTGGCGCAGCTGCTCGCGCGTCTTCAATCCGCCGCCAACAAGCGTCCAGCCCGGCTGGTAGTTGTGCCAGATAGCAGGATCGACAACGGCGATGTCATCCTTGACAAAGCGGCCAGAGCGCAGCAGCTGGTGGCTGATGGCCAGACCGGCTGTTCCTCCGCCGATAACGACGACCTTGTGGTTGCGCGCAGTAGCGGCGACCGGGGCGGCCGTCGCGAAACCACGACTTGTCGCAACAGCGCGGGCTGCAGACGCTACTTGGCTGCGAAACATTTTTGTATAATCGAGTCTAGAATCAAAGAAGTTTGCGGGGTTCACGAAAATTTGATGCTGACGGTGGCGGGGAGGCGCATTAGTCAGCATCCCGCTCGTACGATCGGCTGACTCAGCTCCGATCCCGGCGGTCGCGCCTTCCGGATTAAGAAATACCCCTTGTTCGCCAAGAACAGCGTAAACAATCTATTTCACGGCCTACTTGTCGTCGCTTGATACTACCAATCCCTCGTCTTGTGCTCTCCTCGTCCACTCCATCCAGCTCCCATCGTACAGTCTCCGCTTCATTCCATACCCACTTAGCTGCAGCGCAAGATCGAGTGCTGCTGCTGTGACCCCGGAGTTGCAGGTAAGCACGACAGGCAACTCTCCGTCCACTCCAGCTGCCTGAAAGCGTTCCTTCAGCTCTTCCGCCGATAAGATGACCTTGTCCTCGTCCAGAATGGACGCCAAGGGCACATTCAGCGCCGACGGCATATGTCCTGACCGCAAGGACGCGTTGATCTCTGGCTCGGCACCCGAGAATCGGCCAGGAATCCTGGAATCAATGATTTGGAAGGCTGAGCTCCTGTCGGATAAGAGAAGGTCGCGTAATTCGTCGTAGGATATCACCTCTCTTGGATCTGGATTTTTGACGGGGTATCCCTGTGGCGCAGGAGGGAGAGTACATAGAGGCCCCGTCGCGATCGGAAATCCTTTTTTCACATAACGTGGGAAATTGTTCAAGACATGGACATCTCGATGCCCGAAGTAGCGACAGGCCCAGGCTACGCGAGGCGACGAGTAGAGTCCGACCTCGAGCGCATCGTAGACTACCAGGATATCGTCTGGCTGAAGACCTAGTGCCGTCATGCTGTTGGCAAAGTGTGATGCGGAAGGGAGCATTTGTGGATAAGGAGATTCGCGGTCCCTGATCTCATCCATGTTGAGAAATCTGTCCTCGAGTTAATGGTGGTCGTAATTACAGCGAGTCGATGATATATATTTACATTGACCCGGGGAGATGGTGGGCTTCATAGGAGGAAAGGTGAGATGGTTGGCCAACTGCTACGGGAATGATGCGCCGTGAAGAGAATGAGCCCGTTAAAGCAGAGTGAAGCTCGTCAGGCGTCACAAGAAGAGATGCAAAGGGAGTTGAAGCCATCCTGACGGTGCTTGCAGCTTGTACATTGCCTTGGCGCATGAAGTTCATGAACCTGGCAGAATTCGCATGAGAGCCACGCTAGACTACTTTGGACGATTACGTAATGACGCCGCGGCTGCCAATTCGGGCTTAGACGGTTTCCCTCGTCCCGAGGTCCCTCGTTTCAATGTTCATGGTGTTGCTCACCTCCCTCAGCCAGATGCAATTCCAGACATTATCCCATATTGCCAGCCTGATCAGCCTGCGAGGTGTCCGGTATACTCCACCAGCTCTCATGCCAATCCCTCCAAATGAGCTCCGTCTCAATCGCCCGCACAAAATCCACCGGCTGTGACACCATCCGAGCGGTACCGGGCCTGGCACTCGAAGCAGGGTCCCGCTCAATCGCAACCTGACTTCCGAGCTGAAAAGGAACACCAAAAGCGTCATTAAGCTGGTCCGCTGTTTGCAGGGGTAAGTCCATGGAGAGGTTTTGGAGTGACTCGAAGGGCGGAAAGGCCGGAGCGCTACCGGTCGGGATTTCCTGCGGCCTTTGCGACGGAGCCTGCATCGCTATCTCTCTTGCACCGCTTGCGAGGAGGTTTGGCTCCATACTTTGTCGAGGACGGACCGCGCCGACAACTGCCAGGCCTTGGGGAGGTTCCTCACCCGAGTGGACGGCCCGCGACACATCATTCAGCGCGCCCATTGCGCTCGCGATGGGGACAAAGTCTGGTCGGATGTTGCTTGCCTGGGTCATGAGCTTTATGACCTTCTCCAGGGAGGAAATGTCCTCTTCGCGCTCTTTGGGATCGTCTGACGAGAGAATATGGTAATAAAGCGTGAAGAAGGCGCAGAACGGATAGAAGGTGATAAGTCTTCTCACATCAGCTTCCGCATCAACAAAAAAGGAATCGACAGACTATAGAGCAGACTTACAGTATATACGAGCTCTGGGGTTCTCCGCCTGGCGCGATGTTCCTTTGCGACCATTCGTCTAGGATACTGATGATGGCTCTCGCAGAACGAATTGCTTGTGGGTGCGTGCTCAACACAGTCGCAGACGCCTTTCGCCGCATATATATGATCATGCTGTGGAAAGCGATGGTTGACTCCGCGTATAACCACGACTGGACCATATTTACCTTGGGCGACCTCGCTACGGAGAGCATGTCCCAATCGTCCACCAACTCGGTGAGCTGATTGCAATAATCATCCACATTGCTGATGAGCGCTTCCTCCGTCAATGTCTCACGCGCCTTGAAGTAATCAGCTATGATGTAAAGAGCCCGTGTCCAGACAATAAACAGAATGCAGTCGTGGGGTTTGGGCTGTTTCGTCGCCGGCGAGATCTCCGCGGGAAGCCTGACCTGGGTCGGATCACATCGAAGCGCCCTGGGCTTGTCGTACCAGAGCCTGAAAAGGAAGTCAATTTCGACCAGATACCAATGCAACCGGCGCTTGACCTCCTTGTCGGCTTCTTCCTGGGGCGTCCCAAGCGGACTGAAGTCTACACTATGAATGTCCAGGAGGTCTCCGAATCGGCAGGCCTCGCGGTGGAACTGCCACGCCAGATGGTAGTCGAAGTTGTTGATTGCGAGCCATGTCTTGGCCAAGGTTAACGTATAATCTAGGGAGTGTTTGAGGCACGCTTACGGTGAGGGCGGCTGCAAGAATATCCAGCTTCGTCCCCTCGGCTGATTCAAGCCATTTGGGAACCGACTGGAGACAAGTATAGTACGTCTTGCTCGCCTTCCTGTGCTGGTCGTCGGCTGCAAGGCTCTGGCCAAGATAGATCGCACAGTGGTAAATCACCCGCATAACCGGCTTGACATCGGCATATGGTGAATCGATGATGTGAGGGAGCGCCCTCAGGAACTCTGGATCCACGATCGAGTTGAACGAGACAAAGACAGTCGCATGTGGGAGGATGAAGTCCAGAAAAACTGACAACCGTCAGTATACCAGGTAAGCCAAGGGTCAACAATCATACTATCTATGCATTGCTTTGCTTCATGCCTTGGAAGATTGACTTTCGGCTCGTTTGCCACATGATTTCCCGGTCGAGGGAACGGAGCAGCTAACTGGACCAATGCGGTATCCAGACGAGTGATTGCGCTGCTGACCGTGGATTGGGCCCAGGGAGATGAGGGCTCGGAGGAACGGGTGGTGAGAGACTCGATGCTGTCCTTTGCTCCGCTGACCATGCGGTATAAAAGGCCTGTCGCGGTCAGTATTCATACCTTTGCAAATGAGGCCTACCCATACCGTCGTTCGCTGTCTCTGATTCAAGGTTCACTTGAGGCGACTCCGTTGGATTGTTGTGTTTCGGCGGAGGTTCATTCGCATTCGCCGTCGCAGCTGCCTTGAGTCGTGCCTCCAAAGCCTCGAGCCGGTGATCCAGACGGTGGATGTCGGCGTTTTGCCTGACCCCATCCATTAGACGGGCTTGAGTCAGGGAGGAGGTGCCGACCTACCTCGAACCGCGTGTTTTTCTCTTATCGGGGTACGCACACTGCAGGCGGTTGTTCCGACACCGTTTGCACTGTGGCTCTGCGCGATCACATCTCAGCTGGAGCCTGTCAGCAAGCTGGAATGCTGGTATGGGGATCGGATCCCGAGTACAGACCTTCCGCTCTCTGCACCTGAGGCACTACCGCAGTGTCAGTAAATTTCTATACATCGGGAGATCTTAATACCGAGAGCTTCATGCGATGGGGCTCCATTTTGGATGCAACATCAGGCGATGGATCACCAAGTTGGCGGACGAGGGCGATCGGACAGCTATAAGCCCGAGCCCGCGGCCACGCCAAGCGTTAGTCATGCACCTCGGCCTTTCGGACTCTCGGACAATCCCGCTTGGCCGTGGCTGATTGGCTCGCGCAGCAAGGGTCATGCTGGCCGAGGACTTGGATCTGACATTTGGGTTCCAAGGGTCCCAAGGGTCCCAAGGGATGATTGCAAGGGTTGTTTTGTTGACAGTTGTGTCACTGCGCCGACGGCGGGATCGGGTGTTGACTCTCCGCGTTGTCCGCGGAATCCGCCACAGTTCAGCTGGTCAGATCACAATTCACCATGTTATGACAGTCGCCTATTCTTAGATGAGGTCGGACATTCACTCGCCCAAACCCCGAGCTGGGCAAAGCTCGTATAAATACCTGAGTCCCTGCACTCCTTTCTGTGGTACAACACATGTGCTCATCTGTCATCCATGGATTCCACCACAGACAGCCCACTGCCGACTGCGGACGGTGTCAGTCCTGCCAACAGTGTGAGTCCTGCCAACAGCTGCGGCTCGACTCTGGCCGACAAGCACGCCGAATCCGACCGCGAGGTGACACACTTGGCTCGAACTTTCAGTGAGCGGTCGAGGCAAACGAATAATCAGCTCCCTTTCGCCGCATCAAAAGACGCGTCTCTCGATCCCCACAGCCGCCGATTCAATGCCAGAGCCTGGGCCAAAGCGTTCTATGATGTCCGATACAACTCGACCGATGCGCCGCCACCACGAGTGTCCGGTGTTGCTTTCAAGGGCCTCAATGTGGCAGGCTATGGGAGCCCCGTCGACTATCAGATGAGTGTGGGAAATGCGTTTCTGAAGCTACCCACCCTCGCGCGACAGTGGCTGGGTGGGAAGAAACAGCGGATCGAGATTCTTCGAGACATTGACGGGCTGCTCCTTCCCGGAGAACAGCTTTGCGTCCTCGGGCCCCCGGGGTCAGGCTGTTCTACCCTACTGAAGACCATTGCACAGGAAACTTACGGCTTCGAAGTCGATCCGTCATCGTCCATCAACTACCAGGGCGTTACCCCGAAACAGATGTCCACGCAGTTCCGCGGCGAAGCGATATACACGGCCGAGGTCGACGCCCACTACCCCCAGCTCGTCGTCGGAGATACTCTCTACTTTGCCGCCCTTGCTCGCACCCCTCGCCAAATCCCTGGGGGCATGAGTCGCCAGGACTACGCTACCCACCTACGCGATGTTATCATGTCAACCTTCGGCATCAGCCATACCATCAACACCAAGGTCGGGAATGACTTCGTTCGAGGGGTCAGCGGAGGCGAGAGGAAGCGGGTCACAATCGCAGAAGCGGCATTGAGCTATGCCCCTTTGCAGTGCTGGGATAATAGCACGCGTGGGCTGGATAGTGCGAATGCGGTTGAGTTCTGCAGGACTCTGCGCACGCAAGGAGATGTTTTTGGCGTCACTTCGTGTGTGGCCATCTACCAGGCTCCTCAGGCAGCATACGAGGTACGTCGGCTCTTCTAGCCATCGCGAAAATACTAACGAGTCGATAGATCTTCAACAAAGTTACTGTTCTCTATGAGGGGAGACAGATTTACTTTGGACCTGCAACGGAAGCCAAGGACTATTTTGAACGGCTTGGGTTTGTTTGTCCGGAAGCGCAAACAACGCCTGACTTTTTGACCTCCATGTCAAGCCCAGTTGAGCGCATCATCCGTCCAGGACACGAGAATCAGGTGCCTCGGACCTCCGACGAATTTGCGCGGCGCTGGAAAGAGAGCCCTGAGCGCCAGGCTTTGATCCGTGATATCGACCAGTACAACACCGCTCATCCCTTCAACGCGACCGATCTGCATCTCTTCTCATCATCGCGTGACGCGGAGAAGTCGAAGAAACAACGGACGACATCTCCCTATACTTTGTCATACTGGGGTCAGATCCGGCTCTGTTTATGGGGGGCCTTCCGACGGTTGAGGAACGACCCCAGCGTGCCCGTGGCCATGCTCATCGGAAACGTCTTCGAAGCCTTGATTATAGCCAGTATCTTTTACAACCAGCCTAACAATACGACCTCGTTCTTCTCTCGTGGCGCTCTGCTGTTCATGATGGTCCTGCTGAGTGCCTTTTCCAGCATCCTCGAAATTCTCTCGCTGTACGAGAAACGCACAATCGTCGAGAAACACGACAGATATGCCCTCTATCATCCCAGCGCGGAGGCCATCGCTTCAATGATCGTCGATATGCCGTACAAAATTGTGAACTCCCTGCTCACCGGCCTGACTTTGTATTTCATGGGCAATCTACGGCGTGAGCCTGGCGCGTTCTTCTTCCTGTACCTGATCGCGTTTATGATGATGATGTCGATGTCGATGTTCTTCCGGTTCTTTGCGTCTATCACAAAGTCGATTGAGCAAGCGCTTGCGCCTTCTGCAATCATCCTGCTGGCGTTGGTATTGTACACCGGTTTTGCCATCCCGGTCTCTTACATGCGCGGCTGGGCCTCCTGGATCCGGTGGCTCAATCCGATCTCGTATGGATTCGAAGCGGTTATGGTCAACGAATTTGACGGTCGCGAGTTCCCCTGTGTCGGATTCGTTCCCTCTGGACCTGGCTATGAGAATGTTTCACCAGACCAAAAGGTCTGCTCGACGGTTGGCGCCACTCCAGGGTCAGACGTTGTGCAGGGCACGGCCTTTGTTCGCTCCGCATACGGTTATGAGTATAGTCATCGCTGGCGAAACTTTGGGATCATCCTTGCTATCACCTGTTTTCTGGCCGTCTGTCACTTGGTCACGACTGAAATCGTTGCTTCTCAGCGCTCCAAGGGGGAGGTGCTTGTGTTCCGTCGTGGAAAGGCGCACAAGGCCCACGCCAAGCGACTGCAGACTGATGAAGAGCAGGTGCCAGCACCTGTGGCTCAGAGCGAGAAGACTACACCAGAAGAGCCTGGCGTGGTTTCCGGCGTGGAGAAGCAGTCTTCCATATTTCACTGGGAAGATGTGACATTCGACATCAAAATCAAAGGCGAACCGAGGCGCATCCTCGACCGCATTGACGGCTGGATTCGCCCGGGAACTTTGACAGCACTCATGGTAAGTCGCCTTGCGCGCCTCATATTATAATCTGACCTCTGTAGGGCGTGTCCGGTGCCGGCAAGACTACTCTTCTGGATGTATTGGCGAATCGCACCACGATCGGAGTCGTCGGAGGCAACATGTTTGTTGATGGCCACTCTCGCGACGAGTCCTTCCAACGAAAAACTGGCTATGTCCAACAACAAGACCTTCATCTGCACACTTCGACCGTCCGGGAAGCATTGGAGTTCAGTGCTCTTCTCCGCCAACCGCCGCAATATACCAAGGCCGAGAAGCTCGCCTATGTTGACTCAGTCATTGACCTGCTGAACATGACAGACTACGCGGACGCCATTGTTGGAGTTCCAGGCGTGGGGCTCAATGTCGAACAGCGAAAACGCCTTACCATCGGTGTTGAGCTGGCTGCTCGTCCCAAGTTGTTGCTCTTCCTAGACGAGCCTACCTCTGGCCTGGATAGTCAAACCTCGTGGTCAATTTGCAATCTCATGGAGACATTGACCAAGAATGGCCAAGCGATCCTCTGTACCATCCACCAGCCTTCGGCCATGTTGTTCCAGCGCTTCGACAGACTCCTTCTGCTGGCGGGCGAGGGAAAGACAGTGTACTTTGGTGAGGTTGGTCAAGGAGCAAGCACGCTCATGGACTACTTTGTCCGCAATGGTGGTTCGCCTTGCCCCCCAGGTGCTAACCCGGCAGAGCACATGCTTGAGGTCATTGGGGCTGCACCAGGCGCTCACTCAGACATCGACTGGCCTGAAGTTTGGAGGAGCAGTGCCGAGTACCAGGAGGTACGAAGCGAGCTTGCACAACTGAGAGAGCTGGCAAACCATCCATCCCCGGTCTCCGATCCAAATGACAAATCCAGCTATACTGAGTTTGCAGCCCCTTTCTCCGAACAGTTCATCCAGGTCGGACGTCGAGTATTCCAGCAATACTGGCGCGACCCGTCATATATCTGGTCGAAAGTGTTGTTGACCGTTGGATCGGTAAGTCCTCCACTCTTGATTGTATTCTCCTCTAATCCGTCTAGTCCCTCTTCATCGGATTTTCGTTCTTCAAAATGGACAACACCCGGCAAGGACTACAAAACCAGATGTTCGGCGTCTTTGTCTTCCTCTTCGTTACCGTCCAACTTGTTATGCAAATCATTCCTGTGTTCGTCACGCAGCGAAAGCTCTACGAGTCCCGCGAGCGGCAATCCAAAACGTATGCATGGCAGGCGTTCATGATGTCGAATATAACTGTTGAGTTCTTCTGGAATACGGTATGCTTCCCATTCTCTCTTTCATAACACTTGCTCATCCCGTCTACAGATCATGGCTATCTTCTGCTTCCTCACTTGGTTCTACCCCGTCGGCCTGTACCAGAACGCGGAGTACACAGACACCGTCCACTCCCGGAGCCTTCTGACCGTGCTCAACCTCTGGGCCGTCTTCCTCTTTGCCAGTTCGCTGGCGCACATGCTCATCGCCGGCATTGAGGTCGCGGAGATAGCATCGTCCTTGTCCAACATCCTTTTCATCATGATGTACGCCTTCTGCGGTATCCTTGCCGGCCCCGACGCCCTCCCTGGCTTCTGGATATTCATGTATCGAGTAAATCCGTTTACTTACCTGGTGGGGTCTCTGCTGGCTACCACGCTTGGTGATGCGCCCATGCACTGCGCCGACAACGAGATCTTGTCGTTCCATGCGCCGGAGGAACAGACTTGTCAGGAGTACACGGAAGCGTACCGGTCTTTGGCTGGGGGATACATCCTTAACCCGGATGCGCGAGGCAGCGAGCAGTGTCAGTACTGTTCACTCGACAACACGAATCAGTATCTGGCCGGACTCAGCATCGACTACGGCAACCGCTGGCGCGACTTTGGTTTCTTGTGGGTTTATATTGTCTTCAACACTGTCGTCGCCGTTGCTCTCTACAAGCTATTCCGGGTACCTAGAACGAAGAAGGGACAGTAAACTTGCGTAGTTTTATTGTTCAACATTGGCATCTCGTTTCTTTTCTACCTTGTCTACTTTTCGGACATTTCCCGTTGTTCAGCGTGCAGATGGGGTTGGCGATTGGTAGCACGATAGATAGCGCATCTTACCCTTTCTCCTGATAAATCTAATCTAATTTTGTATCGCTGCCACCGCCTCTTCCTGACCCTCTCTCCATACTGTCGTAGAGTGAACAAGACCTGCACAAAGCCGCTGACTCAGCAATGCTATGCACAGCCTGAAGTCCCGCCACGTTTCCCCACGCTTCCTCCTCTCCGCCTCCGCAAGTTCCATTTCCAACACCACCAACACCAGCAATCCAAGTCAACCATCAATCATCCCCCCAATTCCGATCCAAAATGCGCACCGCAATCCTCACCACGATCCTCACCTTCGCCCTCACCGGCCTCACCCAAGCCGCCTCCCTCGGCATCGAAACAACCCACGCCGTCGAATGCACCCGCAAGACGCAGAAGGGCGACAGCGTCAAGATGCACTACCGCGGCACCCTCGCCGCAGACGGAACCCAGTTCGACGCGAGCTATGACCGCGGCACGCCGTTCAAGTTCAAGCTTGGGGCCGGGCACGTTATCAAGGGGTGAGTTGTCTATGGTTCACAATCTTGGGATCGGGGTCTGTGGTGTTTCGTTGCTGACGGTGCTTTTTTGCAGATGGGACCAGGGTCTCCTTGGGATGTGTGTTGGCGAGAAGAGGACGCTTACGATTCCGCCGGAGTTTGGGTATGGGGAGCGCGGCGCCGGGGGGGTTATTCCTGGTGGTGCGACCTTGATTTTCCAGACGGAGTTGCTGGAGATTGAGGGGGTGGATAAGGATGAGCTTTGAGCGACTTGTTGTGGGCTCACGGTGCGTTGGTCCTACAGATCTACGGATGCTTTTGATAACAAGGGGGTCGGGTCAGCCGGTCGGACAGTGCGATGGGGCATACAGTCGTTACGTGCGGTCGGCCCTACGATGGAATACATTCGGAACATGGACATATCACTACGCTCGCTTCAATTGTATGTAAATGAAATTACGACTTAATTCAAGCCAACGTTCCCAGTTGCAATGCAGATGCATATGGCAATCAACTCGACCTTGACGCTGAAAGCCCCTTTGCTCCCCTCCGATGCGTGAAATAACTCTGCAGGTTCAACGCGAGTGCCAGCACCCACGACGCCGCAGCCAAGGCACAGATGGCCGTGAGCCCATGCAGGTAGAGCGGTTTATCCTCTGTGCGGAAAATCTGGGAGCCGGAGATGCCGGCGCAGTTGGCGGCCATAACCACCAGCCTTTGTCTGTCAGTTCTTTGTTGACGATCGATAAAGGGGTCGTGACGTACGCCATGGCTACGCTGCGCTCTTGCGGCGTCTTGCAGTATACGGATAGCCACCCGATGTTTAGGACGTGCATGCTCGCGTATGAGACATTTGCGGCGGCGATCACGCCGTACCTGTGCCATTGGCCTGATGTTGCTGGTGTGGTGCGCAGGCAGGCGTATGAGATCACGTTCCATGTTATGGCGATGAGGACGAAGGGGCCGCGGTGGTTGAGCTTGTCGCTACCTGCTGTCAGCTTCGTTCCTAGTAGGTATGGGTGAGGTGACGTACGAGAGATACGAGAGGATCAGGACCCAGAGCATACCGCAGTACACCGGGACAGACGCCAATGCGTTTGCCCGCACGGCGCTGAAGCCGAACGACTTGATCATGCTGGGCGTGTACTGCGTCAACCCCTGGAACCCGGACATGGCGACCAGCGTGATGAAGAAGTGCTGGATTATGCGGGGCTGGCGCACGGTGGTCCAGATGTCGCGGCCGGTGATCTTGATGTGCCCGGCGCTTTTCTTGGGGTCGTCGAGGAGGACGCGCGAGGTTGCGATGTGCGATTCGCGTGGCGTCAGGTAGCTCCAGCGGCCTGTGACGGAGCTGATGAGCGGTCGGCCGTCGCCTGCCTTTGGGGGCACGAAGAGGATGAAGACTATTCCGATGAAGAGGGTGATTACGCCCTCGACTGGTTGAGTTAGCGTGGTCGTTTATGGGATTGGACTGAGACGTACCGAGGAAAATCCACCGCCAGCCAGCAAGACCGCGTTTCCCGGACAGGGTCAGGAGCCCGGCTGAGATCAAACTCGACGTCGCACCGGAGAACATCTGCCCGAAGAAGAAGAGCGTCACCCGGAGACTGGTCTCTTCCTTCTTGTACCATGTCGACAGGTAGTAGAGCGCTCCGGGGATGAAGCCACCCTCCAACAGACCAAGCAGAAACCTTGTCACCAGATACGCTGGGTACGACTGGATAAAGGACTGAAATGTAGCCACCAGCCCCCAGGCAAAGAGCTGAGCAGACAGCCACCGTTGAGGCCCGACTCGCTGCAGGATCACGTTCGACGGGATCTCGCTGATGACGATGCCGGCGGACAACAACTGCGTGCCCACATTGATCTGGTTTGTAGTGATGTTCAGGTCCTCGGTGATGGTCGATGTCAGCGCGGCGCTGATGTTCCCTCGGTCGATCTGGAGGGCGAAGAAGGCGAAGCCCAGGATGGGGATCAGGATCGTGTCGAGTCTGCTGGGTCAGTATGAGAAGGCACCCAGGAGCGGCAGCATACTTGAACTTGAGCTTCTTCTCTTCCTTGTCGTCCCAATCCTTTACAATGGGAGAAATGCTCGAGTCAGAAAGAGCAAGGCCGTTCTTCTCGGCGTCAACGACGTCCACGTCAAACTGTTCCTTCATCGCAGCCGTGGTTCGGATTCTAGGATAAGCACAACATCGTATCTGACAGGAGAAACTCCGCATCCTTATATGTCCACAATTTTCCAGTTATCGCCTGCTACCAGGCCCAGGCATTACGTTGCCAGCGGGCATACCGCATGTTTTGCGTTGTCGACAGCGGACCGCGCTATGGCGCAATCATACTTCTCCATCAGCACTCGCTTAGCCCGAGGCCCAGATCCTGACTCGTTGGCGTCTTATCGATCTAAATTATGCCGGTTTGCGGGGCTTGTTTCTGTTCTACTTTTCCAACGGTTCTTCCTGACGTTGGGTCGGGGTTTTGCCATGCGGTGCCCGCGTCTCCACGATCATGGAGGATCGAGTTCAGGTCATACGAGATGCACTACGCAATAATGCAGGTGGAATCTTGAATTCAGGCCTTGGTTTGTTATGGCTCATCTAACTTTCTACGATTTATGTCCAAACATCCCAATTCAACCCGTATCTCGTGAACGGAAGCGCATCCTGCGGTCCCTCTACCTCAGGGATATAGCCATGTTCGCAGTGATCAAATGAGACTCGCGCCTGGCTGGTATAGAATGCGTCGTATAGCGGATTCAATGCGTCTTTCAGGTTCTGCACACTTCCGCCCGGATGCAGGACGTCCCATGGCTTGATGCATGTCGCGCCTTTGCATGACTTGAGGACTAGCAGAATGCTGTCTAATCTGCTGATTACCTGTAATAGAGGGTAGCCGAAGATCTCGCTGGCCTGTTCTTTAGAGGTGAACAGGTTGTTTAGTTGGTATGGGTCGGTGATCAAATCGTAGAGCTCATGCTCGTTGCTGCACCAGACGGAGTAGTAGAGGTTGTAGCCTTCCCCGATGATCCGCACTGACTTGTAGGTGTTGTTGTTGAAGAACGGGAGGTTCGCTGGGTTACCTAGATTATCTTGTCAGTTTTCTTTGCTCGTCAAGACGCATTAAGTACTTACTCAAAGCTCCCCTCTCACCCTCAAGGTACGAATTTCCCCAATACTCAACAGTAACGTGCTCATGACGGATAGAAACAGCGTTCGAACCCACCGAGCTCGGCAGTGGGATCGGCGTGCCGTCAAAGTCCTCGCGCAATGGGATCTCCGCTAAACCGAAGATAGTCGGCGCGAGGTCGATGTGCGTTGTAACGGCTGTTTCGACTTCGTCCTCCGGCACCCCGGGTCCGCGAATAAACAAGGGTACGCGGATATCCTCTTCGAACCCACACGCCTTTCCGGGTGGCAGCCGGTGCTGGCCGATGTGATAGCCGTTGTCCGAGGTGTAGATGATGTACGTGTTGTCGAGCTGGCCGCTGCCTTCGAGACGCGTGACGATTGAGTCAACGAGCTCGTCGACGCCCTGCAGAGCTCGCAGGCGCTGGCGGTAGAAGTGGTCGTGGTATTCGATGGTTGATTTGTTCTGCTGCGGTAAGGTCTTGATCCAGCTGGCGCCGCTCGGCTCGTCTGGGTTGAAATGCGAGGTCCGTGGGACCTTCACGTCGCTGAACAGATCCTTATGGCGATCAAGCGGGATTGGCTCCGTCATTACCGTGGGGGAATGTCCTTTCCCCAGAGCGCTAACGTCGACATTGGAATGAGGTGCAACCGGCGCAACCGTCAGAAAGAAAGGACGGTCGCCATTCAGCCCGTCTTCCAGGAATCCGAGCGCTTTCTCCGTGATGACCTCGACGGTATGCCGGCCTTCGTAGCTGACCGGCTCATCGCGATTCCGTTGATACGTCGAGTTCAGGTACGAATAGGTGAAGGGGTCCAAGAGGAAGTCAGACCCAGTGAAGCCGTTGACATAGGGGCTATGGTAGTTGTCGACGGTGTGAGCGTTTAACAGCTTGCCGGTGTAGTAGGTGTCGTATCCGGCGGATTGCAGCCACACCGGCAGGAAATTCTCGTTGAAGCCGCGGTCGACGAACTTGGGGTATCCTCCATATGGCGGACTCACGTCGGTGACGTTCGTGTTGTGTGCCTGGCGGCCAGTCCACAGGCTGACTCGTGACGGGCAGCACAGCGCGGTCGTAACGAAGTGGTTGCTGAAGAAGGTGCCTTTTTGCTTGATGTGCTTTGACAGCAGGGGCATGTAGTCAATTGAGTCGAGCTTCAGGTCCTGGTCATCGGTTATGATGAACACGAAGTTGGGTTTACCCGTTAACGGCGCTGGACTGAGGACTTGTTGAAGGTCGAAGGGAAAGATGGCGTTGACCGCAATGGCCGACGAAAGCCATACCACCGTTGACGAGAACTTCATGATGCTGCTGTGCTGGCTGTGCTGGCAGCTGAAGAGTTGGAGAGCGAACCATAAGTATGAGCTTGGCCGAACTGCAGTGGAGACGACCAGATGGCGCCATTTTAGGGGCGATGAGCTCCTGGCATCCTGATCCTGCATCTGCATAGAACAATCCTCTCCAAAGATGGCGTGCTTATCGCTGAACTCCGACGTTCAGACTATTATTTTTTGCCAGTCTCGAACCATGACTGTTTCATCACCGCAAACATGGCCCAGCCTCAGTCCGACGAGACGACCCCGTTGAACCCGGGCCATCCCAAGTACCAGGCAATTGCTACCACGAATGTTGTCGCCGACGAGGAAAGCGATGCGGTCCCGGAGAGTCCGTCGAAGCCGCCGGTGCAGGTGCTGACCAGCGTTGGCAGCATCATTGCCGTGCTTCTTCTTGGTATGAATCCCTTCTTGGAGGAAGAGCAGTTGCTAACTCTACTCTAGGCGAGTTCATTTCCAATGCCGATGGAACGCTCGTCATGGCAGCGACGGCGCGCATTTCGTCCGAGTTCAACCGCCTGCAAGGCGCCGCCTGGCTGTCGACTGGGTATACTCTCGGAGTATGCGTTGCGCAGCCGATGGTCAGCTACTGGATGAGTGAGTATGTTGAGTCGCGCTGACAGTATGCAGTATGGAAAGCTGGGCGATATCTACGGCCGGAAACCGCTTCTGCTCTGGTCCTACTTCTTCCTTGCCTTGGGCTGCGTGGTTTGGTGAGTTAGGCCGATCCAGCCATCGCACCATACTGATTGGGCTCAGTGGACTTGCAACAGACATGTGGATTGCAATTGTTGGCCGTGCTCTGAGCGGCATTGGAGGCGCGGGCGTCATGACCATGAGCGCAATCATCATCACCGGTAGGCTCTGCCCTGGTCGTAGAGTGTACCTGTTGACATTGTTAGATATCGTGGCCAAGCGAGAGATCGCGACATGGCGATCAATCATCAACCTGGCCATGACGCTTGGTCGCAGTCTTGGAGGTCCTGTTGGCGGAGTCTTGACTGATACAATTGGCTGGCGATGGTACTGGCCTTGGATTATTCGAGGAATGATGCTGACCTGGACAGGGCTTTTCTGCTACAAGCTCCTTTGCTTGCGATCGCCGCCCTTCTCGTTGTCATTCAACTCAAGCTCGTCCATTCTGATCAGCCTTCCGGCCAGTCCAAGATCAGCCGCGTCGACTTCCGGGGCTCCATCCTCGTGGCCACCAGTATCGGCACCCTGATTCTCCTCCTCGATCAAGGCGGGAAGGCGTTCCCTTGGGCATCTCTCCCTACCCTATTCCTAGCGAGTGCCGCAATGCTGACTTTCGGCCTCTTCATCTACACTGAGCTCTACGTCGCAGCGGAGCCGATATTCGATCTTGCAATCCTCAAACGCCCCAATGTGGCCGCCAGCTACCTCGTCAGCTCCTTCCAGGTCGCCGCCCAGGTCGGCATGATGTTCACGGTGCCACTCTACTTCCAGGTCTCCGAGCGGGCGTCAAGCACAGTGGCAGGAGCGCACTTGATCCCCGCGGTGGTCGGCAATGCCATCGGCGGCTTGTCGGCCGGGCTCTTTATTCGGAAAACAGGCAACTACAAGCCCGTTCTCGTCGCGGCTGGTTTAATCGCGTGCATCTCGTATCTGCTTCAGTTCCTCCGCTGGAATGGAGACACCGGGTTCTGGGAGTCGCTGTATATTGTCTTCGGTGGTCTGGGTAGCGGCTCAGCTGGGTCCGCGGCGTTTGTCAGTATGACGGCGTTCTTGGAGCCTGGTGAAATGGCTATGGCGACCGTGGGGTATTCGCTGCTCATCAACTTTGCCCTCACGTCGGGCATCACGTCCAACTATACCTTGTTGTCGTCGGAGTTTCGGAGGCAGCTGCGGAGGAACCTGCATGGGAAGGGGTCGCATAAGGTGAGCCAAGCATGCTCCCAAGGGTATCGACTGGACTGACAGAATAGATCATCCATCGTGCTTTGTCGAGTATCGAGTACATTGCAAGTCTCACCGGATCCCTTCGCGAGACGGTCGTCGGAAGTTATGTTGCTGGGTTGAAGCATGCCTACAGTAAGTCCTGCTCGAGGGTTTGGGCAAAGAAAGTACTGATTCGGGACAGTCTTCTCCTTGATATGCTCTCTGTTGTCTTCTGTGACTGCTTTGACTGCAAGAAACCACCGTCTATAGATCGATCTGTTCAATCTCATGTTAGCTAGATCACTTTGGAAATAGAAAATGACACCGATCTTGAGCCTGGCTGTATCAGAGTGAAGATGAAGAATATTGAATGAACGTTGAGGCTTTGAGGGATGGCAGTGAATGCCTCAGATATATATTGGGAAGGAACACCTTCACCAGGAACCATCCTCCATCTTCCAGCATCCCATTCTCGGCCGTCCTCTCTTTCTTATACCGTCAATTGCATCTTTCATGCTCTCTGCCACGGCATTATTTATCTTTTGCGTCGTATCGAATACTAGCGGTCGGGCTCAGCGAAGTGACGAGTATCCATTTTCATCTGTTATCCCATCGTTCGCTGTGGCTTGCCTGTGGCTCAGTAGTTCTGTGTGGCTGTGCGCACTTTTGAGTGTTTTGGCCTCCTCCCAACCCCTCAGCACGACCATGTCCAGCCTCTCCCAGTCTCGCTGGGCGCCAGCGTCCGCCGGAACCCAAAGACAATCAGATCGAAATCCAGGTTTCCACTTATCACCCTCCGAAGAACTCGCTCGTTTCCGTAAAATCGCCGCCCGCCTGAGATGGAAGCTCCCGTTCCTCGACGCCGGATACCAACGCGCGACCGCCACCGCGGGGGAAGCCATGGACGCAGACGAAATCGCCCAGGCCGAGATTATGTTTAAGCTCGATTTCCATGAATACTACGCCCTGCTCGAACGTGCGCTCGTGCATTTACTCGCCGTCTTCGGTGTTACTGTCTCCGCAAAGAATAACCTCCCCTGGGCGACGTCGCACCGGTACCACGCGAATGTTCTCGACGCGCTGCAGGTCAAGTCGAGCCCCCTACATACTGTGCTGGGAAGTGGGAATACATTTGATCAGTTGAAGCGGGCGAAGGAGTTGCGGAATCGGTGGAAGACGGCAGACCTCTCGGCTGATGAGAGACTACGCGATGACTTCTACTCTGCGACTAGGGTCGAAGAAGTGAAGCCGCTCCATAGCTATGACCTTGCTGAAATACTGAAGGCGGTTCTGGGAGGGATTGAGCGGGGATATGAGTTGGCCGAGGCTCATGTGGCGAAGCATGACACCTCTCGCAACGGACATGACCGGGTCGCGGATGATTGGGCTTTTATCGTCGATGCAATGGATTGGGAGGCTGTATAGACAAACAAGCGCGGGTAGGGCCTCACTAGGTCTCGTTAGAAGACGATTTGCGCCGCGGCCTACCCCGGCCGGGATCTTGGACCCCTCAGAAGACCGGACCATAGCCTGGTCGACAGAACCAACCAGCCGAAGGAGTCACGAACGAGAATCCTGACAGTGGACGACAACCCAGATCGCCGCGGCAACCCTCGGCCCTCACCGACACCACGCTGAGGCGCGGACTGGGTTAATTGGCAAGATTCCATGTCTGCTCCGTTGATGGCCTGACCGGGCTCGGGTTTGCTACCTCGTTCGCGCGCCAACGCGAAGCAATCGATCCGTTGAGATAATCGCCCAATAGAACAGGAAGACCAAGAAGTTTATCCACAGATCAGCCAGTGATACAGGTGGGCATAGTCGCAGTGGATGCTAGGGAAGCGGCCAAAGCGACAAAAGGTCTTGATCAAGTTTGTAGCCCATTGCAGTGCTCCTCGTCTTAGACCCTATCAGCGGGCTCCCGTGTATCAGCTCGCGCTCGGAATCGTATATATGGATGCAGGTGAGCTCAGCATCTTTTTGGGACCGCATACGTGCTAACCACCGGAAGCGCCCATGACTCCGCGTCTCCCCTCGCCAACAGCCATCATGAAGGATAGCACTGAGCCGGGGGACTGGTTTGCGGACGAGGAGGAAAGACAGGAGCCATGGTCAAGGGGCGCGATGACGGTTTGCTGTCGGGGAAGGTTCGGGAAGACCCCGGACGCCAGGACCCTGAAGTGACGTTACTATTATTATTCGAGTTTATCCAAATACGATTTGCAACCGGAACAAAGATCCAAGTTGTGTAATTGAAGACGTCAGCATGTGTCCGGAGGCAGTAGGAACAGGGAGGCCCGCCGATGATCATGTCGATGATGTCATCGTGACAGCCCTGACACCTCGCCTACAAAAACCTTCAACGCCCTCTCACCAGCACCCACTTGATCAATTAACTCTATCTACCTATCTATCTCCCATCTCACTGTTCCTACCTCAATTCCTACAACACAACCACAATGTTCAGCCGCACCTCAAGACCCGCCGCCCGCGCCGCCCGCCGCCAGCTCCACGCCCCCAAGACCTCCCGCACCACCCGCTTCCAGTCCACAGCCTCCAACCCCTCGCCCGGATCCAGCGGAGCCCTCGCCGGCGGTGCCGCAGGCGGCGCCGTCGCCCTCAGCATCGGCTACGCCTGGTACCACTTCTCCGGCGCCAAGGCCGCCGTCCGCACCGTCAAGGAAACACAGGACTACGCCAACAGCGTAAAACAGGGGCTCGTCAAGAACGCACCCGAGCCGGATAAGGCGCTCCAGTGGCTTCGTGAGACTGCGGGCAGTTATGCGGCTTGGATCCCTGGGGCGCGAGGATACGTTGATACGCTCTTTGATGACCTTGAGACGATTAGGGGGAAGCATGGCGAGGAGTTTGATGCTATCATGAAAGACGCGTATAAGGAGATGAAGGACCTTAGTCGGAAGGGTGGCGCCAATGCTGATACTGCCTTCCAGGCGATGAGTATCCTTCAGAAGCACCTGAACCGCTTGCTGGATCTTGGGGGCGATGCTGCGGAGGATATCTTGAACAACCACCCGCAGTTGAAGGAGAAGGTTGGTGGGAGTATCGATCAGCTGAAGGAGCTTGGTGATGCGTATGGACCGCAGGCGAAGGAGGAGGTCAACAAGACGTGGGAGCAGATCAGTGGGATTATGAAGAAGGGCGCTAGCCTTGACGCCGCGAATGAGATCCGCAAGCTTGTCCAGGAGAAGCGCGAGAAGCTGCAGAAGCTGGGCGATGAGGCGTGGAACAAGGGCATGGAGGAGTCGAAGCAGTACCTTGACAAGAACCCCAAGGTTAAGGAGCTGGTGGAGAACAATGCCGATAAGCTGAAGAAGGGGAACTTCTCTGAGCTGTGGGGTCTTGTGAAGGACAGTGCTTCGAGTGGAAAGACCGAGGACGTCGAGAAGTATGTCAAGGATAAGGTCGGGCAGGCGAAGAACACGGCTGAGAAGAGCGGTTTCAACATCGACCTCGACAAGTGGTCTGGTTTTGTGCCTGGTGGCTCGGAGGTCCTCAGTCAGCTGAAGGATCTGCAGACGGTCGGCGAGAAGAAGGGCAAGGATGCGGAGAGTGTGCTGAAGGACACGGCCAGTGAACTGCAGGAGGTCCTGAAGAAGCGCAAGGAGCAGCTGGAGAAGCTGGCGGACGAGGCCAAGGAGGAGGCGAAATAAGCTGATCAATCTGTACCATATCGATACCACGAACAGCAGCTGTATAACTAAATACTATTCATGATCTGCTGCCACACATTTCAAATGAGTAGACGAAGAGGATCCGAGCCTGGGTAGAAGTAGCGAAAGCCTTGACAGAATCAAACTGGCCAGGCAGACGATCCGAGCAGTGTCCCCAAGCTACTTTGCTCCAAGGGCATGATTGACGACCAAGGCTTCGTTTTGCCAGGATCCAGGCGCAACTGGTTATATCCATTCGGCAACGCAGGAATCCGAAGCTTCTCCACTGCTATTCGCGATCGAAAGATCTTTAATGCCTACTTACTCCGTCCCTTAAAGTCCAGCATCAACGGCCCAACAGTAAACGTAAACGTATCTTTCGCATCCCGATCAAACGCCTCGCCCGTCTGCCCGGGTGCAAAACCAATATCGAACTCTCGAGCTATACGTGCAATGACAAGGCGCATCTCCATGAGAGCGAGCTGCTTCCCGACGCAGCCGTATCGACCTCCATAGACAATTAAATGTTAGCTCGTGTTCGACGCCGGTTTGAGAAGGGAAGACGGACCGAGCTGAAAGGGAAAGAACGCCCCTTCATGCTTGACCAACTTATCCTTTTGATCCAGCCAGCGCTCGGGTATGAATTCGTCTCCTGCTGGGAAATACCGGTCATCTCGCTGGACGACATATTGCGGGACGACCACGATGGTGTCGCCTGGGATCCAGACTTCGTCGATCTGCAGGCCTTCCGGTGGTGTCTGTCGCGGCTGGCCGCTGGGGACGGCTGGTTTGAGACGGAGGGTCTCGTTGATGATGGCTTCGAGGTATGGAAGTTTTCGAAGAGCTTCGTTGTTTATGTTCGACGTCTCACTCCCTTCTGCGAAGGCGGCGTCGAGCTCCGCTTGAAGCTTCTTGTAGACGGCTGGATGCTTGGTTAGGAAGTAGAACGCGTTTGCTAAAGCTACCCCCGTAGTGTCGCTGCCTTATGTTAGATTCAATTGATTCAGCACGGAGGACAAGAACTGGACTTGCCTGCCTGTGATGATGAGGAGTCGGCCGTCTTCGTTGAGTGCCTGCTCTCCTGGAGGAGCAGACTGATCCTTCTCGTCGATTGCTTTAAACAGCCAGGAAATAATATCTTGGGGGACTTTGCTGCCGGATGCTTCCCATTCCTGCGGATATCAGAGATGATCCACCTTACATCAGAAGAGTACTCACGGCCTTCTTCTCCGCTATTCGATCAGCGCAGTATGTCATAAACTGCCCATAGTTACCGACTAGGCCCTGAATTCCACCTAGAATCGTCAGAACCCAGGGAACAGGCTTCAAGATCCCAAGAACCAGCATCTGTTCGTGGAGCTCTTTGATAGCTGCGTGTTCGGCCGCGTCTTCGAGTTGCCGGAAGTCCTTCGAGAAGCCGACAAGACCCATCACATCAAAGGCCAGGTACATAGTCCACTGGGTGATATTCAGCGGCTGGCCGAGACGCGACCGGATCTGGGAGACAAGAACGTCCACTTTGTGCTGGAGTCGGGGCTCGTAGATTGGCAGGGCTACGACGCGTCAGTGAAGGTGGTTATTAGACGGCGAGTACGCACCCTTCATGCTGAATCCACGGTCCCAAGCCCTCCGTCGCCGACGGTGTGCATCAGGGCTACGGGTTGAGTTGAGCGAAACCTGGGTTACGTTGTCAGAGACATGGCTGTACCATGTTGGCTTTGTGCACGCAGATTGAGGACCCGCTGTGAGGTGGACTGCCGATGGTCGATTGATTGAGATTTCTCGAGGGCCCGTACGGACGAAGTCGCCGTATTTCCGATGCATCTCTTTGAGATCGAGATGGTACTGCGTTCGCTTGGTTGCGTGAATGGCGGCCGATATTCTGGTTACTGATGCCATCCGTGGTCCTGGGAAGTGGCGGAGTCGGTGGAAGAAGGCGCGGTACACGACGATGCTGATTGTCAGTCCGAGATTGAACGAGCATGATGCTAGGATTGTGTTCGTAAGGGCGCGGAGCCAACTGAGCGAAAAAAAGTAGGCATAGGTACCATACAAGCCGAGAGAGGTCGACAGGTAAAGTGTCCCCAAAGGCCGGAGCCGGTTGTCAATCTCGCAATGTCGGATGCACTGGTGAAAAGCTAACCCAAGCACGAAGAAGGTGACCGCTGTTTGCAAAGGATCAGGGCCAAAGAGGGCTGTGAGAGCGGTGATGAAGCTCATCTTCGTTCCCCTGCTCGGTAGGGCAGGCAACTGTTTGGAGAATGAGGGGAAATGGGGACAGGATCGCTTAATATGATAGCCAAGCAAGAAGGATTAAGGTGCAGCAATGGCGTGGACAAGGACACTGTCATATTGCTATTCTATCGAGGATTATTGGCTGCTGCGATCTAGTCTGCCCTAAACCGGTCAACGGCGTCTTTAGCGCTGGACATCAGACAGACCTGCCTGGTGCATCGCAAATTGGCAACCTCTGCCGCTGGCTGTATATCAAACTGGCCCAACTGGACTGTCTCTGGCATCGGCGGTTCTTCGCGTCTACACCCGAGAACGCATTAACAAGAGCCCTGTGCGGAACGACACAGGGAGTGGAGACCGAAGAGGTTTGGCAGTAAGACATGACCGAGAAGGTGATTTCCAAGGGGCTTTTCGAAATTCCGAATCTAGGAAAAATCTGATAGAGAAGCTGGATGGTGAGGTAAACTAGGACAAATGAATTTGACAGACCATTACATAACGGAACTATTCTGGAATAAAAAGAAGAGAAGAAGAAAAGCACGCTGACTAGGCACAATCATTGTGCATTAGGGTATCGGCTCGATCCAGGGGATGAGCGGGTGAGCGCAAGAGTTGGGTATCGCCAGCTAGGGAATCTAGCACTTGGGAGTGTCTGCTTAAGCCCACTTTCCGAGAAGGGCCATGATACCGGCACCCCAGAGCAGAGAGATGATCATAAAAGCAAGGCGCTTGTTGTCCTGGGTGCGGTGGGGGTCGAACAGGAAGTCACGAGCAAGGAGCTCAACGAGACCGGTGTAGATAAGGATACCTGCCGAAATAGCGTCGAAGACTCCGGATACAACGTTCGCAGTGTAGGAGCCGGCGTTGTAGGTTGTGCGGACACCAAGACCGATGGCGATGGCGATGGGGGTCGTCAGGCCATAAAGCAGACACAGAACCCAGGGGAGCCAGCTGCCCTTGCGGAAGGGAATGGCCGACATTCGGGCACCGATACCAAGACCTTCAAAGGATTGGTGGAAGACGAGGACGGGGTACAGGGTTGGGAACTCTTCGCCGGTGGTTCCGAGGTTGAGCCCGATGATGACGGAGTGGAAGATGATTCCGAACTCGAGGATCAGGAAGGCTGCGATTTGCTGCTTGAAGGAGCGTTCCGTGAAGCTGGAATTGATGGACTGGCATTCGAGGGTGTCGTCGGCTTTGTTGTCCGCGCTGGGGGAGCCGACTTGTCTGGAAACGGCCTCCTCGTTGTTGGTCGTGCTGGTCATGAATGTCTCCGGGTCCTCGCGGCACACTCCGTATTTGACTTCCACGTAGCGCTCGGCGCCAAAGTCCATGAGGAAAATGCCCATGACCGAGGCAAGAACGATGGCGGGACACCAGGAGTAGTCCGCCCAGTGGCCGGTCATGCCGACGCAGCTGGCAGGGCCGATCTCATCGTAGGCAGGGTCGAGCAGATGGATGAACGCGGTGGCGACGATGACTCCGGCGCCGAAGTAGCGAGCGAAGAGGTAGACGTAGTGAGGGATGTGCATGCGGGGGAAGCGTTTGGCGAGCATGGGGAAGAAGGTCACGGCGGTCGACACGATGAAGATGACAAAGATGGACGAGACACGAGCACCGAGGCGGCCGTCGTAGTCATTCTGACCAGCGTTCATGTAGCAGACGATGTCCCTGGGGTCCGCGGAGTCCAAGTCTACGGAGTTGGGGTTGAACGACTCAGACATGGCGGCGGATGGCTGGCAATGAAACCAATGGAAGACTTGTCGAGGTTGGGAGAAGGTATTCCTCAAGTGAGGCCGATGGAGTTGGTGTTACTTATAGAAGAGGTCGTGAAGGTTCGAGGACCAGCGGAGTCTGAAGGATGAAGCTCCATGGGTGGCTTTGGGGACCCTGGGAGTGGAAAAGTCATTCCAACAGTCACGGCATTCGGACTCATAGCCTCTTTCAGCGACAGCCAAGAGGCGTTGATATGCTAGAGAAAGCATTTCTGGTCATCCGAGAAGCAAACATCATATCGACTGGTTGATATGGATCCATACACTCTGCCAGTAGGATATCAGGCTCGGCATCCCCGAGCGCTTTTGCCGTCGTTCCCTGACAGCTGCTTGCCGGTGGTGGAGACGCTGCCCTCCACGATGACATGACATGCTTACTCGGGGCTCCATCACAGTGCCTAGAGCCACTAGAAGCTTGTCCAGGCTTGTCTCTCACAGCCAAGAAAGTGCGACGACTGGCCGACTCCCGAGTCAGCGAGATGAAGTACGAGGACCCTGGGGGTGAGAGGTGGAACTAGCGAGAAGAAATTTCAAACCACTCTCGCCTGATTGACCAGAATGAGCTAGGCAGAAGGATAAGCCTATATCGCTTGGAGCTGTCATGATTCAGGATAATTATCGAGTTTTGCTGGCAAACCCATAGCTGGGAGGATGGTCGGCGACTTGATCTTGTCCACAGTGCATAAGGAGAGACAGATGTAGTGTCTTGTCAGATCGAGCGTAGCGCATAGCAGGGTCTCTTCAGAATCACCGGTGTGAAACGTATTGGATACGTCCAGGTCAGTCATGGGAGTTCAGTGGAGAAGACTTCCCTCTCCTCCTGCATCCATCATCCATCTCCATCATCCATGAGCAACTCCCACGTTTACCGGCAACTTGGATCGGGCTTATGGGCGACAGTATCTAGTGCAATATGCCGAGTTGCCCTTTGATGCGAGAGAGCTCCCGCAATGTCGACTACGCCTGAAAAGGGCAGGAAGGAGTTCTGCTACACCCACTGCCAGACTCCAGAGGGTCTTCCGCAAGCTGGAGCACTTGCAACGCCACATAAGACGCCGTTCGTCCTCTTCCATCCTCATAGCCGCCGTGGCAACTTGACTGAATTGTGATCTCTCAGACACAAATGAGAAGCCGTTTGGCTGTCCCTGTGCCTTCACTTCTCGGCTGTCAGGTTAACCCTTCACATAGGCACCGGTGGCGTTTCAATCACTGGACTACTCCTTGCCAAAGCCGCAGGCGCCACTACAATCGTGACCTCCTCCAGCGACGAGAAACTTGAGCTCGTCAAGTCCGAGTTTGGCTTCGACTACGGCGTCAACTACAAGACGCACCCGAAATGGTCGAAGGAAGTCCTCCGTCTGACCGGCGGCGAGGGCGTCGACTACACTCTCGAGAATAGCGGCTCTGGAACAATCGCCGAGAGCATCAACTCGGTCAAGATGGGCGGCAATGTTAGCGTGATTGGCTTCTTGTCCCAGGCGAAGGAGATGCCTGATGTTGCTAGCCTCGCACTGGCCAAGGGGGCGGTTGTTCGTGGTATTACTGTTGGCTCGACGCAGCTCCTCAAGGAGGTTGTCCGCTTTGTTGGCCGTAAGGGTCTCCGTTTGCCGGTGGAGAAGGACTTCGGCTTCTCTGCTGAGGAGGCTATCAAGGCGAAGGTTTGACTATCTCGCCTCAGGTTCGCATATTGGCAAGGTCTCCATCGACGTTGCTGGCCAGTAGATGGCAAGCATACTAGCTTGATAGAATTTGAGTAGTCTCTAGAGAAATTCTTTTATGCTATGCATTGCTAAGCTTGAATAGATACTAAAAATCAGCACACGGGGAAATCCCATAGCAAAGCTCAAAGCTATCCTGGAAGACCTCGTCCGACCAGCAGACAACATCCAGCGTCGTCCCCAGCCTCGCCGGGTCGGGGTTATCCAAGGTGCCCTCATTCCCCAGATAGAACCGGCCCTGGAAGTCCGAGAACCGGAACGACTTGGCCGTCCTCGCCTTAACGCTCAACCACTCGCCCTCAAGCCCAAGCTTCTTCCTCCCGTCCTTCTCAATCCATTCAATCGACACGCGGTCCTGGTTAATCATCGGCCGTTTGGTGGCATCGCCATCCCCGCCCTCATCTGCGATCGTCACCATGAACCGCGACCGCTTCGTCGTCGACAGGCAGATCAGGTTCCCGCAGCAGTACCAGTACGTGCTCGGGTATCCGCGGCGCCGGATGAAATAGCTATATCCCGAGAGATAGTCGTGGTCGAAGTCGCTGGCGGCCGGGAGCAGCTTCGCGCCGAGGTCTGGGTAGTTTCCCATGCTGTATAGGAACATTTTGCCGGCGACAGGATCAAAGACAGGGTCTACATCGTGTGAGACGTGTGGGCAGATTGCCATTCCAAGTGATGCGATGTTTTCCGGACTTTCTTTAATTTGCAGTACCCAGAGCTTTGGGGCGAGCCGCTCGATTCCGATCGGTGTGAGGGTTGTCGTTGTCACACCGATGCTCGGCACGTTCAGCGACTTGCCTTCGTTGTCTTGGAGGATGCGGAAGAGCGTGTCGGCTGTGTTGCGGTCTGGGGAGAGCACGATCCAGACAAAGTGCGGTGCGTTGGTGCCCGAGTTGGCGGGCCGCGAGGCGATGTAGTGCATGTATACCATTTTGCAGAGTGAGATAGACGCGGAGTTGGACTCTGGGATGCTCTGCAGCCCTTGAGTGATGCTGGAGTCGGCATCAGAATGATGCAAGACCGTCTACGAATCATGGGCCTAGCCCTACTTTCCACGGGCCCAACCCTACTTTCCATGGGAATAGCCCTACTTTCCATGGGACTACTGTACAAGACACTTGACTTTGAAGGTTGACTTCGAACTGATGATATTCTATTCAGTCTATATCTAGTTCTTTTTTCCACTTTTCTTATTCCTCCTTTTTTTGTTAGTTTATATGTCCGAGTCTGCATAATCAGAGACTTTACCCTCGTTTTGTTATTTCACCTTGTGTGTGTTTTTGCAACGTTAAATGGTTCAACCGCGAGATCTAACAGCAGTGGTCATCCTGATAACAGTGTTCATGATGACAACAGTGATCCTGCTCGTACTGCGAATAGCTGGTGTACTGATAGTGCTCCTCACAGTACCCATGCCCAACCCGCCGCTCCGCAGACGCAGTGTGAACATGCATTCCCCTACACCCGGGGCCAGATTGCCGGTGTGTTGAGGCGTGGTTGCCGCGCTGCTCGAAGACGCCGTGCACAGGACAATTTGGATTAACGTCGTGTTCAGGACAATTCGGGTTGACGCCATGTACAGGACAATTCGGGTTGACGTCGTGGCCAGGGCAATTCGGATTGACATCGTGTGCAGAGCAATGCTCGTGTGAGGGCCGTCGCTCGTTGGATCGCCGTCGAGACGAGGAGGTGGAAGTTCCCGCCATGGACGTACTCTTCATTGCATCTGATGATACTCTGGTAGAGCCCGTACGGCTACGGCCACCTGAAGAACTGTGATCGACTCGCGGCATGCTCCCCTTTGCGCTGGATGACATCCTGACAGAGTCTATACGGCTACGGCCAGAGGAGGAATTGTGATCAACCGGGGGGATCCGCATGGGAGCTTGAGGCCTGACAGTGGCAGACGACGCCACCGAGCCCCGTGAACTCCAGTTCTCCGTTGGGTGCCGTGCGGATACCCTAACCTGGCTTGCGGAATCTTCGGGGTAGATTGTGCTCACCCTGCTTCCCCCGTGCCTGGTGCTGCTGACTGACATGTTGTCAAGGTCTCGCAGACTGGACTGATTCGTGCGGCTTGAGCGGTTGGCTCGTGAAGACCCATGGCGCTGTTCACTTACTGCTGAAGCTCGGCTAGAGCGACCAACCGTCCTTGAGCTGATTGTCGAGGGAGAAGCCCGTACCTGGCTTGCTGAATCTTCAGGGTAGACCGTGCTGGCCCTGCTGCCCCCGTGCCGTGTGCTGCCGACTGATATGTTGTCAAAGTCCTGCGTCATGCCGTCGACGACCGGGTCGCGGGGAGCGAGCTGGGCGTTGCGGCTTGAGCGGTTGGCCCTTGAAGACCCAGGTCGCCGTTCATCTGCTGGGGACAGAAAGCTTTCACGACCCAGGATCGACGTGAATGTCGTGGGGGTGGCCTTAGCGGTGGAAACCCAGTCGTCTATATCTTGCGCTTGCGAGGTATGAGAATGTCCGCCATCGCCAGATCGAGATTGCCTGGAGCTGTGGCTCACTCGGGAGTCGCGGCCGCCATCATCAACGCGGGAGGTACGAGATCGTCTGGAACTGTGGGTAACTTGGGAGTCACGGCCGTTGTAATCAACGCGGGAGGCGTGGCTGTCTCCTGCCACTGAGCTCCTCCTCGACTTCCGCCTGATACTCGAGTCGTGATCGCCTTCGGCCCTGGAGACATTGCTGGTGTTGGAGTCAACGCGGGAGGAGTGTTGTTCTCCGGCCACGGAGCTCCTCCTTGATCGCCTGGAGCTGTGGCTGACTCGCGAGTCACGGCCATCATGATCGACGCGAGAAGAGCGTGTCCCTCCCGCTGCAGAGCTCCTCCTCGATTGCCGGGAGCTGTGGCTGACTCGGGAGTCATGTTCGTCATGATCGACGCGGGAGGAGTGTGTCTCTCTCACCACGGAGCTGCTGCCGCTCGTCATGGAGGAGGCGATGTCCGAGAGTTTCTGTGAAAGTCTCCCCATTTTGCTAGTGTAGTGGGACGTATGTAGACTGGGTATACCTCGTGCTAAGCTTCTGGGCTCTTGTTAAAAGAGGAATGAGATGGACGATTGTGGTGGTAGAACAGCACAGAGACCGGAAAGATCAGGGTTTATATATCCCGATGCCACCGTCTTTGGAGTCAGAACCATGGTGTAGGACAGACGCAGTCAATGAAAAGCATTCGGGGATGAATACTGGGCGAAGGGCGTCGTAGCAAAGGATTCTTTATTCTACAGACCAATTGTACGTAAAATACTGAGGCCCAAAGCAGAGAGAACGGGAGATAAAGAAGAAAGAGCGAAGACACAAAGGCCAAGGACTACAAAGAAGATCAGGATAGGAGTGTCCTCATGTGTCCAGGGACAAGTAAGCGGCCGCGTACGTTTCTATGGTAGTAGAGAGTCTCTACCAAAGTCCAACTGCTAAGCAGACAGACCCTCATAAAAGCCCCTCAACGCCTCAAACTCCCTCTGCAGCACATCCGCCCTCTGCTCACTCCGCGGGGTCATCCTGATAGGGAACTTCTTGGGATGAATCACAAAGCCGCCCGCATACCCCGTCTCAATCGAGACATCAGGAGGATGTCCAGGGACCTCCTCCAGGTCAAACCCCCACACAATCTTAGCGATGTTGATCTTGATCGATGCCTCGGCCATCTTCTGCCCAGAGCAGATCCGTCGTCCGACGCCCCAGCCATACGAGCTCTTCCGCTGCTCGCCTGGCGCGAGCTGGATATCGGCTTTCGTGCCGTACTTGTTACCCCCGAGCCACCGCTCTGGCCTGAAACATGCTGGGTCATCGTACTCGCTCTCGTTGTTGTGGATGGCCCACGTGTTGGCGAAGAAGATCGTGCCTGCGGGGAAGACGTAGCCCTTGTATGTGTCGGTCTGCATGAGCATGTGTGGGATTCCACCGGCGGCCACGGGTCGCCAGCGGAGGACCTCGTGCATGCATGCTTCGATGTATGGGAGATGGTCCAGGTCGGCCATTGTTGGGGATCGCTCGGTGCCACACACGCGATCAACTTCGTCTTGGGCGCTCTTCAGCGCGCCTGGATTCTCGAGCATACCGAGAAGAAACGAGTTGAGGGTCGACGATGTTGTGTCTGAGCCGGCCTCCATGAGGATCCCGCCTAGGTAGATTGTGTGCTCGTCGTCTAGCTTGTTTTGAACCTGCTCGTCGATAAGTTTCTCCATGAAACAGCCTGTCCGGACGCCTCGTTGCATTCGCGCTTTGGTTTCGTTGTAGAGCCTCGAGTACAATGCGCTCTGATCTCGTCGTATCTGCTTTGCCTTTCGCTTCCATGGGGCCAGGAACTCAGGAATATGCCGTAGGAACGTAATACCATCGACTGGAGGTGCAGCGCCTGGCTCGAGAAGAGCAGTGAACCGGTTCTGGACGTCGTACAAGGCTTGGATGTTGGGAGAGTCGAAGCTTTCACCGCGTTGACCAAATACCGAGGCGAGAATGACGGCCGTAGTGTAGCGCTCGATGTGCTCGTAGCATCGGCCTGGGTCGCGGACCATATCGTATGCTGTCTGGACGGCCTCTGCCTGTTGGATGGGGACGATGCCGGCGAGCTCACGGGGCGTCAGGAGGCCTTGGGCAGCCTTGCGCTGTGCTTTCCAGGTATTTCCATATGGGGCAAATAGGATGTGTGTATCGTCTGGGCAGATGAGCTGGTTGGCGATGTAGTTGGACGGTCGCGAGGAGTAGAGGTGGCCTCGCTTCTCGAGGAGCCTGGATGGTTTGAGCGATAGTGATGATCAAGGGTACTGGTCTACAAACTCACTGTTCAACGTCTCTCCAGTCGTCTAGGATCACCACGTTTGTTGGCCCAAACTTGAGTCCGATTATAGGGCCGTATTTCTTGGTCCATTGGTGGAAGCTGTACGGGTTAGTCAAAGTCTCGATTGAAGAACAATGCACTGACAGTACAAAAGCTTTGGACTTGGGAATCAGATGCAAGTTTCCGACCAGTGGCAGTGCTCTCGGTCCTGGAGGGAAGTTCCTTGGTCGCAAGCTGGCCCAGGTATACGGAGCAAGCGCTGCAATGATGACTGCGAGCAGGGCTACAGCCAATGACGCAAGTACCTCGACGCTGTCCAGAATGAGTCCCATGATGGTAGTGCAGTTCTGCAATGCAAGAGAGGGCCGTTTTGCAATCCATGAGAGTGACCTGGGATCTTTATTCCAGTCGAACATGCAGGATTAACGCTTGACACGTCAGCAAAGGTGGCAGCGGCAGATGGAACCAATGGAAACGAACGCATTGCCGTAGATGAAACATATCAAAGTGAATGCATTGGCAGCAGAAGAAATCAATGGCAACGAATGCATTGGCAGGACAGGGATTATGAGACTAGACTGACCCCAACTGCTTGGCTACTTCTCCAGTGGCATATAATAACAGAACAGTGGATACCTTCACATATCTCATTATGCTGGAAGGGTCTATTTTCCATCTTAGGGTTCTAGCCATTAAAAATAACGATCACCCTGCCCATCAAAGAGAAGCGTCACACCCCTCTGAACAACCCTCCTCCCCGAAGAGCCTGCCCGTGTGGCGGCACAACCCTCTCCCTTCCCAGGTTATAGAGGCCCTGCGTATGCCGGTCAACGGATGGCTCGCTATCACTGTCGGAAGTTCGGGAGTAGTTGGATCGGCTCGTGGACTCTTCGGCGGTAGCTTGATCGGAGGCTGTTTGGCGTGGATCTGAAACAGGCGCCTCTAAGGGAGTTGGAGCCTGTAAGGGAGTTGGAGCCTGTAAGGGAGTTGGAGCGTCTAAGGGAGTTGGAACAACAAAGGGAGCTGGAGCCTCTAACGGAGCTGGAGCCTCTAAGGGAGTCGGGGCCTGTAGAGGCGCCGAGGGCTGTGGGTGTGTCGGGGCTGGTGGGTGCGGGATAGGGATATGCGGTGCACTCTGCCGGAGCCGCTCCTCGCGCTCGGCCATCCTCCTGACGCGTTGACTGGGCTTTCTGTTTCGCACGCTATCCCAGCGTCCAGGTGGTGGGCCTGGTCGAATTGGCGGCTCTTCGGTTGTCATAGGAGCAGCTACCGGCACCGTTGCTATTCCACTGAATGGATCGTCGATTGGAGATGGCTGGTTTGGTTGGTTCTTGTGCCGGCCGGTGAAGTATTGACGAACGAACGAGTATGGACCTGTTGAAGACTCTCCGGATAGCTTTCCCACAATGTATGCCACGGTGACCGCCGCGACGAGGGCGACAAAGGCCCAAAGGGGGTACCAGACTGCGGACGTGGAGAAGGTCGTCATTCCAAATATGCCCTGGTGATGGAGTAAGTATCGAAATAACCCTCAAAGACTCCTACTGCTATGCTTACAGCGACGAAGGACAGGGGCAGGAATGCGAATGCCAGAATGTTCAGACGCGCCACTGCGAGGCCCTGGGAGACGGTCTCGGTGTTGAAAACCTCCAAGTGACGTTCTATCAACATAGGTATCAACTAAAGGAGAGAATGCAAATACTCACCAAGCTCAGGACGCTGTTATACTGCTGCAGGATGACCTCCGATGTCTCCCAGTGGTGGTTCAAGTCATCCTTCAGATCGGCCAACCGCTCGGTCAGGGTTCCCTTGAATGGGGGTCCTGAGGGCCAGGGACCCAAGGTGCCTTTCGAGATATGCTCTTGAATGCGCTTGAAAGAGGCCATGTGTAGCCGCAGGTCTTCACGCAGGGTGATGACATTGGACGTCGCCCGATGGAGCCTCCGGGTCAAGTGCAGCGTTGAGGGACGCATTGAATCTTCGTACGCTTGGGCGTCACGGCGGGCCAGATCACGGCGGGCAATGTCCCATACGCCTGGCCAGTCGCCGCAGGCTTGGAAGAGGTCCATGTAGATCCAGAGCGGGCAGTGGAGGAGCCGGTTCATGCGCCAACTGTTGTCGGGGCCCCCGAGGTGCTTGTCCAGCAAGGGAAGCAGCATCAAGCTCGCGAGCCAGAGGATGATCATCGGCTCCTCCGCGTGTTTGCTGTGGTCTAGTCGAGAGGCTGACAGGACCAGTGCTGCGACTCCGTGGACAGTCACCATTCCGTCTTCAAAGTTCATGGTTGGGGCATTCTGCTCTGTACGCCTTTGGCTGGCCAAGAGGTAGTTGAGCAGGAAGCTGAATTCTGTTCAGGTTAGCTGGGATGAAGACCTGGAACAAAGCTGCTCACCTTCCTTCTCGTCGTCATACGATGGTCTTACGGCCGTACTTGGCCCCTGGCCCTTTCCTGAGCTGAGATAGTTGACCAAGTCGCGTGGGAATCCCTTCAGTTCGGCATCAAGCGTGTCGAGGAGCCATGGTTCAGTGGGACTGCCGCAGAAGACACTGTGCAGAGGTAAGTAACAACCGCGACATGAAGCTTGTTCACAAAACCCACATGACCAAAGCTCGATTTTTTAACGTGCAATCTCGAAGCCTTGCGCGCAAGTGATCTCCAACCGTGGCGGCTTGAGCTTGCGAGAAGCGCTGACCTTCGAACAGCGGGCCTTTCGTGACTTGACCAGAGCCCGTGTTGGTGTAGATTGTGACTGCCCGGGCAGGAGCCACAGGTGGATCTTTCTCCTTCATGATCGAGATGCTCTTCAGGAGGACGTCGTTCAAGTTGCTCTGTGAATTTGGCCCACTTGGGCGCTGGGCATCCAGAAGGTTGTCCAAAGAGCAAGATGCCCCTCACTCATGCAGGAGGTCAGCTCAGCTCAGCTCAGTCCAGCCCAGCTCAGTCCAGCCCAGCCTCGTTGGCTTTCGACTGGGCGAACCATTTCGATCGGAACTGATGGCAGGGGTTGTGATTGGTGAGGTTGGCGCCCGGAACGAACTGCACAAGGCATTGGTCCAGAAGTAGGGCCATCCCTGTCTTTTGGACAAGATAGACGATTTGCTAATGGCTGAGCTGAGCTTGGGTTGTGCCATTTAAAACACTGTCAGTGGGATCCTTCCTATATCAGACGTCACGATGCTCATGAGCAAAAAAGCCGAGCGAAATACTCGAAGTGAGCATGAGGACGATCTTAGATGCGATCTATTCAGTAATGTACAGGTATAGAGACTATATACAAATATCAAACACGCTTAGGAAGAGTAGGTGCAAGCAACGGGGCTGTCGGACTTCTCGACGCGGGCAGCAATGCCAACACAGTCCGAGTTACCAGCGGGGTTGGCAACGCCAGCGGAGGCCCAGATGCTGTAGGCGCCGTCGATGCTGTTGGGGCAGGCAATGGGGCTGCTGCCGTCGAAGACGAGGTGGTTGTTCTTGTCGATGGACCAGCCGGTCAGCTCGCCGTTGCGGGGAGCGCTGGAGGAGTCGCCGGTGGTGTAGCCGATCTTGCCCTGGCCTGTTGGACTGTTAGCTTTGATGTTGATGTGGGAAGGGATGTAGATCGTACCCATGCCGGAGCGGTCGACGTAGAACTGCTGGGTCTCGTCGGTGCCGTAGAGGTAGAGACCGCCGTCCTTGATGTAGAAGGTGGCGAAGCCGTCGTCGGTGCCCTCGCAGGTGGCGTTCTGCTTGGGGAGACCGGCGAAGAGACTGCCCTTGGCCGCGTTGAAGCCAGAGTACTGGACGGCGTCACCGGAGCGGATGGCGACGAGGCCAAAGGTCTCGGGGGTGCTGGGGGCAGCAGAGGCGGCAGCGGCCAGAGAGGCAACAGCGGCGACGGAGGTGAACTTCATTGTGATGGTTGGAGATGTTGAAGATGGAATTGAAAAGGTTGTTTGTTTGCTTGGTAGTAGTCTGAGTGATGATGGGATGAAGACGGCGGGATAGGACCTGGTATTTATATGCGGAATCTCCCACCCCCAGATACATCAAGATGGCCTTCAGGGCGTGATTTGCCTCCATTCGCTCATTCCAAGGATTGATCTGCGCCTGATCGTTAAAACCTCGGCTGTTGACCTCATTTTCTCCACAGAATGTCTCGGATGAGGCGGAGGGCCCCCACAGCGTCATTAAATCAGGATGATTTAGATCGGAGGACTAACTGTGGTCGGAAAGTGATTAACCGGGTTGAGAAAGAGAGCCCCAGATAGAGTAAAGTCTTCTAAAAATACAAGTCCCTGGCCCACACCTTCCAGAGGGTTCCCCTGAGTGATGCAACTGCGCTCAAGCGATGTCTTACCTGCTGAGACACCCAGCGACTTGGCCACCGTCCAAGGCTAGGCGCAGGCAGCAGCAGCATGTCTCCCATGATGATTCCATTGCCGGTGCGACTGCGAGTCCTGTGCTGCGTTGTCGACGACGAGGATCAAGTCTATCACTGACATATGATGGAGCTTCAGGTCGTTTGGTAGACCCTGAGAGATGCGCCGGCCTATCCCGACTATTTACACTGCAAAGGGTGCTTGGCGTTTAAGTTATTAACGGCATGGCGCTGTCATTTCAACGGCTCAAGCCACAGGGTTATTGGCGTGTTTTGCATCTATATTGACTTCTAGTCTAGCCCGGTGCTGAAGAAACGCTCGATGACCGCAACCAAAGCCTCCAACAACTACGGAAGTGATGACAAGAAGGGAAAGAGGGTAGCACCTCTGAAGTTTCTCCTTAATCACTCTCTATGACGCACATTCATCCCATACTAGCGACTATGTCAATTAGCTAATGGAAACTCGCGTTGGTACTACGGGCGTTGGTACTATGGTATCCTGCATCGACCACTGCAGACGGTCAACAAAGGGCTATCGAAAGGCAGAGGGGTTGGCAGGAACGACAAGGGATGCCTGGGTCTGGCCTATACTGCTGTCGTCTTGGTTGTTGCGACCGAAATGCTGTCGAATCGGCCAAATGACCCTGGTGCTCGCCGCTGTAAATGCGTCCTGTCTAGAGGTGTCGTAATGGAACTGCTGCATGACAAGGCTACGGCGAGTGGTATGATGAGCAGTTGACGGACGATCGCAGGTCATGGAATTGGGTCAAGACAATGTAGTAGATCACTGCTCTTGTCCCCCTTTACGAGACCCGTAGGCTCCACCAATTTCACCGCGTGATCACTGATCTCATGTACGCAGCTATGAACAGGATTCTTCGGTGTGTTGAAGAAGTGCCCAGTGATTCTTTCCTCTCTGGAAGGGGGTTCAAAACGACCAAGACCATTTGGCGGAGTTCGGTCGTCTCTCGGATATCTACATACGATACACCAAGACAGTTCAACCCTGCATCAGCCCGTAAGGCGTGAGGATCGCCAATCATGCCGTATTCTGCATTCCTGTTACTGTTAGAAAACCGGAGGAAGTCTCTCGTTCCTAGGGTCTAGGCTTTCCGAAGCTGGGGGGTTAATCGGATGTGAATATTCCCAGCCAGGATTGTCCCGAGGCAACGTATAGGTATTCTTTCCCCGAGGCATCGGGAATACCCTCGTATTATGATGCCAATAATCGAAGATACCAAGAGTGCGATGGGATTTGGTTCTTCTACGGGTCACTACGAACTCACCATACGCCCTAGTATATATGTTTCGCTCTTTGTCGAAATTGCTGCTGGAAAGACAAGAACAAGTAGAATTGCCAACAGAGACAATCCCCGGGTTCTCCCGTAACTCTACGCAGAAAATATATATTGGGCGGCCTGCCTGAAGTAGGGTGCATGCTAGGGTCAAGTTCGACATGTGCAGCCCATGCAGCCTGTTTACACAACAAAGGGCGCTTGGGTCTTGGCCATATGATGGACGGTGTGCCCGTTTCTTCTGAAGCTCTTGCGCAGTAAGTAGAATGTGTCTCCTATCCTCAGTAATCCAGATGTTGTATACTCCTCGCTTAATCCGCTGAGTTCTTCCCTGCGCTTCGTCTTCCCACAACCAACAACCAACAACCGACCGTGACGCCCGTCGTCCGCCGTCGCCGTCGTCGTCGCAAGTGCAAGGCCTGTGACTCATGCTACCGCAAGAAGGCAGGCTTTCCTTCTGGTCAAGCTGCTCCGGAAACCTAACCTGTTTCTAGATCGCATGTGACTTGGCCACCCCCAAGTGCAACTGGTGTTACCACCATGATCTGGAGTGCACCTTTACTCGGAATCAGGAGCTGAACCGCATCGGGTACGTCTCTTGTGATGGGAAACGGCTTTCTATTGACTCTGGGTCGCGTGTAAGCAAGCCAAGTATAGCAACCAAATGGCCCTCCGCGTCAAAACCCAGCTCGAAGGCTGCGACAACCAAGCCATTCCAAGCAGGAGATGGCGAAGATGGCGATCAGCAGCCGTCCTCATCCGAGAGTACGGGATCTCACCTCCTTCTTGGCAATATCTACGCGTTTAATGGCATGCCCTTCTTCTCGCCCGGCGGCCGAGACTGGATTCGATCGCGCACCGGGCAGGACGTCAACCTGGTCCACTATACGCCTCCAAGACGTACCCGGATGTTGAATCCCAGTTCTTTCCGGGCTGTGATCTCTTTGCCCGCCAAAGAGGTGCTTTACCAGCACCTAGATCTGTACCTCTCGTCCCACTTTGCTCAAATGTTTCCGTTCATCCAGCGGTCGCTCTTCGAACAGAGTGTGGACAGAACTCCGCGCAGGGCACAGTGGCCACGGCCCGAGCCTGTGTCTTTGCCTTCATGTCAATGGCGTCTCTTGTGTCAGATGAGCTGAATGACCAACGGCTCTCGAACGTGGATGACTATGCTGCCCAGGCGTACCAGCTGCTGCCGGGATTCTTTGGTGATTCGACCACCCTGAAGGGTTGCAGGCGGTCTTCATGCTAGTATGTATTCTTCTACTCAATAAGATGACAGAAGAGCTGACCTTGCCTGGCAGGTTTCCTACAGCGAGGCGGTTGCAGGAGATCTTCTCGGAATGGAGCTACTGCTATCGTTGGCAACTCGCTTTGTCTTTCATCTGCGAGGGAATACCCATCCTTCGAAAGTTGATACAGGGCCCACACAACTCAACAATGCGCACCGGACTGCCACCGGCTCTCAACGACGCCAATTGTGACCTTACCTTGCCGGCAGCTCAACAATTCTCACCAGTGTTTATAGCTTTTATCCGGTTGGCCATCATTCAGTCCCAGATATATCGTCGAATCTACTCCGCCTCGGCGTTGACCCAGACCGATGCCGAGCTTCTCTGTACCATTCGTGAGCTCGATGGACTGTTGGAGGAATGGAAACAGTCAATCCCTACCGACTCCAGACCTACATTCACGAGCCGACCGACTGACGCAGAGAGCATGCTTTCGTCGGCGTTTCAGCTGGAATACCACTACTCCATGGCTACGATTCACCAAGCTAGTGGCCGGTGCCAATCTTGGACGGACAAGCAGAACACGCGGGCACAGGGGTCCAGCCTGGCCATCAGTGTCGCGGCAAGTCGGTCGCTGCTGGGCAAATTCTCAGAGCTTGAGCTGCAGTTCCATCAGTATAACCTGTTGTGAGTCGACGAACATCGACAAAGGACCTGGAAGCCAGACTGACAGGCCCTATGTTCTACCTTCCCTACCTCACAGGAGCCATGATTCATCTCTTCTGCAACATTCTTCTGTACCCGGAGGAAGAGAGGAGTCAGAGTGACTTGGAACTCATCATCGAAGTGCCGGTCCGCATGGTGTCGCAGCTGTGGCCAGACGCTCCTGCGGCATTTCGGACCCAAGTGGAGTACGTGAAAGGTCTGGGAAGCGAGATAGAACGTCTTGCGCACATTGCCATCTCGAAATCAATGCAATAACTGCTCTTGGGCTTTTCCCAGTCTCTCTCCGCCGATCCCCCTGCCAAGCGGAATGCGCGGCCGTAAGGCTTGTTGGGTATATGGTTCCATCTCTGTCGGAATCAGTAGAATATGGGCCTTTGGAAAATACTTCGCCTCAGTTTTCAGCTTAAATCCAACCGGCTGCCTAGCATGGCTCTTGTTTTTCATCCGACAATCCCTCCTGTCTTTCGAAACTACCTTACGATGGCATTCACCACGATCAAACCAGGCTTCTTCGTGGCAATCGGCATCTGTTTTCTGATGCTCCAGGTCCTGTTTCTGGAAATCTCTCCTATCTCTACGGGACTCAGTTCAAGGAATCAGAGCACACTCATAACCTCAAGCTGCTGTATGTGGACTACGACGGCGGCGTGGTTGGCCAATCCGTGCTCAAGGCAACACCTTCCCAACCATCCAGCAACAACTGTCCGACAATTTCGCTGCCCCGAGCGCTGTCCGCAGTGCTGTCTGCTCTGGAGTCCACTGGGGCGCCGTCTATGCGCTTCCCGATGCCTCGGACAATCTCGCGGAAGCCCTGGTCAATGGCAGCAGCACCTCCGCCCCGACGACCCTGGCCTACATCTGGAATGGAGCTCGTTACGCAGCTTACGCTCAGAGTGCCGTTTACGCCAACATAATGATCCTGATCCAGGCCACGATCGGCCTACTACGCCAACAATGCTTCCAGCGCGTTGGTCTCGAATGTCTCCGCCCTCAACGTCTTCCTCGATCCCATCCAAGCCCAGGAAATCAACATCAAGGCAGCCAACCAAGGGACGAGGATGCTCTACAACACCGTCTCAATGATCATGACCATTATCATGCAGTTTTTCTTCATGATGGCGCTCAACGGCATCTCCGCTCAGTTTAACCTCTTCACAAGTCTGAGCTGGGTGACGAACGGCTTTATTCGGATGTGCGCCTCGGTGGTGTACACCTTTATCAGCGCGCTTTGCATGATTGGGTATATTTGGGCCTTTAGGGAGGACTGGGATGTGAATGGTGCCCAGTTTGTGCTTAGTTGGATAACAATCTGGCTGTACATGCACATTGACTTCTTGCTCTTCGACATCATGACGACATTTATCCCGATGCAGTTTATGCCCTTTTGCATGCTCGCCTGGATGATCGCCAATGTATCCAGCACCATCGCGCCCTTTGAGTTAAGCGCAGGGTTCTATCGTTGGGCATATGCTTTGCCCGCCCATGAAGCCTACGCCATCCTCGGCCAGATCTGGAGCGACGGTTGCACGGAATCAGCTATCCCACCATGCCTGGAACGTTCAACGATCGGTAGTTCGGCCGGTCTTCTTGCATTGGGTTGGGGGTACGCTCGCTGGCCCGACGCAAATAGATTATAGACTGGTATCGGCGTTTTTCCTTTTTGCTGTCAACTCGATATATAAATTTCTCTTTTCAGGCATTCCCGCACAAAGCATCCCTCACGGATATATATCCCAACATCAGGCAATGCCTTACAAAAGCATTGAGATCTCGCTCGAACCAACGCACTAAGACAACCATTTTGAGCTACAAAAGATAATACCAACAACTAGACAGAAGCAACTGTATCAATTTCTACAGGCACTAGACCATACACTGCTATTTCTTTACATCACCTTCATGCTACAGGACGAATGACAACCTTCTCCCCCGAAACCCCAGCCCGATTCTTATCCAGCGCCTCATCCAGCTTCTCCAGCCCACCCTCCACAACAACAGGCCGGTTCGGCACAAACTTGCCAGTCGCAAGCCACCCATCCTCACTACCAAGGCTCTTCATAAGCGGAACACTCAAGTACCGCAGATTAGGGCTGCTGCCAAGACCGAGCACCTGGCGCACGTCGACCTTGGGCGTCTTAGACGCACCGAGGTCCTTCGCTTCGGCGTTGACGCCCTGCACGACGACGACTTGGCTTGAGACGCCCGCGGCGGCGAGGACTTCGACGCCGAGCGCTTGCGTATCGGGGGTTGAGATGGCATCGAAGATGAAGTCTAGTGGTAGGCCGTTTAGAGCGGAGATGAAGTCCTTGGGGCCGGCCTGCTTGCGGTCCAGTACGACGTGGGCGCCGAGCTTCTTAAGGTGCTCGGCGTGGGTGAGGCTTGAGTTTGTGATGATGCGCTCGTAGCCAGAGAGGCGCGCGAGTTGGATCACGTATTGGCCGACCGAGGAGCTGCCGCCCAGGACCACCAGGGCTTTTCCATTGCCGGCGCGATCGCCGCCCTCATCCCAGGGGGCAGGGGTAAGGCCACGGCCGGTCTTGTCGTAGAGGCCAGTGATGCCGGCAACCGTGGCAAGACTGATACCGGCCGCCTGGTCGTCGGTGATGGACTTGGGAGTCTTTGCGACGAGCTCGGCGGGCATCTTGCAGTATTGCTGGAAGGTGCTGGCGTCGTAGTTGCCGATGATGCCCTGGAAGAAGACCCGGTCGCCGACGGCCAAATTCTGCACCTTGCTGCCTACCGAGACGATCTCGCCGGCGGCGTCACTGCCGAGCACTGCAGGGTAGGAAGACACGAAGAAGCGGTAGTCGCGGATCTTCCAGTCGACGGGGTTGATGGCGGTGGCCGTGATCTTGATGGCGACCTCATCGGTGCCCAGGGGAGTCAAGGAGCGGTCGGCAACGGTGTGCCGGGGGTTCTTCTCCTCGAACAGAGCGGCTTTGAAGCTGGATGGAACGGACATGGCGAGGGATGGACTGTTGGGGATGACAGATGCTGGGGATGGACTTTTGGGATGTTGACAGATTCTGGCCTGGAAGTCTTCGGAAGCGCGTGGAGCAGAGCGGGGCAAGGACACTTAAAATGATGTCATTATCTAATTCATGCATTAACAACGATGCAGCAGGTCCTCCTTGATCAGATCCGCCGCCTTCTCGGCCAGCGCAAAGACGATGGCCTGGATGTTGCCCCTGGGGATCAAGGGCATGATGCCCGCGTCCACCACCCGCAGCTTCCTCGTGCCATACACCCTCAGTCGGCTGTCCACCACGCCGCCGCTCTCTCGAGGCGCCATGGCTGTCGTTCCTGTGACGTGGTAATGTGCCACAATGCGATCTCGGGTCAGTTGTCGCGTAGTGTCCAGGTCATCTACGCGTTTATCGCTGTGCAGACGGCGGCCATCCTTCTTGATCAGAGAGGCCATGGGTTCCGTCGCTGCCAGGGTCTCAAGCCATTGAGTGTGTCGGGCATGAAGTTCCAGGTCAAGCGGATGGGAGAAGAACTTGGGATCGAACAGAGGAGGCGCATAGGGGTCGTTGGAGGTCAAATGAACATGGCCGCGAGAGAAGGGCCGGTTCAGGACAGAAACGATACTGACGAAAGATCCCGGCTCGGTCATTCCAAAGATCCCCTTGGGACTCGGGCCCTTCTCAGGGGTGATCTGGAACGGGGCGAGAGTGTACTGTGCGCTGGGCTCGCTGTCGTCCTCTAGAATCTGGCGCAGGATGCGATACTGCGATTCCCGACCGGGGCGGCTGGGGTACTGATAGTCCTCGAGGTATTTCTTCAGAAGCCCGTCTAGCTCTCCGTCCTGCAGCGAGGGAAGCGTCATGTAGGCGGACGAAAGAGGACACAGACCGAGCGGACCGGCACCGGAGTGCTGCTGCCAGGCGTCCATGGCCATCTTGGCCACTGCTGGATCACGCAGGGCCTCTGCCGTCTGTTGCCCGTCTGCGACCTCCCAGCTGAACGGCACAAACCCGTGCTCCTGCAGGTTCTCGCCGACGTTCGGGTTGTCAACCAGGACTTCAATGTTGTGTTTGGAGAGAAGCTCTACGCCGCCGATACCGGACAGTTCGAGCAGTTGAGGGCTCTTGACAGCTCCAGCCGAGAGCACAACTTCGGTCGCAGCCGACACTGTTCGTCGGACTCCGTCTTTAGGAGTGAATTGGACACCGGTCGCAATGACAGACCCGTCAGCCTCCTTCAGCAAAATCTTTTCTACCAAGGCCTCAGTCACAACCCGCAGATTGGGCCGCTTGGCGATCTCTTCGTTGTAGTAGGCGACACCGGCATGGCTCCGGCTCTTGTCCTTTGGGTTGATGGTTGCCGGGTTGCAAAAAGCCCCCTTCGCGACACCAGAGATGGGGTCGCCAGTAAGCTGATGGTTGAGGTTCTCAAAGACCTTGGGCCATGCGGCGCTGAAGGCGGGATAGGGGCCCTCGCCAAAGGAGATCTGGACAGGCCCGTTGCCGCCTTGGAGGGTCTCATCAATGTAGCCGAGTGATAGCTCGTCGCGGATCGCAGGAATTGGCGGCGTATACGTTTCGGACTTGCGCAGGTAATCGGAGAGAGAGGCCCAGTTCCAGCCGGGGTTGCCCAGTTCCTCCCACGAGTCGATGTCCTTCTTGCTGGGATAGATGACCATCCCGAGGTTGATGGCCGATGAGCCTCCCAGAGTCCGACCGCGAGGCTCCGCGATCTGGCGGCCATTCAGGCCATTCTGTGAAGAAGAGCAGTGTTAATATAAAACTGGCCATCGATGCATTTCGGATTGGGTCGCACCTGGGGCGGACTGGTGATGCACCAGTCAAACTCCGGATCGAAATAGGTGCTGGCTGCGAGACCGGGGATGGCAATGCGAGGATCGTTGACGCGATTGCTTCCTGCCTCGAGGACCAGCACTGTCACCTTCGGGTCCTCTGTCAGGCGGTTGGCGATGACAAGACCCGCTGTGCCTCCCCCGACGACAATGAAGTCGAAGGATTGCGAATCCAAGCCATCGACGGATGAAGTTTCTGCTGCCGAAGCCATGACGAGCTGCACGGGAAAGGGTTGAGGAACCAAAGACGATATTGATGAGAGGACCCAGCGGAGACGAAGCAGGGAAATCAATCGAGGAGCCACGTGGATGTTCTCGGTGCGCTTGACGAGATGCGAAGTTCTCATCGGCTTCGGGGTGTGCTCGGTGTCTCTCCGTCGGTCTAGTGTGTCTAGTGTCTAGTGTCTAGTGTCTAGTGTCCAGTGTCTAGTCGGTGGTGAGTAGTGGCAGGCAGTGGGGGGTGGGGGTCTCTACCGTTCGGGCCTTGGGGGCCGGACCGACAACCAGCCTGTCGATGAACATCTCTTCGGCCTGTAACTGAGTATCGATTGCTTGGGCATGCAGAAACAAGAGTGCCAGTCGAGTCTTGTAGTAAGTACGTGGTTATCGTGAGCCAAGCTGTCAAGCTTCGACAAGCTGCGTCAAGCCCTAACAGGCGAGACGGGACGGGGAGATTGAGCAGCTGGATAGCGCCATGCAGGACCCAGAACCAGGCCGTGGGTCAGGCTGTGCAGCCACTCAGCGTCGATGGGGATCGAGTAGTTCACCAGTGGCGCTGGCACATGGCTGCAGACCCCACGGGCTATCGTATTCGTCCACTTTGATCCTGCAAGGCGATGTTAACAGTCTGCCTTTCCTTTCTATGTTTTTGATTTCTTGCCGCTGCCATCGATGCTCTGACAGCTCCTTCGTCAAGGGACCTACGATGAAGACCTACGCCCTCGATGTGCCACTGGCACGGGACCCGGTGATCACAGTCACCGTGTTTGGGGTCGTCGCTACGTTGACAACAATCATGCGGTTCATCTCCCTGCGGATGCGACAAGTCAAGCCTGGGGCTCCAGAGTTCATGATCGTGGGCGCCTTGGTACGATAACAGAGAAATGGAGGGAGCTTCATGGCTAAACCAATGCAGACGATAGTTTACATCTTTATCGCCATTCAATACATCCGTCAGTGCCACCCGCGTATTGCTTGAAGTCGTCTAACAAGCGCAGTGTCCATCGCCGGCGGCTGTGGCAGACATGCTGGGACAGTTGACCCGTTGTCGGTTATTGTCACGCTCAAGGTATGCTGTTGAGGACGAACTGGTTGAGACTTTACTGATTTCCTAGACAATCCTCCCCCTCGAGGCCTTGTACGGAATCGTCATGTCGCTCGTTAAAAGCTCGATCATGCTCTTTTACTACAACATCTTCGGCACCAAGCAGTCCTTCAAGATCAGCGTCATGATCGTCATGACCATTGTCTGGCTGTGGGCCATCAGCGTTGTCCTTGAAACTCTTCTGCTCTGCCGGCCACTCGCGTTCAACTGGGACACCAAACTTGATGGGAAATGCGGCGCACGGAATGCAACCTATGTCGTGGCTGGAACGCTGAACCTGGTTACGGATCTGATGGTCATGGTCTTGCCGCTTCCTCATCTCTGGAAGCTGAAGCTCAATATGGCTAAGAAGCTGGCGCTGACTTCGGTTTTCTGCATGGGTCTCCTGTACGTCACAGTGTGCTACTCCCTTCTTGAGCTAACAGGAAGCAGGGTGTCCATCATCAGCATCGTCCGGCTGTCTGCGTTAATGGCTATTGACTTCGACGACGTCACCTACTCCCTGCCGATGGGCGTGCTCTGGACAGTGCTTGAGCCCGAGCTCGCCATCATCTGTGCGAATATGCCGGTCTTGAAACCAATTCTCTCGCGCATGTTGCCCAGATTCTTCAGCTCCACGCGCCAGAAGAGCTATGGGGTCTCTGATCCGCAAGCATTTGAGCGACTTGACGAACGAGGATACTCTCTTGGCCAGGTCAGCCGTGATCAGCTGGTACCGACTTCCACCGGAGGTGCCCGATTCAAGGGGAGCTATGCCACAACAACGTTGCAAAGTATAGACGAGGAGTCTCGAGACTCGGACCAGCAGCGTCTGAGAGAACATGCACAAGAGCCTTCGGGGATTAATGTTGTGCAGAACTTTGACGTGCAGTATTATACCCACAAGTAGATGGATTACTTATTATTTGAATTCTATCTCATGGATCAATCGTGGGCATCGATCACCTTGCGTTCTTCGGGGTCCGTGAAGAATCGACCTCGAGGCCAGAGACTCGACCCATTTTATAATGCGAAAGTCCGTCAACTCCAAATTGTGGACCGTGTCAATTATATATTTGTCCAGCCTGGACCCGCAGTCCAGTCACGATGATGATGTACCAGAGCCGCTGGGGGAGACATGATTAGGCTCGAGCTCTCATGGTAAAACATATAAATGCATTATAGTGTTTATACAGCGTCTTAATCTTACCTCTAAGTACTAGGCGCAGCTCATACAAAGAGAAGACGGATGTACAGATAATTTGGGACCGAACAGGTATGAAGAAACAAGTTCTCCACCGCGACCGGTCGCATTATATTGAGAATAGTAAATAGTATACACGAAAAGAAGGAACCCGTCAAGGCACTACACCCGAGCTACCACCGCAAGAACGCTTAAGTGCTGCAGGAAGCAACGCTGGGGACGTTCTCGCAGTCAGAGTAGTCCTCACCACCGCTGACCTCAACGCCGGACCAGGTCCAGTCGGAGCAGCCATCATCACCGCAGACGACGACGATGTTGTAGCCGTCCGAGTCGACGGCGCCGGAGCCGGAGATGTCCTCGATGGTCAGGTCGGTGATGGGGATGCCGGAGGTGGGGTCGCCGTGCAGATCACCGCCGTCGTAGTTCTGCTCGATCAGGATGCCGTACCTGGAAGTTGTCAGATGTGTCCACGGGTGTATTTGGTTGGAAGAGGATGGCTTACTTGGAGATGGAGTCAAGGGTGATGCCCGAGTAGGTGACGCCCTTGATCTCACCGGTCTCGTCGGACTTGGCCTTGATGCGGATACCGTTGACCGAGTTGGAGACGGTTGAGTCCTTGAAGGTGACCGTGTCGACGGTGTTGTCGTCGCGGCCACCAACGCTGCCGATGGACAGACCGTGGCCACCAGAGCAAGTACCGCCGCTGAAGGTGATCTCGGTACCGGAGTTGACGGCAACGCAGTCGTCCTGGTTGTAGACCTTGGCGCCGGTGATGACAACGTTGTTGCTCTCGCCAATGTCGAAGCCATCGGTGTTGTGGCCACCGGCGTCGTCACCGGCCGAGTTGTCGATGGTCATGTCGGTGATGGTGAGGCCATCGCAGCTGTTGATGGAGACGGCCTGGACGGGGGTGTTCTCGATGTAGAGGTTCTCGATGGTCGAGTCCTTGAGCGAGTGGGCGTAGAAGAACTTGGGCTTGGTGACGCCGCCGTTGGAGCCCTCGCCGTCCCACCAGCGAGAACCATCCGGGTTCAGCTTGGCTCCATCGGCACCCTTGATGGTGATGCCAGTGCCCTTGATCTGGAGCAGAGGTCCGTCCCACTCCTCGTATTCCCATGAGGTGGTGCCTTCGAAGACGACCTGAAGGCAGGTGGTGGTTAGCCTTGACTGGTAAGTGATTGGAGGCCTCTTACAGTGGTGTCGTCCTCAAGGTCGCTCAGGTCAAGGGTGGTGCCCGAGGGGACGGTGATGTCGGACAGGGTGATGGTGGCACAGTCGGCCTGGGACTTGCTGGCAGAGGCCGCACCGTCTGAGCCCGAGAAGGTGCAGGAGTCACGCTTGGCCAGAGTCGGGGAGGCCGTGATCATGGGGTGAGGCGTGGCCAGCACCTCGGTCGCAAAGGCGACAAGGGCAAGGGATCCCAGAGCGTAGTACATTTCGACCAGCGAAAGACGGTTAAAGAATGACAGAGAATGTGAATGAAAAGAGAGAGAGAGAGAGAGAGTGATGGTGGATGGGAAGCTATCTCGACGGCTGGACAACAGCCCTTATATAGGCGAGGAGGGCTGCTCCTGAGGAGACGCCGTATCCTGCGTGGTTCCCTCATCTATTTTCCTCCAATGGAGACCGTTCTGCAGCGCATGTAACATTGCTACCTAGAAGCCGGTGGAGTTCGAGTCAGCCCTGTCAATGCCCAGAAAGCTTCGCCTTTCTTGTTCCTGGCCGGTTGAGTGCAGCTGGGCCCGAGCGTGTCTCCGGTGGAGTTTGCTCCTGTTTCATCCAGACAGCTCTTGGTTTCGCATCTCGTATCTCCGAGCAGAGCTGACGAATCTGCGGTGGAGTTCGTATCTCTTGGCTGGAATCGGTGTTTCATCCAGACAGCTCGTCTCCATGCCCCCTTCCGGCTCAGCCGGCACCTCATACGCAATTAGACGGTCGCAAACTTCGTTTTATCAGTGAAGCGGACTCGCAGCGCTCTGTCTCATGGCGTGGACATCGAACTCTGCGTATAAGGTTCCGGATGCGATGGTTGATGGCATAGCTTGCAGCGGGATCAAGTGGATTAGCCTGCTTCCCTCCTTCTGGTGTTTGATGAGAGTCAGGAGACATGATTCATTCAACCCGGTTGATCCTTGCCCTTCTCGTTCAGGGCGACGTGCCGTGATGCCGGCGAGATTGCTGCTGTTCCTTCTGATCCAGCCCTGGTCCCATTGGGCAAAGTCCCGGGGGACCTTGTCAATGCCCGCGTTCCACTCGTTCTCGCAAAAGGAGTCTCGATCTGAGCTGGCCCAGGAGGCTTGTCTCAAGCTTTCTCCCCGAGCATCAAGTGTTTCGGTTTTCTGCTACGCAGCATCATGGAAACAGAGCTACCACTTCGTCATTGTTCGAACACCGGTTCTGACCATAGCCGATTCAAAGCTGAAGCCATTACGGCTTAATCCTGCTGGAGAAACATGGCCGAGCTCGACCTTATCGCGCCCAACAACCATGACGCTGAATGAACTATCCTACTTGAGTACATGAGTCTTGCTGGTAATGTGACGTACGCCAATAATGAAGTTAATCTGGGTTATGCCCGGGAAATCTTGAAAAATGAATATACAGTGTCCCTTACGTCAGGGCAATCTTCGGGGTAAGGGAGAGGATAAAGATCAGGGTGGCAGTACCCCATCCGTTTAAACGCTCTATTCTTTTCCCAGGCTAGTCCTTCAGCGAGTTCAACATGTTCTCGAATCTCCTCCCGATAAACTCTTGATTCAGCAAATCTAGGTTCAGAAGGGACACCCAAAAGAACGACAGCAGCTTCCTGGAACCCGATCCTTTGTGCGTGGACAATATCCTCGGGGTCAGGACGGACATCTTTCGAGACCAGCAACGCTATCATGTCCAAGTGCCGCGCATGGACTGCGTACCAGATCGCGCTTTTCGTGCTACCGTATGCTTGATGTGTTGTGCAGTACACGCGCAAATGCGGGTTCGCGCCCATCTCGATCAGAAATGCAGCTGTTTCGACGTGGCCGTTCATAACTGCATTGAATAAGTCGTAGTGGCCGTAAACCGATATGTCAAGTCCATGCTTGACAAGCAGCTCGATCGCCGTTTTGTCGTTGTTGGCAGCCGCTTTGCGCAGAGCCCAGTCTGTCTCGAGGCGTTCACCATTGGCAAGTAGAAGGCCCCAGAGCTCCAGCTGGAGGCCGTGGCCTTGACCTGCGTCTAACGCTGCTTCGAACGCGTGTGGTCGATCTTTGGGATCTGAGCGCGCCCCGTGCCTGAGCAACCGCTCCACCATGGCGACGGAATTGGACTGCACGGCGGCGACGAGGGCAGAAGATGCCCGCATGGGGATCGGAAGAGCTCGCCGACCTAGCGGAGCATGAGGGTGCAACATGAGATCCACAAACTCAGTACGGCACTCGCGGATGGCACAGTGGAAAGCAGCATGCATCAACGTCGGCGGGGGCGGTTGTAAAAGCAAGGCTCTGAGTGTCTCCAGGTGGTTTCCACGGACTGCCAATAAAAGCGGGTTCTTGACCTTCTCAAGGGTAGGATCGTCCATTTTCCATGGCTTCTCGGGCTCGAACAATGCAATATACGCACCCAGACCCTGCAGCTCTTTCACAAAGTCAGTGCGACCGTACTTTGCGGCCCCCACAAGGGCTGAGCCGCCGTGGTGGCGGACATTATGGCGAACCAGGTAGGGCTGGAGGAGGTGGTACAGCTTTCGATTGGACTTGACCAGCGAGAAGATATCGTTCTGGTGAGACAGGTATCCGACAATGGTAAGCAGAATCTCGTTGGGCAATGCAGCGAGGGAAGTCATTGTCGAGGTTCCATGGGGGTTGGGGAAGAGATCACCAACAACAAAGAAATAGAAACGCAACACTGCGCCACCCTTGGCATCTTACGTGATTACCTTTAGCTTCTGGGCAAGGATCTAGTACGCTTGGGCCTTCACATCAGTTGCAAAAGGTCTGTGAATACCATGCATTTCCCGAGACTACTATCTGCCCACCAAGTTGTGCAATCATCCCCGTCCAACGTCACTGTAACCAGTACAAAAAGAAGCCAATGTCCCATACGCTGCATTAAAAGCAGAAGTCAACCCGTCATGCATCAAACAATCCAGACGAATCTCCCTCTTCATCCTTTACCAAGGCAACGAAGGAATCCAAAGGAACATTTCGGAATGCTTCACTCCACACCTGGAGCAGAGGAGTTCATGAGCCGGGCTATCCTGCTTGGGCCCATTCTGGAGCACCTCCAACATAAACGCGGCCGAATGGATGCCCAGTGAAAGAGCGTTCTGGATCAAGTCGTCGAGACCAGAGTGTTTTCCACAGCCAGTGCATACTTGGCGGTCTTGCACCATGAGCGTAGCTTGACGCGAGATGTCGGAGCCTGATATTGTGGGTTAGGGCAACGCATCTTAGAGATGAGGGTAGTGAATTACCATCGCAGTCAAGCAGCGAGCCAATGTGTGCTCGTTCCTCGGGAGTGATGATCCAGCGGTAGCCGCCAGGAACGGCTTCGGAGAGGGGCGAGATAGCCTCTGGAGGGATCGTGGCCATGGTTTAAGTTGGTAAAGGAAGACGAGGATTGACAAGTGTAGGAAAGGTCAAATGTGGTTGAATCGGACGGTAGTTGGGAAGAGTTTCAGACTCAGCGGATCAATCCTTAGTATTTATGCTTCATGCCTGAGGGTATGGAATGCTGCTTTGGCGGCGTCTGCCGAGAGGGAAAGACGTAGAGAAGGTCCGGGCCCCGGTGTCAGCTGAGTGATGCTTTGCAGTACAAAGGAGATGATCTTGAACTGGACTGGAATGACTTGCGTGAACCATTTGCATCAGGTCGAACCTCATATACGGCGTTCACTTGCGTATTTCATGGTGTGTGATGATGGCCAGCCATTGGGTCATCTGGCCCGATGAAACCAACCATGTCTACAAGGCATTGAAAACATGACCGTTCAGTCGGCGCATTGTTAGGCCTAACTGATTGTCCAAGATCGGCTGCTTGTATCTAGATATGATGGGCCTTGAGGCAATGGGGCCCAGGGTAGCAGCACAATGTGCAGTCTGGCAGAAAGCACCAGGGATCACCTGGAAGCGCTTTCATTTCAACCAATTGATGATCTTCCGCGAAATCCATCCGGAGCAGGAATTGAGGGCCTGTGCATCCTAGGGCAAAGCCGGGTTAGATGGAGTCAGCCCTTAGTGCTGATGTGAGATCAATGAGCTGAAGATGGATTTAAAACTCGCCATCCCACTGCATTATTTCTTTTTCTTCTCTTCCCATCCTGCTGATCTTCATTATGCCGAACCCGATCAATATTGCTCCTCGATTCGAGATCCGCAAGCTGGAGCCCCAGCACCTGGAATGGGCCAAAGCGATCATCAGCCACAGCAATGTCTTCCACTCCCCTGTGTGGGCCAAGCTGTATCCAGAAAACCAGGCTGAACGATTCCGGGCGACGTTCAATGGCGCCACGTATCTAGTCCAGCATCAAATCGACTCCGGCCTATCCTACGGGGTGTTCGACACCGAGTACCAGTTCAAGCGGCCCGAGTCAGCAGCAAAGGGAGGGGCCATGTACTGGGAAGATGAGTGGAACCCCAGCTTTACTGGCGATGACATCCTGGCACGCATGGACTTTCCACTGGCTTCGATTGCGCTGGCATTTGACGCCGCTGATCCGATCGACATGCAGCGAGTGGCACCGCTGTTCAAGGCCCTGCCTCACTTTCCTGTCTTTGCCCCTTTCCTCGATGCAAGGGATACGAGAGATCCCGCCCATTGGGAAGCCAAGGGACCCGGCGAAGTGCTAAAGCGGATGGGCACGGCCACAAGGGCGGATTACATGGATTCTGGCATAACCAAGTCCATGGCGCATTGGCTGATGTGGGATGCTGCCGAGAAAGGATTCAGAGGGATCAACATCGAGTGTTATCATGATGCTGTAAACCATATATGGACGCGTCCCCCGCCGCCATTCAAGGCGGACTTGGTTGCAAAGGTCAGAGTGAATGAGTATGAGAAAGAGGAGAATGGCAGGACAGTTCGGCCCTTCCCACATGTGGCGCAGGCTTTGACCAAGGTTTATGTTCATCTCAGGTAGTCAAATGCTAGGACATTATGCTGGCTTTAAAAAGTCCCGTTTGTGCAATACAACCGATTGCCCGATCTTCTCGCACAACACCACCAAAGCCCTGCGGTCTTCCTGCGACGACAGCAAAGCCTTCTCAACCCTGCGTCTTCGCTGTCCGTTCTCTTCCCATCCACTTATCATTTTACGGTGGTACGCGGTCGGCAGGGTTCCGTCACAGAAGGTCATGTAGCACTCTCTATGGAATCCAATCTTAACCTCTGTTTCTCGATCAAACGGCGTGGTCCCGTCTGTCCACCAGTCCGGCGAGGAACCAAAGCGGAAATGGCGCAGATGAGGGAGGCCGTGCTGGAAGGCTAGAAAGTAATCGGCCCAGCGTCTGCTGTACGAGGCGTAGACTTGATTGTCCGGAAGGTCGGGGTGCGGGCGAAACTCCTGTAGGGAGAGGACGGTCTCCTTGAGGGGGGTGTCCCCAACGACCTTGTAGTATAGCGCTGCCTTATGAAAAATCATGCACTCGTCCATGTATAGCTCGCTGAGGGTTTGGCCGTGCGATATGATCCACTCGAGCTGGGAGTCATACATGAAGGTATAGTTGCCTAATGCAAGGGTTTTCAGTTGGGAGAAATGGAGGCCGCGCAGGTCTACCCTGGGCGAAAAGCCGACGGGGTGGCGAGAGTACACCGTCAAGTGTTGCAGATTGGACATTGTGGGTTTGAGCCAAAATCAGGGCAATCTGCTGTAGAATCGCTGCGTTTTTGGTGCCTGTGTCAGAAAAGGACCCAGCTGGACTTACATTAATGTCAGAGGTCTCACTGGGACTATAATTTGTGACATTGAGCCTAGGAGACCGCAGGTTACCAAGCACCTTCATGAGATCCGCCACAGTCTGTGTGTCGGTGGGATTGACATTCTGCATGTCCCGGAAGGCCAACTCCTGCAAAGGTCTCGTCAACGCAGCAACTGCACCTAGAAACCGCGTCATTATTGCATTCCTAAACACGCTTGGCTGTGGAAGTGCGTAGATATCGTCCTCTAACCCACAGGTGGTGCGGGTTTACAGTGTAATTGTATTAGCGGCCAATTGTTAATTAGTTAAATTTTAAAAATTTTAATTATAAACCTTCAAAATTAAAAACTATAAATTATTTAGGTAAATAAAGTTACTAATTAAATTTAATTTATAAAAATTTTAAAGTACTTATAATATAAGTTAGGGTGTAAAATAATTATAAAATTATTAGGTTAAGTATAAAATTAAAATTTAATAAGGTAAAATAGCTAATAATAGTAAGAGGTTATATAAATACTTATGATAATAAATATTATAAACTAAATAAATTATAAAATACTTATTATAAGGGTAAATACATATAATTTTTTTTAAATTTAAATAATAAATAAAGTTAATAATTAAATTTAATTTAAAAAATTTTAAAGTAATTACTATATAGGTTAGGGAGTAAAATAGTTATAAAATTATTAAGTTAAATATAAAAGTAAAATTTAATAAGGTAAAATAATTTATTATATTTAAAATAAGTATAAATATAAAGTACTTGTAGTAATAGGTATTTTAAACTAAATAAATTACTTATTATAAGGGTAAATACATATAAATTTTTTTTAAATTTAAAAGTTAAATAAAGCTAATATTTAAATTTAATTTATAAAAGTTTTAAAGCAATTATTATATAGATTAGGGTGTGAAATAATTATAAAGTTATTAAGTTAGGTATAAAATTAGGATTTAATAAAGTAAAATAATTTATTATATTTAAAATTTATATAAATACTTGTAGCAATAGGTGTTTTAAATTAAATAAAATACTTATTATAAGGGTGGATACGCATGGATTTTTTTTAAATTTAAAAGTTAAATAAAATTAATATTAAAATTTAGTTTATAAAAGTTTTAAAGCGCTTATTATATAAGTTAAGGTAAAAAATAATAATAAAGTTATTAGGTTAGGTATGGGATTAAAATTTATATTTAAAATAAGTATAAATACTTATAGTAATAAGTGTTTTAAATTAAATAAAGTATAAAATGCTTATTATAAGAGTAAATACGCATAAATTTTCTTTAAATTTTTAATAGTAAATAAAGTTAATAATTAAATTTAATTTAAAAAAGTTTTAAAGTAATTACTATATAGGTTAGGGTATAAAATAATTATAAAGTTATTAAGTTAGGCATGGGATTAGAATTTAATAAGGTAAAATAGTTTATTATACTTAAAATAAGTATAAATACTTATAGCAACGTGTAAGGCCTATTATACTATATATAGCCCTTTTATAAGACTTAGAGATATCCGTGGATAGCTTTGCTCGCGGATAGCTAAGTTAGCCTTTAAGTACTAACTTAATATATATTAAAAATATCTAGCCTTTGCAAGGCTAGAAATTTAAACCTTAGTATTAATTTTAATATTTTTATTTTTTTTAAAATTACTATTTATAAACCTTTTTTTTAAATATATTATATTTTATTATATTATTTATAAATCCCTAAGGCTAAGAATCTTATAATTTTAATATTTATTAATATATTTAATTTATTAGGGGTAATTTATACTTATATTATAAGTTACTTAAGCATTCTTGCGGTAATTAAAAGTAACTTTTTATAAAATTATTTAAAAAAAGCTTGTTTACCCCTTACAAGTAAACTTATTTATAATTATAAAAAAAAATTAAAAAATAATAATTCAAATTTTAATATATTTTTATAAAAAAAAATAATAGTTAAAATTATCCACGGGTAACTAAAAAAATACTTATTTATTTAAAAAACTTAGCTTAAATAAGCTACGCCTGCAAGCTATATAAATTAAAAAAATTAAAAAAGTAAAATAACTTATTTATAAAATTTATAAAAAGCTTTTAAAAAAGTAATTTATTAATAAGTTTTATAATTAATTTTATTTTTTTTTTAAAAAAAACTGCTTATCTTGCGGCTGCTTAATAAAAAAAAGTAATATAAAATTATTACTTATAGTAACTACTACGCCTTTATAAAAAAGGTAAATATATTTAAAAAAGTAAATAACTTTTTATAAAAAAAGGTATTAAAGTTTATAATACTTTATTTAAATTTAGTTTTATAAAAATAATAAATTATAAAGGTAAAAATCCTAGGATATTTAACCTAAAATACCCTTTATAATTTTTTTTTAAATAATTAAAAAATTTTATAAACTAGTTATATATAGCATAAAGCAAGGTGTTATATATAATTTTTAATAAAGGCAAGTTAAACTATATATACTTATAATAATAAAAAAAGTAATAATTAAAACTAAGTAATTAAGGGGGTAAAATAAATATAATTTTTTTATAAATATTTTTTTAAATCTTACTTATTTATAATAAAGTAAAAAATTTATAAATAATTATATTTTTTAAAAACACTTGCGAAACTAGTTTTTTAATTATTAAACTTTAATTAAACCTTTTTTTATAAGGTGCACTAAGTACTAATTTAAAGTTTATAAAAATTAATTTTTTATAAAATAAGCATAAGGGGTCTTTATAAACTATAAGCAACTATAAAATAATATAAATTTACTTTGCAAAAAAAAAAAAAATAAAAAAAAAAAAATAAAAAAAAAAAAAAAAAAAAAAGCCTTAATATTATTATTATAAAAAGATTAGGTATATTAAGCTAAAATACTTAAAGCTTATAAAAAAAGTAAAAAAAGTAAAAAATAAAAAATAATATAAAAACCTTATAATAGTAATAGCTATTACTAGTAAATAATTTTAATTAAATATAAATTAGGTTATTATAAAATAATTATTTTTATTTATAAAAATTATATTACTTAATAAAGTAATTATAAATTATAAGGCCCTTATAAATTATAAAAGTATTATAAATATAGTTTTTTTACTTTTTATAAAATAAGTAAAATAAAAAATCCTACCATGCTAGATTTTTATACAAGCTATTAATAATAAGCGCGTGTAAAATAAAGGTATTATAAAAATAAATATATACCTTTAAAATTTATATAAAACTTAAAAAAAGTTTTAGGTACTTATAGTAATATTACTAAATATAAAACAAGTAATATTAAGCATGCTATAACTAAAAATTTATAATTTATAAATAGTTTAAGTTATAAAAAAATTAACCTTTATAAAATAAGAGTATTATATAAAAAGGGTTTTTATAAAAAAGTTTACTAAGGGTGTGTATAAAAAGTAGGTTAAGACTTTTTAAATTAATATAATAAAAGTTAAATAAATAATATTAGGTAATAAGTTACCTGACTAGTACTAGGATTTTATAAAGGTATTTTTAAAAAAAAAGTTATAATAGCTCCCACCTTATTATAAAAGGGTTAACTTAAAAATTAAGGTTAAAAATAATAAAAAATTATTATTTAAACCTTTATACCACTACTCCCCGCAGGAAATAGTAGCTATTTATAAGTATATATAAATAATACTTATAAAAAGCTAGATTTAATTATTAAAGTCCTTCGCGGGGGCGCCCTTACTATATATACTTAAAAAAATAGTAAAATTTATATATATATAAACTTCCGCGGGCTAAATATTATATTTATAAAAAATTAATATTCCCTATTTTTAATTAATAAGATAATTACAAGGCTAAGCAGTACTAAAATTTATATATAATTAAATTTATATATAATTAAATTTTTATAATATATATAATTATATTTATATTATGGCTAAAAATAAATAAAAAATAATATTTTATATAAAGTACAGGCTATTTAAGTACTTAGTAATATTATTTAAACTTATTAATATACCCGCGATATTTTAGGGCTTTATAAATTAAATATTTTATAATTTACTAAATATTATGATTATAATATATATATTAATAATATTATTATATTCTTGTAAAATATAAAAAGCTATAAAAATATATTTATAAAGTATTAAAAAGGCTTTATAAGGCAGGCCTGTATTATAAGCAAAGCAAGTATATATTTATAATATAAAAAATTAATTTTTTAGGGTATATTATTATACTTAATAAAGTTAAAATAAAAAACTTACATGTGGCTATAATTTAAAAGTAATTAATATTAAAAATAATACATGATATTGTTATATTTTTAAGCTTTATTAATTAATATTATAGGTTTATTTATACCTACACGGTAGTAATAATAATTTTTATAAATTTTTTTTAAAAAATTAAAAAATAATCCCGCGAGAACAGCCAAGAATAAAGTATTAGTTATAATACTAAAAACTTATAAAGTAATAAACTTTTTAAAAAAAAAGTTTAAAAAAATAATATATTTAAACTATTTTATAAAAAAGTTAGCCACGCGGGTAAAAATAAATACCTTTAAAAATAATTTTTATAATATATTAACTTAGTTATATTTTAAAAAAATATAAAAGCTTGTGGCTTTTTTTTTTTATAAAAGCTTACCCTAGTAAAGTATAATTATATTATTAGTAAGTAAAAGCTTCTAGCTATTATAAAATCCTTTTATAAATAAAAACACTATTTTAAGGTATATTATAAAAGGTTAAAATAATTATAAATTATAAGGCGCTAGTAGTATTCTAGTTACTTATAAAAGTACTTTTATAAATATAAATTTATTAGGCCTAGTTTTTAGCTAGGTTTTAGTTTTAAATTACTTATTATGCGGGTAAATTAAACCCTGTAAATAAACCTTTATAAAAAATTAATTATATATAAAATAATTAATATAAAAAATTAAAAAGGTTATATAAAGTAAGTAAAAAAAGTTACTTTAATAATTAAGTATTATAAATACGCAAGGTATTTATAATAATAAATTTATAAGTATAAAAAGTACTAGCGTGCAGGCTGCATAAAAAAACCTAATTAAAAATTTATTACTTAAAACTATAAGTAAAGGATTTATTATTAGTATTATTAAAAATAAAGGGATAAAAAAAAGTTACTAAGTTAAAGTAAGTAATAAATAATTAAGCCACGCATGGCTTATGGCT